AGCCATGTGATGATGCAAGAGGACACACCCCACCAAGAGCTCCCAGATACGTCCCTCCTACTAAAAGATGTTGGCCAACTTTTCTCAAAAGCAAAAACAATTCACTAGAGAAATTCAACACAAGACATCAGGCAGAGGAAAGTGTCAGTGAATTTGAAGATGGATCATTTGAAATTACTGAGATAGAAGAGCGAAAGAAAAAAGAATGAAGAAAAGTGAACAGGACCTAATGAACTTACAGAATATTAACTGGAACAATATATGCCTATGGGAGTCTAGGAGGAGGACAAAAAAAGCATAGTGAATATTTCTAAGTCTCTAACTTGAGGAAATATGGAAATATAAATTCAATAAATTCCACATAGGATATACCCAAAGAAAACTACATGAAGATATAATCAAACTGTTGAAAGTCAAAGACAGAATCCTGAAAATAGCAAGAGAAAAGTAATTTTTTTAAAAAACAATTTTTTAAAAAAAAAGGTTCAACAAAGGCTTCCCCGGTGGTGCAGCGGGTTGAGCACTGGGCTATGAACCTGTCCGCAGCCTCTGCAGCACTGGTTTGATTACCGGCCGGCCAGGGAGAAACCCACATGGCGCAGCAGACCTGTCCTGACTCACCTGCTGCTCCCCTCAGCAGTGCTTTCGGTCCGTCTGCCATTTTGCTCCTCAGTCTCTAGTGAATCCTCTCACCCTCCCGCGACTCTGGCCTGTACCCAGTGCTTGTATAAAAAAATAAATCTTAAAAATAAAAGCTTTTAACAATATACTAGTAGGCAGATTTCAAAAATACATTAAAAAGAATTATAGGGCCTCCCTGGTGGCACAAGGGGTTAAACACAGCACTGTGAAGCTATCTGCAGCCACTGCAGCATGAGTTTGATCCCCTGCCGGAGAGGGAGCAACCCTCATGGCATAGCAGACCTCTCCTGTCTCGTCCACTGCTCCCCTCAGCAGTGTATCTCAGTCTGCCAGTTCTGTTCCCCACTCTGTCTCTGGTGGATCCTCTCACCGCCCCCTGCAACTCTGGCCAGTATCCCAGTTCTTGTATGCATAAATAAATCTTTAAAGAAAAAAAAAAAGAATATAAACAGGGCCTCCCTGGTGACACAAGCAGTTGAGCACAGTGCTGTGAAACTGTCCGCAACCTCTGCAGTGTGGGTTCAATCCCAGCTGGCTGGAGAGAGACACACATGGAGCAGCAGACCTCCGTCTTGCCTGCTGCTCCCCACAGCGGTGTATTTGGGACAGTCTGCCAGTTCTGTTCCCCACTCTGTCCCTGGTGGATCTGATCAACCCCCACTCTGCATCTCTGGCCTGTACCCCAGTTCTTGTATGCATAAATATTTACAAAAAATTATAAAAGATGACAAAATTACACATGATTACTAAATAGGATTTATACCAGGAATGCAAGAATGATTAAACATGAGAAAATCAGTGTAATATATTCTATTTGAATGATGTGGGAAAGAAAATGACATATCAATTGATAGAGAAATCAGACAAAATTCAATTTTCAACATAAAGACATAAAACACTTTCAACATAACACTCAACAAACTAGAAGGAAACTATTTCAACAAAATGAAGGCCATATATGAAAAGCTTACAAGCTAACATCATACTCAATTGTGAAAGACTGAATGCCTTTCCTCCGAAAACAAGATAATGAAGGATTGCTCTGTCAGCTTCTATGGAACAAAACGCTAGAATTCCTACCCTGAGTAGTGAGGCAAGAAAAAGAAACACAAAGTATGCATATGGGAAAGGAAAGAAGTAAAACTATCTCTGTTCAGACAACATGATCTGATCTGTAGAAAGCCTTAAAGATTACACACAGATGGGCCTCCCCTGGTGGCGCAGAGGTTGAGCGCTGGGTTGCGAAGCTACCCGCAGCCTCTGCGGCGCCGGTTCGATCCCCGGCTGCTCCCCGGCCACCGGAGGAGGGTCCCACATGGCGCGCAGACCTCTCCTGCCTCCCGCTGCTCCCCTCAGCAGTGTACTTCGGTCCTTCTGCCTGCTCTGCTCCCCGCTCTGGCTCTGGTGAATCCTCTCACCCTCCCGCGCTTCTGACTGTACCAGTGCTTGTATAAATTAATAAATAAATAAAATAAAAATAAATAAAAAAAGATTACACACAGACACAAAAATCTAAATTCAGCAAAGTTGTAAAATACAGAATGTTGTTTCTGTGAGCAATCCTACACACGCAAAAACCAACCACAGGGAAATCAGTTATGTTTGTATACAATGTAATCAAAGAACAAACTGAAAAGGAAATTAAGAAAACAATTCCAATTCCTACAGCATCAAAAAGAATGAAATACTTAGGGGGACCTCCCTGGTGGCGCAAGGGGTTAAAATGCAACCTATGAAGCTGTCTGCAGCCACTGCAGCACTAGTTCAATCCCTGGCTAGGGAGGTGAGACCCACATGGCACAGCAGACCTCTCCTGCCGCACCCGCTGCTCCCCTCAGCAGCGTATTTCATCAGTCTGCCTGTTCTGCTCCCTGCTCTGGCTCGGGTGAATTCTCTCACCATCCCACGATTCTGACTGTACCCAGTGCTTGTATAAATAAATAAATAAATCTTTAAAAAAATAAACAAACAAAAAAAAACCCCACTACCAAATGAACAGAGAGTAACAAGTATTGTGAAGGATATGGAGACACTGAAACTCTTAGATCCTTTAGTAGGAATGAAAATGGTGCAACTGCCATGGAAAACTCAGAGGTTCTCAAAAAATTAAAAAAGTACTAACTTACAATCCAGTAAGCCACAAAAAAGACTAATACTGTATGATCCCACTTGTATGAGTTATCTAAAGTATCTAAGTTCATAGAAATCATCAAAGAACAGGCCAGGCAATTTCATTCAAAGGCAACGGTAGGGTGGAAAATAGAGAAGGGAAATATTAAGAATGATATGCACAATCTAATCAAGTATTTGAGAGCTGCCTCAGTTAGACTTGGACATGCACCCGAGAAATGCCAATCACTGACTCCACCACCTGGTCTCCTTCTCTAGTCCTAGCTAAACGCACACTTGGGGTAAACCCTACAGAGACCATCTGTGCTGTCCAATTCTCTGGTGGCAAAAATGATACCTTTGAAAACTGAGATCTTGTTAAATAGAAGGTGTACATGAGCATGGCCTTTACAACCAGAGACCCCCAAATAGGTCATGTCAACAGCTGAGATTATTCAGCAACGGTCCAATATCCCAGGACTAAGCTGTATTTATCCCTTAGGCAGCAGAAATCTCTCACAGGCTATGAAAACTGTAACACAGAAGGTCTTCACTAGAGGGTAATAAGATGATGCTTAATGCTGTGTACAGAGCATCCTTACTATGCTTGGCATACAGTAGGAATTTTGAGATAAATGAGTAGCCATGGGAAAAAACCTGATTTTTCATTGAAGCCTTAACCACCACACATGGTTAGACACAGATCCTGCCATAGTGCCTCATGGCACTACTAACAGTTTGCCATGTGCAAAATCTGTGATGTAGACATGGGGCTTTCCTAGCATGCTGCATCCAAAGGAAGGGGAAAACCCAGTGCAGTCCAGCCAGTTATTCCAGGAAGTCAGTGAGTGGTAAATATAATGTGTCCTATTAGGATGAAACAGACTTTTAGCTATCTTTCTTGATTTGGAAGTTAGAAAGCAGGGCAGTTCCTTTTCTTCTCTGATTTGATACTGGCACCCTCTTTTTTTGTCTGCTCAGTAGTTTGTAACCTCAGTGGGGAGTGCTATCTTCTGTCTCTCACAGGCATCTTTTGCAGTTCTCAGATAGAACAAATAACCACAAATAGGCAAGAGTTTCATTCTAGCTCAAAGCTGCTCTTAGGCAAAGTACTCAAAGCCTAACATGAAAGATTTACCTGGATTAGTAAAAGAGAAAATCAACAGCATAGGCTTCTGGGAAATGCGTGTTAAAAATGCTAACAAAATTAATTATGAACTGTATTTTCTCTCCAGTCTCAAATAAATGCAGAGTGTGGAACTACCAGCATGGGTTGAATTATTGGTTTATTCTTTCTAGATTGCCAAGAGCACTTTACAGACCTGGCCAAACAGGGAAGGCACGTGAAAGGGTGAGGAAACGTGTAGTCAACACAAGTCAGGAGCTAGACATGGGCTTTGCTGATTCTCACAACCACGCTATCAAAGAGCTGTTGTTCTCCCAAGGTTATAGATGGTTAGAAAGGGTAAGTGACGGAGTACACTGGTCTTGTAGATCTTCGAGTCAGGACACACCCCTTCCGGGCTTCTGCACTCTCCACTCTCCACTTTTCATTTCAGTTCTGTGTTGGCTCATCCTTCCCCACTGCCAACATGTTTCCTCATGTGGCAGGCTAGGCTTATGAGGAATATCCTGGGTTCATACCAGAGCTACATGCTAGGAATTCCAGGAAAGGCCTCACACTAGCCTGCTACTGTCGTGTGCATGCATACACACATGTGTGTATGCGTGTGTGTAGGGGCAGGCTACTGTGATTCCAAATCCCACCAGCACCCCATGCACTCAGGAAGGAAGAGTTGTCTCAAAAAAGAATTGGGCTTTATTGTACGATCAGGAAAGCGTGTGAGGCAGAATGCAGAACTAGGGTTAAGAACAAGGGGTAAGCCCACACTGACCAGCTGCCTATTTTTTCTCAGAGGGTTTTTACATAGATGAGAAGATGAACAATAAGGCAGCAAAGACAGGAAGATTCTAAGTCACTCTGCTAGACTTGGGACTCTTCCCCACCACCAGGATGGGAAACCACCTGGTTGTGAAGCCTCAAATCATAGACTTATAGGAGCCCCGACCCAACCACTCACTCCAGGTCTTGAACACATAGGGAGACACCATGCTCTTTAAGCCAAAAGATGTAGGAAGGACAAGGTTCAGGATGAACTACTAAAAAAATATTTTTTAAATTGGAAAATAAATACTGTAGAGAAAATAAACAATAACCCAGAATGTAACAAGCTGGCAGTAGTGCCTACCCGAGGTCCTGGCAACGATGAACGGACTTGCTGGCTTTGGGGAGGTCAAAAGCCAGAAAGGCAGCTCCATGTTCTCCAGACGGTGAGTGGGGTCACACTGGATTCTGGAACCCTGAGCACTTGGGTTCCTGGCACGTTTCCAGATCAAGACTCCAAACTATGTGCTTTCTGGAAGAGAAAAAGCTTTGGGTCCTCTCAAACATTACTCTGCTTTTTTGAAGGAAGCTAGGAGCTCAAGTAGAATTTGAATGTCTTATCTTGATAAGGACAGATACAAGCAGTTGTGCCTTAGCATAATGACCCCCCCCCCAAACCATGGTTTTAGTGCAGTGAAGTGTTTGACTAATTGGAGTAAAAACCCTTCTTTGAGCAGTCCCTGTGAATCTCTGCCCTTGCTGTAATCTGGCTGCTTACCTCTAGTGCCCTAGGGGATTTTATGAAAGAGAAATCTTTGGTGGTTAGGTTTATTATTTATTAGGTGTATGCAACTGTCCTAAATCTGATTTAGGTGTCTCTACTGCGGCCTATTGATTTCTCTGTACCTCTCTAGTTGCAGCCCACCACAGTATTTCATTTGTTTAAACTTTCTTGGGTTTGTTTTTCTTCTTTGGCATTAAAAAAATTGTAAAATGCAGAAACATAAAATTTATCATCTTAGCCATTTAATTTTTTTAAATTTTTTTTAAAGATTTATTTATTTTTATACAAAGAGCTGGGGTACAGGCCAGAGGTGCGAGAGGATTCACCAGAGACAGAGCAGGGAGCAGAACAGGCAGACGACCAAAATACACTGTTGAGGGGAGCAGCAGGCGCGACAGGAGAGGTCTACCACGCCATGTGGGAATCTCCCTGGCCGGCCGGGAATCAAACTCGCGCTGCAGAGGCTGCGAACAGCCTCACAGAGCTGCGCTCAACCTGCTACACCATCAGGGAGGCCCCATCTTAGCCATTTTAAAGTGTACATTTCAGCAGCAGTATATACACAGTATGCAATCTCCAGAACTTTTCCATCTTGTAAAACTGGTCCAACCACTATGAAAAGCTGTGTGGAGGTTCCTCAAACTACTAAAAATGGACCTACCATATGACCCAGCAATTCCACTCCTAGGAATCTATCCAAAGGACACGAAAAAGTTAATTCAAAAAGATACCTGCACCTCTATGTTTATTGCAGCACTATTTACAATAGCTAAGATATGGAAACAACACAAATGCCCAAAATAGACTGGATCAAGAAGATGTGGTGTATATATATATATATACACAATGGAATAACATTCAGCAGTCAAAAAAGATAAACTGATGCTACTCACAGTACATGGATGGAACTGGAAGGGATTACGCTCAGTAAAATAAGTCAGAAGGAAAAAGAAAAATATTGGAGGAGAAAAACAGGGGAACCAAATAAGGAATCAGGGGAAAAATGGTAACAAATAAAAAAGTAAAACCAACAGGCAACTATAATTCGGAGACATTCTGCAGGGGAGAGGAGGGAAGAACACAAGGGACTATGGTGACGGTGCACAGGTGAATTGGTGGTGGGACTTTTATAGGACTGCACCTGAGAGGAGAAAGCAAACATTGTATATAAATGAACAATGATGTAAAATAAATGTAAATGAATTATTTTAAAAAATGTTAAAGACCGTAAAAAGAAATAAAGAATTTTCTTCCTTTTTAAGACTGAATAATATTCCACTTTATGTATATACTACATCTTATTTATCTAGTCATCTGTCAGTGGACATTTGGGGGTGTTTACATCTCTTGGGGATTGTGACTAATGCATGAGTGTGCAAGTATCTCCTTGAGATACTTGCTTTCATTTCTTTGGCTAGATTCCAGAAGTGGGATTGTTGTCCATGGCAGCTGCACCATTGTACATCCTCACCAAGGCATAAGGGTGTCAATTTCTCTATACCATTGCCAACACTTATTTTTTATAGTAGCCATCTTAATGAATGTGAGATGGTATCTGTTTTTATTTGTATTTCCCTTATGATTAGAGATAATGAACACCTTTACATGAGCTTCTTGACCATCTGTATACCTTCTTTGTAGAATTATCTAAGTGCTTTGATATTTTTAATTGGTTTTATATTGGTTTTTGGAAGAGAGAGCTTTAATATTTTTAATAATTTTAAAGAAATATCTTTGAAGCATGTATTTCTAATATTATATCATATAAAACATACTTCAAATATGAAAATTTAAAATATACACTTATAGAATGTACTGTAATTCCACTTCTGAATATATAGCCAAAGGAAATATAATCAGAATCTTCAAGAGATTAATCTGCAGCATGTTTACTGCAGCATTATTCACAGAAGCCAAGATTTGGTAAGTGGATAAATGTGCTGTGTACACACACAACCATGCAGCCTTAAAAAAGGAAATTCTGTCATTTGTGAAAAACATGGATGAACCTGGAGGGCATTATGTTAAATGAAGTAAGTCAGAGACAGGAAGACAAACACAGCATCTCACTTCATGTGGAATCTGGCAGTTGCTGGGAGTTTGGGGATGGGAGAAAGGGGGATGTTGGTCAAAAGGTAGAAACATTCAGTTATGTAGGCTAAGTTCTGAAGCGGAACTGTGTGACAATGGGGACTACGGCGAGTAATTGTCAGGTGTCAAGTGTATGCCTACAATTTAAGAGAGTTGATCTTAAATGTTCTCACTACTGTACACATAAATTGTAAATATGGGTGGTGGTAGATGTAATAGTTGGCTTGACTGGTATAATTACCTCACAATCATTGTATCAAATATATCAAATCAGTGCTATTGTGTATAGTTTTACATGTTGACTGAATGCTTGTCCTCCACCCTTAGCCCAAAATCATATGTTGAAGTCCTAATCCCTAAAGGTGGTGGTATTAGATGTAGGGCTTTGGGGAGGTGATTAGATCATGAGAGTAGTGCCCTCATGAATGGAATTTGTGATATAAAAACAGAAACCTCAGAGATCTTTCACCTCTTTTAGCCTGTGAGGAAATGATGAGAAGGTGCCATCTCTGAAACAAGAAATGAGCCCCAGAGACAGTGAATCTGTCAGCATCTTGACGCTGGGCCTCCCATCCTTTGAAACCATGACAAAGTTTTATTTATAGTGTACTCAGTCTATGACATTTTGTCATAGAAACCAAATGGACTAAGACACAAATCTTCAATATAAACAAGCAGACTTCAATAAAACAGGAAAAAAAAAACCCATTAATTAAAAATAAATCTTACATGAAAAAGGTAAAAGTCCTTTAACCAAAACAATAAACAGTGAGAATAATAGAAAACCTAAACAGAAATATACCAGTTTCACTGGCAGAAATCAAAAGGCTCATATAAATATGAACAGAAACTCAAAAGTACTAACTGGAGAGAGGAAAACTGAAAACCACAATAAAATTCCACCACATACCCACCAGGCAAACTTAAAAAATACCAAGTGGTCAGATGAGCTCCTGCCAGGAGTCTCTAGAGTATGCAATTGTTCAGTATAAACTGTTACAAGTTTGATTATTTTTAGGAATTTTTATTCCTGGTCAGATTTGGGTGATTAGTATTTTCCAAAGGATTTTACTTAAGAGTTCTGGAAAAGACCAACACTAAGTATTCCAAATCCTATGTCCAAATGCACTAACACTATACTAGGAAATACTTGTACCCATATCGTCTAGTCACTATTGTCCAAAGATTATCCCAATAGAATCTAAAATTCTTTTTCCTGGTTGGAAATGCTTCAATTTTGTTACTTCTCTGAAAGAGTCATCTCCCAAAATATTTAATTAAGGGCAGCAAACTTATCTGGAAAGATGGTTAAGAAATTCCCTTGCATGGGCCTCCCTGGTGGTGCAAGGGTTAAGATGCAACCTATGAAGTTATCTGCAGCCACTGCAGCACGAGTTCAATTCCCAACCAGCCAGGGAGCTACTCACATGGCACAGCAGACCTCTCCTGTCTCGCCCACTGCTCCCCTCAGCAGTGTATTTCAATCTGCTTGTTCTGTTCCCCCCTCTGTCTCTGGTGAATCCTCTCACCCCCAACACCTCTGGCCTGTACCCCAGCTCTTGTGTGCATAAATAAATCTTAAAAAAATTCCCTTGCTCTCTCCTTTTTAATGACCACCACCAAAGAAGTCACACTGTAGTGTAGTGCCATCTAGTGACTGCTCTATTGTAGGGTTTTGTTTTTTTTTATCACTTCCCTTTTAGACCCACATTCATTTCTTCCAGTTTTCTGCCTTGATTCATCTGCCACCACGCTCCAAATAGAGGGCCGCTTGGCTAACATTTCCCCATCATGAATTCTAAACCTATGCAAAGTTCTCCTTGATGAGATTAAGCACTTTACCATGTTTACCGGAAATTTCCCTTAAGTTTTTTTTTTTTTTTTTTTGGTGGGACCCTCGCTGGCGGCCAGGGATCGAACCAGTGCTGCAGAGGCTGCGGGCAGCCTCGCAGCCCAGCGATCAACTGCTGCACCGCCGGGGGAGGCCCTGCCCTAAGTCTTTTTGTACTAGTTTTCATGTTCTTTGAGTAAATACCTAGCAGAAGTATTATTGGATTATATAGGATTTCTATTTTCTCAAGAAATCTCCATATTATTTTCCAAAGAGGGTGCACCAGGTTGTAATCCCACCAAAAGTGGATGAGCGTTCCCTTCTCTCCACATCCTTGCCAACATTTCCATTCTTTTTGATGTGGGAATTGTGGTACTGATTTGCATCTCTTATAATAAGTTATGTTGAACTTATTATTTTTCATGGCGGCAGCCATCTGAATATTTTCTTAAGAAAAGTGTCTATTTCAGTCTTTTGCCCACTTTTTTTGGATTGGGTTTTGTTGTTGGATTCAGACCTTTGTATATTTTGAAAATCAGTCCTTATCAGATGTGCTATTGCAAATATTTTCTCCCATTCTGTAGGATGCCTTTTTGTTTTGTGATAAAGACTTTTTACCTTGATGTAGCCCCATCTGTATACCAGAGTTCTATCTCCCAATACATCTCTGTGGTAGAGACCCTGAAGTGTGTCCCCTATCTTTCCATTCATGTATTTTATGATTTTGCCTCTAACATCCAGATCTTGAATCCATTTTGAATTTAATGATTTATTTATACAAGAACTGGGGTACACGCCAGAAGGTGGGGGTGAGAGGATTCACCAGAGACAGAGTGGGGAGTAGATCAGGCAGACCGAGTGGAATACACTGCTGAGGGGGAGCAGCGGACGAGACAGGAGAGGTCTGCTGCACCATGTGGGCAGCTCCCTGGCCAGGGCTAGAACTTGTGCTGCAGTGGCTGTGGATAGTTTCATAGGTTGCGTCTTCACCCCTTGCACCACCAGGGAGGCCCCATTTTGAATTTTAGTGCACAAAATTTTGCTTTTAATGTAGTTTGTTAACTTTCTGCTTTCTACTCCATTTATTTCTGCTTTTTTTCCTTCTTTCCTTCTATGGATTTTGGATACATTTCTTCTTTTTTTGAGTTCAGTCAGGTGTAGGGTTATTTTCCACCCCCATGCCCTTAATGTGGGCCTGTATTGCTATGAACTTCCCTTACAGTAACTGCCTTTAGAGTATTGTAAAGGATTCTGGAACTTGTTTCTCCATTTCCATTAGTCTCCAAATAATTTTTTTTTTTTAAATTCCTACTGTTTGGAGTTGTAATTTTTTTTTAAAAAAAGATTTATTTATTTACACATACATACAAGCACTGGGTACAGTCAGAAGCATGGGAGGGTGAGAGAATTCACCAAAGCTAGAGCAGGGAACAGGACAGACTGAAGAAATACACTGCTGAGGGGAACAGGGGACGGCAGGAGAGGTCTGCGCACCATGTGGGACCCTCCTCTGGTGGCCGGGGATCGAACTGGCGCTGCAGAGGCTGTGGGCAGCTTCGCAACCCAGCGCTCAACTGCTGCACCACCGGGGAGGCCCTCCAAATAATTTTTAATTTCCTCATTGACCCGGTTGTTCAGAAGCATTGTTTAGTCTCCACATTTGATTTATTCTGTGATTCTCTGTAAATGTCCATTAAATTCATCTATTCAAACACTTCATTTAAGGCTTGTATTTGTTAATTTTCTATCCATATGATCTATCCCTTCATTGAGTGGTATGTTGAGGTCTCTGATAACCTCATCAATATATTGTTTCAGGTCTGTTAGTAGCTGCTTTATATAACTGGGTGCCCCTGTAAGTGCATACTAATGTAGTATCTTCTGAATTTTCCGTTTATCATTTATATAGTGTCCATGTTTATCCTTGATTACCTCTTATGGCAGAAAGTCTAGTTTATCTGAGAACTGCAATTTGTGCTTTCTTTTCTGTAATACTGGTCTCTAAAATCTTGCTTCAACCTACATCATGTTTGCTTTGTCTTCAGTTTTATTTGGATCTCCTGTACACAAAGCACAGATGGCCAGGAACTTTTAACTCAGTTTTTCATTCTGGACTTTTCAATTGGTGAGTTCAGCCTATCACATTTTGGGTAATTATTGCTAAGGTTTATCAACATGCTGCTTTTTGAGTTTTGATTGTTCTGATTTTTCCCATTTTTGTTTTTATTCGGACGGCTTTCCCTAGTGATTCTTTTTCTTCACCTCCACGTGTCTCTATTCTAGATTTTTGGTTAGTGGTTACATGGTGGGGTGGGGCGTGGGATGTTATACCTAGCTTACCTTACCTAATGAATTCCCTTACTAGACAGCTAACTATACAGCTTCTGTCCATATCTTCTTCCCCTTTAGTGTTTTGTTGTTGGCACTAATATTCTTGTGCATGTCTCCGATTTTGTATTCCTATTATTTTGCTCAGGGTTTTGTGCTTCACTTTTTCTTGTAAAACTCCTCCTGACAATATTTCTTACAGCGCAAATCTGGTGGTGGTAACTACTAGCTTCTGTTTGTCTGGGAAAGCCTTTCTTTCACCTCTGTACCTGAACAAGGACAGGTATTTGTAGGACAGAGTATTCGAAGTTGGCAGTTCTTACCTTTTAGGATTGTGAACACTCACACTCTTGTCTGGACAGTGGTAAAATACAAGGAAAGTCTAACTTGGATGACTTGTAAATTACCTTTTTCCTATTTTCTCATAATTTTATCTTTGATTTTAAACGAATTAACAATGTGCCCTGGAATAGGATGTTTTGCATTCAGAAATGTGGATGCTCTGCTTGCTGGACACCCATGCTTAATTCTCCTGTAGGTTTGGGGAATTTTGAGCTATTCTTTCTTTGAAGAGAGTCTGGTTCCTTTATCTTCGAACACCCATCATCCTTATGGTTTCCTCTTCTAATCCAGTTAGATATTTCTCATTTTTTCATTTTTCCTATGTTGTTTCTCTTTTTCTAATTGATTTACACACTTGTCTTCTGTTTCTGAAATTCCTTCCTTCTCCTGTTTAAAGTGTTTCCTATATCTTCATTGCATTCAAAGACTTTTTAAAAATATTTTCAATCACTTAATAAAGAACTCTTTGTTCCTGGATCTCCCAAGGCTTTGTATCATCCTACCTGTCCTTGACTCACCTTCCAGTTAGTTAATTAGCATTTGGAATATTATTTTAGTCTTTTTTTTTAAAAGATGTATTTATGCATACAAAAACTGGGGTACAGGCCAGAGGTGTGGGAGATGAGAGGATTCACCAGAGACAGAGTGGGGAACAGAACAGGCAGATCGACCGACGTACACTGCTGAGGGGAGCAGCAGGTGAGTCAGGAGACTGCTGCGCCATGTGGGTCTCCTTCCTGGCCAGGGATCGAACTCATGCTGCAGTGGCTGTGGATAGCTTCATAGGTTGCATCTTAACCCCTTGCGCCAGCAGGGAGGCCCTGTTTTAGTCTCTGATAGGCTATTCTGCACCCTTTATATGACACTCATTTTGCTTTTCTATCAAATGTCCAGATGTTCCTTGCTTCCTAGTCATGTTTGTTGCCTTGTTTTGTTATGGTTGGGGCACTGTGGATTTAGTTTTGTTTCTTAGTTTACCTTGGTGTGAGGTAGGGCAGGAAGGGAAGCTGGGTCTTAAATACTTGATTTTCAAGTTTTGTTGAGTAAGATTGGTCACCTCAGCCTCTTTTTCTCCACGGTAATATTTAGTGCTTCGGTTGTCATAACTTCCCACCTGCCCCTCTTTCTCCAGCAGACTGTGATCTATGAAGAGTTGAGTCTCCTGTTGAGGCTAGCTCTGATCCATAAGACTCTTATTACTCTAGGGTCAGTAGGGTATAGTAGGCGGGGGCATTTTAGTGAGTATATTTCTTGTTGCCCAACTATGACCGTAGGCAACATCCTCCAAAACAACCTCTAACCACTGCCAGCCTTCCTCCAAGAGCCAGTTGTAAATGCTGCATGGTCACCTTGCTACTTCCTCAGGGGTTGCTGAGCTCTCTCTCACCAGCCCTTTCTGTGATTGGGCCCACAATTGAGTCCAATGAGCCTGTCTCTGCCTGGCAACTCCATGATGTCTTACCTCTGGGAGGATGGCTGAAGGAAGAGCTTTCCTTACCCGAAGTGCTCTCAGAATTACCAATATTCCAGGCTGGAGTCATGCTGCGCATGACTGCCCTCCTTTTCTGCAAAGGGAAATCTGGAGTGCCCTGTCTTCATGCAGTGGATAGTTGACCCTCCAACCTGTTTTGCCAGCTGGGGCATCTACTTTCTTGAGATTCTCCTCTTCACCTCTTTACTGTCTTTCCCCAAAACAAGCCATTCAACCTTAGCTTGAATCATCCATGGAAAAGTCCTGGGACTCTGTCATGGAACTTCTGAATCTTCTTTTGAGGAAATACATTTTTCTAATAGTTGTTTTTAGGGGAAAAGTTGATTCCCAGCCTCTCTATTCTGCCATGATGTGGATAGTCCCTCTCTTTATCGGATATTTCCTGGGGGTTAGAGGTTAAGGGAGCTGTATGGAGTTCCTGAGGTATACTTATGGATTACAATATCCTTTAAGTTCTGGGTCCTTAAATTTTAACAAATAGAGTAGTACGTTAACTTCCTAGGGCTGCCATTAGAAATTACCAAAAATTGGCAGCATAGAACAACAAACTGGAAATCCACAATAAAGTGCTGGTAGGCTGGCACTACCTCTGGAGGCTTTAAGGAGCAAATCTTGTCTCTTCTAGTTCCTGGTGACCATTGGTTTTCTTTGACTTCTAGTTACATCTCTCTGCTATCTTCACGCTGCCTTCTCTTCTTTGTGCTACCTTTGTCTCTCTGCCTGCTCTCCCTCCTTCTGCCAAGGTACATGTGATGGCAAGTTAATGCCCAACCAGATAATCCCAAGTAATCTCATCATTTCAGAAATTTAATTACATCTGTAAACACCCTTTTCTCAAATACAGTAACAGACAAATTCTAGGGATTAGGACACTTCATACTTTTGGATAGCAATTATTCACTATACATATGTTTAATATTCCACTATACATATATGTATACATGTTTAATATTTTAAAATAAAGGAAAGAACTGTGACACTGGGGAGGAGTGGTCAGTGGTAGGAGCGGCTTGGGAAAACCAGTGTGTTTGTTGGAAGGGGATGAATTGGAAGGCAGAATTCTTACCTACCATGGGAGTAAAATTCTCTGGGTGCAGAAGGGAGAATGGGAAGACTTTTAGAAAGGAGTGCTAAATCAGAATTTTCCTTCTTCTTTGCCAGAGTCCTGGGATCTGATTCTGTAAAACAAATTGTTGCATTTACAAATACTCCCTAAAGAAGTGGCCATAAAGGATGCTGTAGTAGACCCAGCTAGTGGCCCATTCAGTATCTATTCTTTTCTTCTTCACTAGAAAGAACTTCACTTTTATTTCAGTCAAAAACTTTCATTTCCCAGGTTCCCTTGCTGCTGCTGCTGATGTGACACCATTTTGACTAGTGGGACATAAGCAGAAATAGTCAAGTGGAGCTTCTGGAAAAGTTATGTTACTAACAGAACGGAACACACATTTGGACCTTTCCTTCTAAGTCCATCCTTCATGAAGCAATGAGGCGATGTCCCACCGCGTAATTACCAGGGCCTTGAGTCCCTGACAGCATCGCAAATTCACTATATCAGCAATCTCCCTGAGACATTCCTGTTATAAAAGAAAAACAAGCCCCAGCCAGGTTTAAGCCACAGTTGTTTAGTTTTTTAAAAAGTTTAAAACATCTAAGCAATAACTAGACATTTCACAAATACTATAAAGCCAACAATACACTCTCAATTTCTCAAGAGATTTAAAAAATAAGGTCTTCACACCAACACATGTTCGCCACTGACCCTTTTGAATGACTGGAGATGTATTTCATCTGATTCCATATGAACGCAGTAAAGTGCAGAGTAGGTTAATGTAGATTCTTTATTGAGTTCACCAATTAGTAGATATGGTATTAATAAATGGTACTTTTACATTCTCTTAACCAAAAATATAACAAATATTTACACTCAGTAAAAATACAAAAAGCATACAGAGGCACTGTCTTTTTAAAAGACATAAGTTTAAGAGGTATCAAAAAATAGGAGACAAACATTGCTTGTTACAGGATACTTTACAATCACTGAATTGTGCAGTAGAATTGCTATTTGATTATTAGAAGTTTTGTTTTTGTCTTTTGCAGATAACCTCAAAAAAAAAAAAAAAAGACAACTTATAATAGCACAACAAAAGCTAAAAGCAAACTGGGTTCAAGTTTAACTCTGAAAATGTATTTTGACACTTCTCTGAAGATTTACCCCTTAGCAATTAAGGAAATGCTAAAGGGACACAGCCACTTCAAAATTACATTTTAAAAAAAAACTTAGATCAGAACAATAACCATTATTTTAAATATACAAGGAAACACCTTCTCTTCTTTTCAGGGGAGAGAAGAACACAATAAAATTAGGTTTGTTTTTGGAAATCCCCATCATTCTAGCCACAGTTCCAGTCTGGGAGAGAATCTCAAGCAGTGATACAGAGGACAATGTGACTTATCATCTCCTGAGAAACCATCTAAGATGACTTCTCCCCAGAGATCATACTGAAAGCAATCATTTGGAGGAAGAAAGAATCTATTAGTTATTACTATACATTTTTATGATAATATACATTAGATTTTTCAATTTTCCACCTTTCATTTTGAAGAGACTCATTTGTTGTATTATTTGGCAAAACTTTGCAGAGAGGATTTCTTGCTTCAATAGTCCTGACAGATTCAGAGCTGTGGTGGGGTGAGGGCACTATCCTTTCATTAAAGTTATAAATTTGTAAAATAAAAAATGGGGATTCAGAATAAGAGCAAATACAGGTTATACCATCTCTTGTTCTAGTCATATGACAAACAGAGAGGCCAGGAGTATAACCTAAATTGAAATAGAAAATTCAAAATGCCATGATTTTTAAAAGGGATACATACACATCAAATGACAAAGTATGTGGCTTTAGTTGCTGATCAATGTGATCAGCTGATCCAAACACTCACAGTTCAAGTTAGATAAAAGAAAGGCAGACAAGATACAAGTCCAAAACTGCAAGCCTTTCAGTCTCTGTGCAAGATATTACCAACGGCATTAAGTTCAAAGACAGGTAGGCTTCCAAATGATTTTTAAAGACCTACTAAACAGATACTGTGAAAAAGCACTTTTTGGGTGATGGATATAAAAATGGCAAGGATAAATACTCAAACTTGATAAAAAGATGGTTATTGTAAAAATATCTTTTACTTTGTTTTGCTTTGGACATAAAATATGGTGTAAATCAGTGAAGGATAAAATTGATAAGACAATCACTATTTATAGGTCAAATAATAACAGTGTTACTTCTTGAACCAGGATTTTTGTTCCAAGTTATTTTCCATTTCAGTGGACCGAGAAAGCTATGGAGCTAACGAACCTCATTTTAACCTGGAGTTAATGTCTCAGGCTTAAGTTTTAGATTAACTATTTTGCCTAGGGGAGGTTTTTCATACATGCTAACTTTCCTAAAATGAAGAAACAAATATTTTGATGAACTATTAGCATTTATCACTTGGAACTGATTAGTGCTATGTAAATGAAGGGGAAAGACCGGTAAATAGAGGGGAAAGTCAGGTAGGAAAGAGAAAGAACAAAGACTCGAAACAAACTTATGAACTAATGAATCCTATACATTCACATAGAGAAAACCACTCACTCAGAAGTAAACCCATTTTGGCTCCAAGTTGATCTGGGTAGTGCACATTAATGGCTTTGGCTTTTTTTTTTTTTTGGTAGTCACAGAAGTTTATTAAACTCTAAACTTGACACTAAAAAACAAAGGAAACATTTAAACTTAAGACATAAAAAATTATACTTAATTTTTAAAAATGTTAAAAAGCTTAGGCAATTCAGTAAACAGTCACTGAAATTTTGATTAAATACTTAAGAGTGCCATGCCCATCAGGCTTTAAAGTACATATCTCATTTTTCTCAAGGGCTAAACTGAGAACCAGGAGATAATCATTTTATAATTCTAGCCCCTTTCCCACAAAAATTTAAATCAATTATGTACTTTGTTGGGATAAAGAGGTTCATTGAAGGCAAGCTGGAAAACTGGGGATGGGGATGTTTGAAAACACTACATAAAGCGCAATTCATCTTCATAATTACACCACCAATGATTAGACTTCTTTTCAAAAAAGAACTTCAATTTGGAATTTTATAGCATAGAACTATCTAGAACCCATTATCTATTTACTGGATTTATACTTTGAATTATAGTAAGATGCAACTTGATTTCTAATTCATAGTTGGTCATACATGTTATTTAATATAAAAAAATCCATCCTTTGGAATTTAGGGTTGCTCTTCACCCATTATATTCTCCCTCCCACCCCTTCCCCAAAGAACTGATAAACCCTGTGGCAGCTTCATTTGGCCTTTCAAATCCCTGCAGATGCCAGTACTGTCCATCTTAACACTTCAATCACTAACAGCTTCCTGTTCCACTCAAACTGAGACCCTACATTGCACTGAAGCTAAAGATCAAGTTATATCTTTGTACAGTTCAAGCAGTTTATCCTGTAAAGATGACTTCTGTTTTATGGCCTCAAACAAAAACATCAGTTAATGAGAGCTCCTGAACACAAAGAAAACACTAAAGTTCAAATAAGTTACTTTTCAAACACTCAATAACAGTCTCGATAAAGGCAGGCATTCTGAATTCATCTGTTAGTTCCAGCTAGGGCTGGAAATAATAATAGTACATCTGAAAACTTGTTAAAGCAAAATCTATAGTTGATATACATAGGGGAGGACTCTGAGTTACAATCTGTACTAATAACTGTGGTCCCAAGGCAGGTCTGGTGTACAAAGTGAAAACTGGTATCCAGGCACAACATGCATAGCTGAGAAAACTATGCATCTGCAAGGATTAAATGAAAGGAAGCATGATTCAGGCTATCTCATTGTTCAGGGACATGGAATGAAACCTCTGACTTAGTAGCAGCAGCGAGCTGTTTGTTGGCAATGTCCTGCAGAATCATGAGGTGCTTCTGCTCATTCCTTCCATGACCATCAGCAGTCTTCAAATGGGTCATCCAGAGGCTAGACTGCTGAAACCTGTTCATTTTCTGAAAATAATGAAAACCATGATTAAATGGTTGATAAGCACATTAATGAAGATCAACTAAAAATCTACTTTCTGTTTAGAAAACCACTCAATTTCAACAAAGAAAGTCAAACAACAAAGAAATCCTATCTGGGACCAGATTTTATTCTAGTGACATTTATGGATTACATTGAAGGCTGACAATAAATTGAAATCTCCCAACTACTTTTTAATTGTTTTATTTATGCTGGTCCTTAAAAGAATAAAATCTCATTTTTTTTTTAATAAAGCAAACAATTTTTTAAACCATTGCCGCAGCTGCAAAATTGGTCAAGTTTTGCTAATAACAACTACATCAACAGCATTATTAAAAATAATTTGGCATTTTGCTACTTACGCTTTCAAGTTCCCATGCAAAGTGTAAAACACAACTCTACTAATGTCAAATTCTTCCTCTCAAAATTATCCCATTAGAATGAGCTGCTATCAAATATAAGAATATCCCATATTTAAGCTGGAAAGAGAATACTGGGCACACAGAAACAAGCCGCTCACCCTCCCCATTAATAACAACTCATCATATTTAAGAATTTTTCTTTTAAAGCAAATTTCTAAGGAATTTGAAGAAAATACTACAGACTACATAAAATACCAGGGTAATAACCATTTTCTGCATTCAGTAATTCATTTAAGAGGCATTAAGGTAGTTTGTCAACATACCATCTGCTTCACTATCTGCATCAGTCACATCTGCAAGTTTAGGATGGGATGGCTGCACATTAGGCCTCTGAGGCTGAGTTACAATCTTCGATGGAACACAGGCCACGGGGTTGCTACTGAGAGGAGCTGGTGGCAGTCTAGAGAGGCTGTTATGCATCATCTTTGACCTCTGCACTGCCACACTATAATCTGGAGGTTTTAGGTGTAGGTGGGGTCCTTCCTTTAGGTCTGCTAAAGAAATCCCCATGTATCCTGGAGGAGTGGGAGGTGGCTCCCTATACCTATCCTCCTTCTTGGGTGAGGTGACACAGTACACTGGTATGAAAAATAAGCAATGAAAATGTTAATGAAAAATACAAGAAATGAAAAAAAGCGATACAACACTTATTACAATGACAAAATGGAACTTAAAAACAGAAAAAATGAGTATTTTTGAATACAATGACAGATTTAAAAATGTTTCTTAAAAAGTTCAATAAACTCAATATTTAAACCTGTTTGAAAATACATAACATTTTTTATAAACATAAGAGTTGAAAGAGATTACACTGATAGCTAGATTCCTTCCGCAAGTCAGCCCTCGAATCACAGAAACGTATGATAAACTCCTCAGGACATTCAGATCCCAAATATCTGTTCTCTGTTGATTGGAGAGATTTTCACAGAAACAATGCATCAGCCCTCTGCTTAATCTCTCTAGGTATGAACTACCACGTTGTGACACTTGTAAGTAAATTGTCAATCCTGTCATATAAACAACTAAAAGTTTCCTGATACAGAGAAACTAAAATTCATTCAAGATCCTTCTAATTTCTGCTCTGTGATTAAGTGAAAACAAACAAACAAACAAAACAAAACAAAAAAACCCATACTTTTAGGAAGTCCATCTTAAAATAAGTACCCCTGGGACTAAGACAAAGGTTCAATAATCATTAGAAATAGGTTAAAGAGGAAGTTCCACGGAGTAAAGATCAATCCACAGGATCTAAAGAACCAATGGCTGTGAATATCCTTATCATGTGTCTTCTGAAACAGAAATACTACCTATATACAAACAGAATTGAAAGTACCATTAAATAAATTTATTAATTTTCCCTTTAGAGAATCAAATTTGTTCATAATGAAATTTCTACCACTAGACTAGTGAAACTTTCACACAGTTTAAAGGTCAGAAAGAACTTCTGTTCCCATCTGAGGAGGACGGAGCAGATAAAAATGAAAAACTTAAGAGATTTACCCAGTATCATCCGGATATGAAATAAATCAAAGACTTAAAAATGTTGTTCCAAATACATAAGGGAAAGATTTCCTATCCCTATACACACATTACATATATGTATACATCTCCATTAAGTCTTTAATAAAAAAAATCTTTAGGAAAAATGAGCTAAAAACCCAAGCTATAATGCAATTTGTCAAGTAACTATAAATTGTATCTTTCACATTTTTAATAATTTAACTTGATACCATGAATATTTTTTAGAATTAAGAGTTATACTATTTATTCAAAGTATAATTATTTCACAGTATAATTATTTCACATATATTGAAAGGCAGGGGCCATTATATTCAAGTATTTATATAATTGAAGAGATAAAAAACATACTTGGTGGCTAAATACTAAAAGAATTTTAGTACATGGTTAGAATAGGATCCACAAAACAGGAGCTGGCACACCCATAATGTGCCTTAGAAGGGCATAACAGAAACATGTTTAAGTTTTTTCCCCCTAAGTTTTGCTACCTCAAAGCATTATCAGGTTCAAAATTTCTGATATGGATATATAGCAACTGTGGTCCAATTTATAAGGTAACAAAGAAAAATCTGGGGCCTCCCTGGTGGCGCAGGGGTTAAAGTTTCAGTGCTATCAAGCTATTAGCACCCACTGCAGCATGAGTTCAATCCCTGGCCAGGGAGCTACCCACATGGCACAGCAGATCTCTCCTGTCTCACCTGCTGCTTCTTTCAGCAATGCATTTCATTAGATCCTCCTGTCCTGCTCCCCACTGGGTCTTTGATGAATCCTTTCACCCCACCCCCGCACTTCTGGCCTACACCCCAGTTCTTCTATGTGTTAAAAACAAAACATAAATCTTTAAAAAAAAGAGAGAGAGATAAATATCCCTTTATTACCACTGCATAGTATATTTCCTCAAGGGAAACATCTCAAAAACAAAACCTACTCACTCAACAACTACATAAGACTTTTCATTTTAATAGGCTTGAACAACTGGTCCAAAGTGGCCCTATGAACTTTTTAAAAAAAATCCATGGTTTTTTAAAATAAGGAAAAGATCTGTTGGAGATAAGGGATTTTTGGAAGGATAAAATTCTGGACCAAGGGTATCCCTGCTGGTGCAAGGGGTTAAGACGCAGCCTGTGGGGCCTCCCCGGTGGCGCAGTGGTTGAGTGCTGGGTTGCGAAGCTACCCGCGGCCTCTGCGGTGCCAGTTCAATCCCTGGCTGCTCCCCAGCCACAGGAGGAGGGTCCCACATGGCGCGCAGACCTCTCCTGCTGCCCGATGCTCCCCTCAGCAGTGTACTTCGGTCCTTCTGCCTGCTCTGCTCCCCGCTCTGGCTCTGGTGAATTCTCTCACCCTCCCGCGCTTCCGACTGTACCCAGTGCATGTATAAACAAATAAACAAACAAATAAAAATACATGCCTCTTAAAAAAAAAAAAGACGCAGCCTGTGAAGCTATCTGCAGCCTCTGCAGCACAAGTTCAATCCCTGGCTGGCCAAGGAGCAACCCACATGGCACAGCAGTCCTCTCCTGACTCACTAGCTGCTCCCCTCATCAGTGTACTTTGGTCGATCTGCCTGTTCTGTTCCCTGCTCCGTCTCTGGTGAATCCTCTCACCCTCCACACTTCTGGCCTGTACCCCAGATCTTGTATGCATAAATCTTTTTTAAAAAAAATTCTGGACCAACATATCTAAATGTCAGATATGACAATGGACACACGACTTACCAATCAAGCCCTTTTCTGTACTTGAAGTAACAGTTTTATATACTGGGTCAGTGCCATCCTTGGGGTCCAAACCATCAGAAGACTCCGCTGCAGAGTTTTCTAACACTCTCCGTTTAACTGTCCCATAATTTGGTTCGTAAGTATCAGAGAGAGAACTGGAGGAGGCCCAACTCTGTCTCATCTGATGAGTCTCTAGATTTCCTTTACACTGACCACAAGTTCTAGAGCAGTCTTTAGGACAGGAATATGGTTCATAGTCAGTGGGTTCAACTTCAGCAATGGGGCCATCCAAATGTGTATGTCGATAAGAGTTCAAGTAATCCCAGCCTTTTGGGTTTGGAAGGTTTTGGAAGTTGTCATGGGAACTGCTGGAAGTCCAACTGCCACGACCACTATCGGCTGCTTCTATAATGACATGTTCATGAGAAATCTCTTCAGTGCTCACAGAGGATGAGACAGCTAAACTCTTGATTAGAGGTGGCTTTGAGTGTGTCCACCTAAAATTGGAAATACACAATGAAGTTATTTATTGGCTTCCTGGAAAAAATGTCTTTTGGTTCACTGCAAGTGTTACTGCCTACAAGGAAGTACAATGCATGCATGCAAGTGTTCTTGACAAAATAACCACATGACAAAAATGTTATATTCAACCATTACTCAATGTCTACTATCATTAATGTTAATACTTAGCTAGAAAAAACACACATTGAAGAATCTCAAATACTGAGCAAGGGTTTCCTCAGAACTCTTCGTGATTTTAAATGAAAATGGAAGATGGAGCTTGAAATGATTAAAATTAAGTAAACATTTTTATTCTTGGCTAACAATACTAGATTCTTTCCATGGATATAGAATTAAGAATTCTTGGGCCTCCCCAGTGGCGCAGCAGCTTGAGCGCAGTGCTGTGAAGCTGTCTGCAACCTCTGCAGCATGGGTTCAATTCCTGGTTGGCCAGGGAGCTACCCACATGTTGCGGCAGACCTCTCCTGTCTCGCCCGCTGCTCCCATCAGCAGTGTTTTCGGTACATTTGCCTGTTCTGCTCCCAGTCCTGTCTCTGGTGAATTCTCTCACCCTTCCACACCTCTGGCCTGTACCCCAGTTCTTGTATAAATAAAAATAAATCTTAAAAAAAAACTACAGCAGTGTGTCATTTTTTAATTACTCTAGAGGTTAGCCTACTACAGAGCTAAATAAAGAGGAATTTTTCTTCAACTATCTACTTTAAGTGAATTCTATCATTTACAGCATGCTTCCCCAAACTAAAGCTCATGGGTCAAATCTAGCCAATAGTGTGCTTTGCATGGTCTGTAGCTAGTAAGCATGGCTTCTCCATTTTAAAGGGGTTAAACAAAACAAGCAAAGGAATTTGAGAAAGCAAAGTCTAAAATATTATCAGGCTTTTACCAAAATCCACCAAACAAGCCCCTAGGAACTTATGTATCCTTGATTTATAGTATACAGCAGGGGTCAGCAAACTACAGGCCAAGGCCAAATAGGCCCCTCTACTGGATTTTATGCATAAAATTTTAATGGGGTCCAGCATGACTTTTAACATTGTCTAAAGACGTTTTGGTGCAACAATGGTAGGTTGAGTAGTTATGACAGAGACCTTATGGCCTGCAAAATCTAAAATACCTGCTACCTTTTATAAAAATAATTTGCTAATCTGATTTACAGAATCATAATTTAGAAACCTTTACAAATATGGTCACATATTACTATACCTTAAATTTTCATATTAAAGTATTCCAAATTTAACAAAGTATACCAAAGTTAACAGCATTTATCAGTTTCTCACTGTTTTCTTAGCTTGCCATTTTGCTTGATTCTAAAATAAAAATTTAGAATAAACTTAAAAAAAAAAACAACTGGTGCAAGGGGTTAAAATGCAGCACTGTGAAGCTGCCCACAGCCACTGCAGCACGAGTTTCATCCCCGGCCAAGGAGGTGACCCCACATGGCACAGCAGACCTCTCTTGTCTCCCTGCTGCTCCCCTCATCAGTGCATTTCAGTCAATCTGCCTGTTCTGCTCCCCACTCTGTCTCTGGTGCATCCTCTCACCACCCCACCCCTCTAGCCTGTACCCCAGTTCCTGTATGTGTGAAATGAATCTTAAAAAAAAAATACTGGGGGCCTCCCTGGCGGCGCAGGCAGTTGAACGCAGTGCTGTGAAGCTGTCTGCAGCCTATGCAGTGCTGGTTCGATCCCTGCCCACCACGGAGCAACCCCCATGGCGTGGCAGACCTCTCCTGTCTTGTCCGCTGCTCCCCTTAGCAATGTATTTCAGTTTGCCTGTTCTGTTCCCCGCTCTGTCTCTGGTGAATCCTCTTATCTGTCCGCACATCTGGCCTGTACCCCAGTTCTTGCATAAATAAATAAATCTTAAAAAAAAAAATACTGACTTTTACTGCCTAATAATTCCTACTCTCCAAATCATTTTCAGAGACTAAGGATCAAGGACTGTTTCACATCTCCCAATGTGTCTATAATGTTTGCAACACAGAGGGCAGGTTCAGTATACAGTCTTTTTGAGCAATTGCTAACCCATAAGGCAGAAAATCAAGAACCACTTACCTCATATCTATAGCAGCTTTGAGTTCTGACAGAAAGCTGCCTGAATTCAGTAATGCTTTAAAAATGAGCACCCATGCAACTTTCAAAATAGTATTTATATATAGATTTAGAGTAGAGAAGACGTGCAGCCCATGTATTCTTGTATGGATCCCCTGGCAACCATCCTAGTGGGAGGGTTGGGGATGGTGGGGACTGGGGGGGTGGGAGGGGGCGGTCTAAGCTGGGGAGCAGTGTTTGTAGAGGTCATTTGGATTGGGTGGTATGAATATAGGCAAGCATGTTTACCCAGGGCCCAGTTGACTATGGTCTCCAATCCCTGAGGAGTGCTCTGTCTTTTCCAATGTCCCAGTAGATTCAGGGACTGCCACAGCCTGAGAGGAACACCGTTCATCCTGTAGAGCTGCAGACATGGAGTCAACAGAACAATTGCTCACAATGCTGGAACGTGAAGAAATCTCACTATGGCTGGAGTCAGATAAGTTGTCAGATTTAGCTGATGGTATAAGTGTATAACCTGAATGAGAGAAGACAACTGATCAAGCTACAAACAAGGCAATAGGTAGGAGAACGTGGTAAAGCAGAGAACAAAAACAAAAAAACCAAAAGACTAAGTAGTAATTTAAGTTTCCAGCTATCCCGATGTAATTGCCAATTTTCCATACATCATTCACCTTTGTATGCACACCCCACCAATCCAACTCTAAATTCAAGATATACAAAGTCAAAATGCATGTTACTGAGAAAACTAGCCCAAACATATATTTACCCCATGCTCTCACATAAGCATTTAATAAAACAAGAAGGCATTTAAAATACACAAAATATTAAAAAATAAGACATTCTGAGTTTAGCTTTTTAACTCTATGTCCCCTCCTTTGATAAATATATTTCATGGCCTGACCTGAGAGTCCAATATACCACCCTGAGGTCAGAAAGGTGTTAGGACTCAAGAGAAATTATATTTTTGCTTTTTTAAACTACATATACTTACCCCCAGATCTCTTATGTCACCTAAAGAGTCTAGCCCCAGTTGAATGCAGTTGTTTCAGTAGTTTTAATTGTTTTGATTTGAATTTCATCTTAGACCTAGTTTCCTTTCTCCTCTCCAACTTTGCTGAATATCAAACAGCTGCGCTGATGGATTTATAAGAATGTGTTGAAAAAATAGCATCTACCTTTAAAATTGTTTTATGACTTACAGCACAGTAGACACAGCAAATATAACTAGAGAGGTTTTATTTTGCATTCTTTAAAATGAATGGTGATGAAGTGGGGCAGAAGGCTCTAAAATCATAAGCCAGCAGCATGCTAGTTAAATGACAGAATGCTGTTTTGATTATAGGAAAAAAAAAAACCACTTCTTTTGTTTAGAAGTAAAATGCTGTAGTAATCCAAATAAGTAGTAATTCTCAAAGAAGCAATTATCTTCTTGGTCACTGAGACAATGAGGTTCAATAGGTACTTAACCTTTAGGTCAATCCCTGGAAATCTCAAACTATAGCTTTTATACTCGCATGTAACTTAAGTCATTACAGAAAAATTCATTGAACAATAACCTTATTAAGCAGTTTCAGTAACTGTTTCAAAGAGAAAAATTAAGACCCCCCCCAAAAAAACTGTTTTTGGCTTATGGAGCCAAGCTAGACAAGCCAAATTCCTAACTCCTAACCTAGTTTCTAACTTAGGATCGCTATTATTTCTCTGAGCTTCATAAACTGATTGGTCAGTTTATAAAAGGATCAAAAATTGTTGATGTGGTAAATTTTAAAATAAATAAAATTTAATAATTTTTTCTCAAAATAAAAAAAGCATTACTCCTTTTATCCTAAGAAATAAATTTGTCTTACTGAACTAATTTTATCACTATGTCTGTTAGAAGCAGTACTTCTCAGATACAATCAATTCTAACAATCCCTGGAAACCTTTAAAAAAATATATTTCAGGACTCTTTCTAGCAATTTAAATTTGCAAGGTATGTGGCGGGACACAGCAGTTCTTTTTCACCCAGTTTTCAAACAACTTTGAACTGCTATGTTCTAAACTATCTCCTCTTCCTCTAATCAGAGATTCATGAAAACTGGATGACATTAAAAAGTGTAGGAGGACAAGATGCAGTTTCTGGCATCCAAAACACTTTTCTTCCTTGAGCTTGTAAAGTTGCTGCAGTTAACAAGACAGAAATGAAAGATTCTGATCAGACTGTAATGGGGGGTTTAATGTAAAAGTAAATACTGATCCCTAAAAAACCCTTTACTTACTTTACTCACAGACACAGCTGCTACCAGTAGGAAAAATAAAGCCAACTTACAGAAATGAGAGTGTAAAGTTTACTAACATTAGTAAAATAACATGTACAAATAAGGCACTTTAAATCAATATGACTTCGTTTGCTAGAGGACCTGTAACACTAATTATGAAAAGCTTATAAAGAGTACTAAGTCATCTGTCTAGGCTTTGACAGATGACTTAATTTAAGCTACATTTACATTAATAAATAAAAGCAAATTCAACACTAAAATTAAATAAGGAACTTCGTCAGAGTGTCTTTCTCCTTTTAGACTTGAATCGCGTATAGAAGCAGTTTAAAGTGTTATTGTTGCTTCGGCTATTTGAATTGAAGATGCCACTCCCTTTCTCATCTTTGATGTTGCTTCCAACATCCTTCACTTTCTCACAGCTTTCTGTAGCTTGATTGTGATCTGCGTCCTCTTTTTTGCTGTTGGCTAGTCTCTCCCTTGAAAGAGTTCTTTCCCTAAATCTTCTAAACGGGGATGTCATTCTTTTTCTGGCTGTGTTCTCAAAACTTGTCCTGTCTCTATTCTCCTCAGTGGCCTTCTCGGTCCTGTCTGTTCTTTTGGCTGTGCTCCTGGTAATCTGAAGGATTTTCTTTTGCAAGTAAACCCCACCTATTCCGGGGCAGCTCTGGCCACTGATCTTGGTGCTGGACTCACGGGGAGGGGATGAGGAAGACCCTGAGAGGCGCAGCAGGATGCTGTGATCAGATAGGATACTGCCAACTGGAGGGAGAGATGCAAAAACCCTGTCATGGTCAATTAATTCTTTCCAATTCATCACAATTAACCTGGTTTATATAACATTTCACTATTAAAAATCACTAACATCTTGACAATATCTGAAAATGAAATCTAACAACATAACGTATGGAGAGTCTACTATACAGCATAAACACAGCATTCATTGCAAAAAAGAATACAGGAGAAAGATTATCTTGATCAGAACAGGTTGGTAGCAAAAATTTACAAACCACAAAAACTGTTGAAAGTTAGCCAAGTTAATGATTACAGTAAAGTCATAAAGAAAGACATGATTATCAGGTAACTAGAATTATTTCTCAAAAGTTAATTGTATCAAAAATTTTCAGGCAGATTCTACTAAAAAAGCTTAGTAAGTATCAGATTATGTTTAGTGAAATAAGCCAGAGGACGATAAACACTGAATGAGTTCATTCATATACAGTATAGAGGGGGAAATAAGCAGAGAACTAAATACATCAAGAACTTTTGGACTATGGAACAGTTGGTGGTTACCATAAGGAAAGTGGTTGGGTAAATTGGGACAAAGGGAACAATGGAATGGAGAAGGGTAGAATTAGAATTGGACATTTAGTGGTGCACTTAATGTAGTGTGCATATATATATATGTAAATGCACACCTGAAACATCAACTGTTATATAATACAATGTAATTTCAATGAAAATAAAAGATGGGACATATAAAAAGAACATACAACAGATACATGTACAAAGTACAATTTCTAATCTTGTTTTATCTCCAAGTAGAGAGGTTGCCTTCCTTAAGCACTGGGGAATATAAAGATTAAGGGCTCTTTATTTTTTACTCTTTTAAAGTTTTAAACTTTAAATTCTCCTTGTAAGGAAATGAAGATAGGCTTATCTTCTTAATTGACAGAAAGCAAAGAATTACAAAGTTTATCAAGAATTAGGAACAGATTCTAACACTGTACTATTCATTTAATGGCATTTTTGATTAATCACAGACTACTGTCAAAAATCTGTCTATGGAAATAAAAGTGTATAATTATTCCAGTTGCTTTTTTGTCTTTTTTTAAAGAACATATTTAAGAACAATTGGAAATAGTTCTGAAAGAAAACATTTCTTCAGGTTTCTGAGGACTCTGAGCGCAATGACAGGCTCATAAATATATTAACATTGTGGTTGCCTATTGGCCACACAATGAAAGACACAGAAAAAATACTTCTCTATTCCAGTGCTGGGAGTCAATTGTTGGGAGTAAGAGCAATGGCAAAATTCCTGCTCCTCATACTTCTTCCCAGAAGATACATTCAGATATAAAACACCAAATTTAACTAGTTTTCTGATTAGAGAATGTGCATTATGGGGCCTCTGAACAGTCTTCCAAGGAGGTAAGAAGTATAAAGGTGTTCCTGAAAGAGTATTAAGATGTAACTACAGTTCATCTGTTGATTGGGGCACGTTGGATAGGCTTCCAAGTAGAATGAAACAGATTTGTGTGCCTCACCCAAATCCTGTATGAACTATATGCAACAGGTTCAGAAACCTGTGTTTTATAAACTCAGGTTTATACCTATCATATTTACTGTTTATACGTTCCATTTGATTTTCACTAAACTCTCCTTAGTAAAATCTGAATGAAAATTTGAGCCAGTCTCAAGTTATATGAAGGGGGGAAAAACAGGCAAGGAATGGAACAATGCTACCCTGGAGGCAGGGAAAGAGACATCCAAATTACTAAACACCACGTTATCAAATTAAAAAAAAATTTTCATTTAATCCCTATATGAAGATCCTAAAATAAATGGTCTTCCATGTTATAGACACGATATCTGGCCTTAAAAATAAGTTGCTTGTAGTAACAGTTTTATAGCAGGGGACAGAGTCAGGAGTCACACAACTCAAATCTGGCATCACTGTCCACAGTGCACACAAGGGTACAGGTAATGTCAAACCCTGATTAATAAAAAGGTAGTTATACTCTTACTAAAGAAAGGAATTTATTAATTTAAATATTTGTTTCTTTTCCTAAATCTTGTGGTTCACCAAAAAAACAATTTCTAGTAGAAATTCAAATTTTTCCACAGAAATTTTTAAATAATGAAAGATTTCAGTGACATCAAGAAAACTGAGCAGAATAACACAACTTTGATTTCTGCCTTTTTTCTATACATGCCTTCTGCCAAAGAAGGACCAATTTTAATACAGGCATCCTCTAGTTCTATGATGCATAATACCTAGGAAGGATCTAAATAATTCAACCCAAAACATTAAAGTTTCAAAAATATGAAGATAAATTTTTCTTTACACTTTCTATTATCAAAATAGAGTGAAAAACAATATATATGCCATGAAATTTGTTGTAACAAGAGATAGCCTGACCTGCTTTGTCTTACCTTTTCGAGGAGAACCTTGAGGAGATGCAGGAGGACTAGAATGTAAGGATGATGCCACAGAAATAGTGTCTTCTGTATGTTTCTTACCACTTATTTCTTCAGTTGCTCCTAATACTTTCTGAGGTAAACCTGTACCTAAACATAAATCCAAACCAGTAAATAAACATCATTTCACAATTAAAACGCCTACAGTTGCCTAAATTACTACATAACTAAAGCCATGGTGCACAGTGTAGTTAGTTGAAATGTGTAAATGACAAACGGGGACTAAATGACTGGGCAATGGCATACAGAGATTCTCACCTCTAGGTTTGTGGTTCGAATTCAGTTGGTCAGCATGAACCAGATCACAACAGTTCATTTTCATTTGTTTGTTTTGTGCATAAGGGAAAATGATTTAACAGTCTGAGTATGCTGTCCCACCCCCCACAATTGACAAACTTGTTGAAAGTTAATAGAGAAGGCATGGATTCAAACTCTTGCCTCCACTCTAGAGGTGGCCTCTCCAAGTCAGAGTGAGGCATGAGGCAGGGGCAGTGTAGAGATGTTGGCACTGTCGCTACCTGTGGTGCATCTGTGCTGTGGGTATACAGAAGAAGCTGCAGGGCTGCCAGTCCAGCCCTTTTCAAGAGCACTAAATTCACACTACAGGAGAGAAGTAGACAACAGAAAGAATCATGAATTTATATAAAAATAGTATGGAGCCCACTGGAAACATTCCTACAAAGTTCTAACATTACTCTTGTCCAATAGCTGGTGTTGTTTAGTGTAGGTTAAACTGAAACAATAGTTCTGACAGACTGACATTTTCATATACATCTCTGAAAAAATGCCAAAGAATTATCAATCCTGTTCTTAACTTGTAAAGTAAGCTCAATTTTGATAGGGATTTGGTGTAGTAACAAACAACCCTTTGACAATGACAAAATTTAATCACAGCATACTCACACTACACGTAAGTGCCATTTAAAAATAGTTATCATATGCATAATAGGCATACTAAAGAAAGAGGGCAGAGGGCCAGGTGATGAAACTAAGTTAGGAATCAGATCTAAATTTGTCACCTTTCTCCTACCTGAAAATTTATCAAGTTCAGCAATTTTGCATCCAGTGCTCTCTTCATTTCCACAGTCACCAACCTACTTCAGGCTCTGAGCAACCACTTTTTAACTGTTAGACTGGCTTTCCATTCAGGCTCTCTCTCTCCAGCCTCAATGCTCTCTACTATAGTCCATCTCCAATAGAAACTGGACCATGAGCTTCTCTTGTTCAAATCTTCAATAGCTACCCACTGACAACTTTCCTTTAACAAGCTAAAGTATAATTTCAGTGTGCCTATGTCTTCACTTTTCTTCATCTTGGGAAGGAGTTTTAGCAGAGTGGTTAAAAACAAGGAATTAAGAGCTAGTTAGCCTGGGCTCAATTCCCAGCTCCATTACTTACTGGAAGTGTGTAAGTTACTTAGATAGCCTATGCTTCCTCTGCAGAATGAGATTACTTCCTATCTTATTGAGTTACTATGAAGATTCAATGAATATAATATATGAATTTAGTACCTAGAACAGGAAATGGTCTGTAAGTTAGTTTTCGTTATCAATGTCTCAGCACTCTTGCTGTAGCTTTACACTCAGAAGCAGCAAACTACCTGTAGCTACTTGCAGATACCAAGCATTTCATCCTGAATCAACATCTGTGGAATTTTTGCCTCATTTGTTACTTCCTGAACAACATTTAAGACTGTTATCTCCAAAAAGCTTTTGCTGAAGCTCAACTTTACCTCTGCCTGCCCTAAAAGCAACCTTCCTCCCTCCCTCCCTTTTTTATTAAAGATGTTCTGTGTATTAATTTGACATAACAGCAAATACATTACACTTAAGTTACCTGTATATCTATAGCACTAGACTGAAAATCTGGCAGAGGAGGGGGCATTTCTTATTCAAGTTGAAATCTCAAAAAACAAAAACAAAAAAAAAAACAAACCTAAGTTCACAAAGTTCTATCTCATACATCCTATATATAATGCCTGGGCCTAAGTAATAATGCTAGGGATCAAGTATATTCTACTCTAGTTTCCCATCAGAAAACTAAAACAGGAAAGTATTACCATTAGGTAAAGTAATATTACCATTAGTATACTACAGAATATACTATATATTATAATATATAAAAAACATAGTGTATAATACTACTACTACTACTACTACTATTAGGTAAAGTATTATTATTATGTAAAGTCTACATAGCCTAAGAGAGGGGAAAAAAAGTGTGGCCTATACTTTATACTCACTTGTCTACTAATTTGGTTTTCTGAAGGATCGTTAATGAAAAACCAACACACAATCATTCTTCGAAAGAGCAACTTCATTCTCATGGGTTACCTTTGTGTAAGCTAACTGATTAAATGCACCTCTGAATGCTGTAAGCTCTTGGTATCCAAGTGTATGTTTTCTAGTGATATAATTACAGGAACTGCAAAGCTAGCGTTGACAATATGCATGCTGTCATGAAATACCTACAGGCAAAATGAAACTTTTTTTCATTCATGAGTGATGACTGTATTATACAAACGACAAGAAGCTGATTTCCAAAGTATTAACATTTGTAATCATTTTCATTCTACTCCCCTGGAATTTTCAATTAATGAAAGCAGTATGTATAGTGAATACTCACTCAATGTGACCGGGTCTTTTGATTGTCCTTTCTTCCTGATGGGGTGCAAATTAACAGCAGGCACCTGAAGCACCTGGCTCACTCTGTGAGGCTGATGTAAGTGGGCTTTAGCTGTTTGGCCAACAGACCTCAAAGGCACTGGAGACATTTCTGATGATTTGGCTGATCTCTTCTCACTTAAATTCTTGGTCACTAATAGAACAAGAAATCGGTTCTTTAGCATTTTGAAGGAAAGGTTGTTACCACTGACAATAACAAATGATGGCATTATTTTCATCACAAGAAAACAGATTAATAGTCCTAAAATATTTTCATTTATTACAAAATGTTATCTCTAAAATTTCTGTGGAGTTAATTTTACTTCTTACCTTTTTTTAAAAATCATTTACTTAATTAGCTATCTTCACTGTCACCCTGACATCTAAGTTAACATCCTCTCTTATACTCCCCCTCACTCTTTATCAATTCTGCTTTCAAGTTACTCTCCATACTACAGCAGTGACTCTTCTAATGTGAATATCATTATCACTTTCCTTCTCTAAAAGCCTGCATAAACCTTTAAGTGACTTACCACTGCTCTTAGAATAAAGAGTCAAATCCTTATAAGGATGTCTATTAGGTCCTGCATGACCCAGGATCAGCACAATATTGGTCCTCCTACTACACTTTGTAGTGACTAGATTAGATCCCCAATTTTAGATCCTCATGGCATCCTTTATCTTTCCTTCACAGCAGTGATGATTCTAACAACACAATTTGTTTGATTAATTACTAATGGCTTTTCTCTCCATCAATAATTAAGGAATGTGAGAGTAAAGATTATGTTTACTATTATATCCCTTTGTGTTCAGTAACTGACAGAAAATAGGTCCTTAATAAGTATTTGTTGAATGAATAAGTGATATTACTTCAAAAGTTATACACAAGAATACTTAGGAGATTAGTTTATAAATTCTTACTCAGAATATTTGGAAATAAATGTCAGAATTAAAAACTAAGAACTATGACTCAAGAAAAAAAAGCTACTGCTCTATTTTATAAAATCAATAAATCCTATAATCAAAAGGAAAGAACTTCCTGCAGGTAGTACTTTTAATTATTCAGGGTTATTTTAATATAAGTCTGACCAAAATATTCCATAATGTATTTGGTTTTACACATCAAGATAAAAGTAAAATTAGGATGTTTAGTCTGTCTCTGAATAGCTTCAATAGCTACTATGCTTTATTTTTAAAAAAGATTTATTTATTTATGCATACAATAACTGGGGTACAGGCCAGAGGTGTGAAGGTGGGGGAAAAGAATAGGCAGACAGACTGAAATACACTGCTGAGGGGAGCAGTGGGCAAGTCAGGAGAGGTCTGCCGCGCCATGTAGGTCACCTCGCTGGCCAGGGATCGAACTCATACTTCCATGGCTGCAGATTGCTTCATAGGCTGTGTCTTAACGCCTTGCACCTAGTAGGGAGGCCCCTACTATGTTTTCATCGTGAGAGCCTACAGAACATTTTGGGTAATAAGAATTAGAAAATATCTCAGAAAGTGAAAACACACAGACTGCTGGGGAAATATGTAGCAGATTGTCAACTAATTGAATTCAAGATGTTATCCTTTGGTTAGAAACATGACACCACCCCCTCCTTCTCTTAATACTAATCAATTGCTATTGCACAAACACACACACAAATTAAGAGATGGTTTTAAGATAAAAAAGTTATTTGTTCATAGATGAGTGCTATGCTTTATTAGGAACATAAACATATATTGATTTTTTAGGGACAGTCAAATTCTATAATGCTCAGCAAACAACTAGTGTTTGGTCTTGTTATATTCATTATTTAAACATTTAAAAATCCATTGCGCAACAGAAATGAAACAGATCCTCAGGAAAAATTAAAGGAATATGCATGGAATTAAATTTTCACAATACCCAGTTATGAAAGAAAGGCCAACATATTTTCTCACATTTTAACTCAATATTAAATATATAGTGAAGAACATCACTTAGTGATATGAGAAAAGATACAACCAAATCTTGGGTGGGCGTGGAAAGAAAGGTATGCAGCTCTATGTATATGTATGTATGAGAGAGAAAGGAACTGAGACAGAACTCAGAGGTAGGTGTCTGTGAGATCTTTCTGGGTCTTAAAATTTAAATGAAAGAGATTTGCATGTTCTTGAATATCCCAAATCAGATTTAGCGAAGAAAGAAAAAGCAGAGAGCAAAAACAAAAGAAAAATAACCCTTTATCAGACAAGAGCAGGAATAATAAACTGTGTTCAATAATCATAGGATAATAAAAGTCTATATTGAATTCTGTGGGAAAATATAATTTGGTAATCAAAGCAGACTCAGAGGCCATAAATTAAATACATGGCTCCTTGAAATGTGAATAAATTTTACAGATTCTATACACTTTTTCAGTCTTTAATTTCAAGATGTACCATTTCACAAGGGTGACACTATTCCTGATAGTCCATGTGTGGTAGATTTTCACAGGAACCATTTAAGTCTATACACATTTGTTATTCGATTGGTGATAACCATCCCTTGCATTGATAAGGAAACATATACTTAACTATTCTCTAACATGTTAACATCTGAGTGATTTCTTTTTCACTATAATACATATTGCAACACATCTTCCTATAAGCAGGTTTTTAGTAAACTGTCTCACTGAAATACAATTCTAATACTGGACACCTCACAAGTTGCTGTGAAGAGTAAATGGCAATCTCTATAAAATGCTTAGTATGATTGCTGGCAGAGAGAGAACTCTCAAGAACTGTTAGTTTTACTATTTGATTTTGCCTTCCTAATTTAATAGGTCTGACTAAAAAGAATCACAGAAATAATACACACTCCCCAAACCTTGTTCAAGTTTTACATTTGTGAAAACAGAGACCTAGAATGAAGACAACTTGTTTCAAATGGTAATGAGAAAATCTGCCTCTTTACTTCAGTAGATTTTTTTCCATCACACTCCATTGCTATCCCTACAGGCAGAAGTGTTCAAGATACTTTTTTATAACATTTACTTCATTTGACCCTGAATGCCTCATTACCCTATATTTTAAAATTCATTAGCCTATCTGAATTTTTCAAAAATAGTATTTGGCTATGTTTCCACTTTCTCTTGTCTACTTTGTTGACATTCTTTTTTTTTTTTTTTAAAGATTTATTTTTATTTGTTTATACAAGCACTGGATACAGTCAGAAGCGCAGGAGGGTGAGAGAATTCACCAGAGCAGGAGGCGGGGAGCAGAGTAGGCAGAAGGACCGAAGTACACTGCTGAGGGGAGCAGCGGGCGGCAGGAGAGGTCTGCGCGCCATGTGGGACCCTCCTCCAGCGGCCGGGGAGCAGCTGGGGATCGAACCAGCGCTGCAGAGGCTGCGGGCAGCTTCGCAACCCAGCGCTCAACCACTGCGCCACCGGGGAGGCCCTATTTCTTTTGTTGGTGGTGTTACAACAGTTTATTTTACCATTTTTGATTTGTTTTTCCAACTCACGAATCCCTTATCCAGAGACATATGCACTTTGTACTGAATTAAAAAAAAACAACAAAAAAACACTGAGAATAAGTTCTCATGTACATATTTTCTTTTTTTTTTTAAACATGTGATTTTGCATGCACTCTGATGAAGCATGCACTTTTTAAAAAAAGATTTATTTGTACAAGAACTAGGGAAGAGTCAGAGGCGTGGGAGGGTGAGAGAATTCACCAGAGACAGAGAGGGGAGCAGAACAGGCAGATGGACCGAAGGCACTGCTGAGGTGAGCAGAGGGCGAGACAGGAGAGGTCTGCTGCACCATGTGGGCATCTCCCTGGATGGTTGGGAATCGAAACCGCACTGCAGAGGCTGCAGACAGCTACACAACATAGTGCTCAACCGTGTGCCACCGGGGAGGCCCTCATGTACATATTTTCAACATATTAACAATATCAGAATGTGTCTTATTTTTCTTGTTTTAGCTTATGGATACCTAAAACAGTGTTGTAATTAATTAAATTGAATTATACTTCCTGGATTTACTAGTTGGTAAAAGTTATTATCTGTGAAATGAAATAAGGTAAAAATTTTAGTAATACTCTTCATTTAGCAATGACATGTTCTCAAATAAAAGGACTACTATCTAATATTACACGAAGAATCTTCACACGAAGAATTTATAATGCTTTTTAAATTTTTTTAAAAAAAATTTATATAAGAATCGGGGTACAGGCCAGATGTGCAGGAGGGTAAGAGGATTCACCAGAGTGGGGAACAGAACAGGCAGACTGACTGAAATACATTGCTGAGGGGAGCAGCGGGTGAGGCAGGAGAGGTCTTCCGTGCCATGTGGGTTGCTCTGTGGCCGTTGGGGATTGAACCGGCACTGCAGAGGCTACGGACAGCTTCACAGTGCTGTGCTCAACTGCCTGTGCCAACAGGGAGGCCCTTATAATGCTTTTAAATAAAACTTTCTTCCCCTGTATCTTGCATAATAATCACCAGGAATCGATGGGATTTAGTATCTTAGTAACAGAATCACATGATGTTTGGGCTACGTGAGTAATCTTTCATGACTGCAAGTTCATTTTCTTGATTTTTCAGCATAATTAGAGAAATAAATGTCTGTTTCGCTGTTAACATTACATAGTGAAAACATGTACTCACAGGTACCATATGCAGGTTCCCACTGCAATGACATCATCTGGAACTTCTCCTCATCTGTCTCTACATCCAGACTAGAGAGATACTGCTTCACCTTCCTTGCCATTTGGGCATCCTCGTACAGCTTCTTGGCATTCAGCAGGGAGCTACGGCGTGCCCTTTTTTTGTGAGCACCTCCCTGAACATCTAGCATGTTTGAGTTTGTGCTGCCTTGACTCAATGACCTGTGAGAAGATGGAAATCACAGTTAGCTGCTGCAAAGGTAAGAATAAACGTGGCAGATCAAAGATTAAAATAATTTTGTTCTGTTAATGCTATTGCATGCTGATGCAAATGGGTTAAAAGATGAAGAGCATTAATGCAAAGTAATATGGCAGGTATGGCAATGTTCTAAGATTTGATAAAGTACAGAATTCAAAAGAAAAAGATAATAATTCCCCCGAGCCATGAAATCAGAATTGTTTTTGCGCCTATGAAACCCAAGGCACACCTATGAGAAGTGAAAGCATTCTTCCGGCCATGGCAGCCACCCACATTCTGAAGATATGGCAAGAACCTGGGCTGCGACAAGTCTAGCCTCAGCCAGATTTCTGCACCAGGGTTCTTCATCAAGGGAATTTCTAGAACAGCTTTGTTTATTGGTACTGCCTATTGCCACCACTACTGCAGTCTATAGCAGGTCCACTCTGAGCAAGCTAATTTTATTAGTCATCAGTGGGCCAATATTCAAAGAGAACACTCAATGGGAAAAATAAGAGCATCTGTATTCAACTCAATATAGTCAAGAGTTTGGCAATGCAGTAAAAAGCTACTCAATGCTTCACTCGTGTAAGAATGGATAGGCAAAAAAGTTCATTCTAGGTCTCAGGATTTGGGACCTTTCTACTGCAATGTCTCTGAATGTGGTGGAACGGCAATGCAAGATACAAGTTCACATAACTCTACTCTTTTTGACAAACTTTCTTCTACAATGACAACATCTAGAACCAATGGAGAAAGGAAAATACAATGCTATTTGATCTTTCTAACAAGGCTAGCAAACACGAGGTTCTTTTATAATTTTTTATTGTATTTGCCTTTCTAAAATAATAAAGGTATGAGTTTTCGAAATTGGCCTCATATTTACACACAAATATTCTAAATACACAATAACACATTCATAACCATTTGTTGTTCAGTGCTCATGAACACAGTTTACACTGTAAATCAAGTGAAATCAAATTGTAAAATGTTCTATTTTTTTTTCTTTCACAATTTTAAGAACTTTGAAATAGGACGAGTCTTACATTCAATGGCAACTTGCAAATACTACTGATCAGATGAAACTGTGAGATGGCTGTCAAGGTAACACTTTATATCTGGCAGAATGGGGTCTCCCTGGTGGCACAGTGGGTTGAGCGCCACGCTGTGAGGCTATCCGCAGCCTCTGCAGCATGTGTTCAATTCCCGGCCCACCAAGGAGAAACCCACATGGCACGGCAGACCTCTCCTGCCTCGCCTGCTGCTCCCCTCAGCAGTGTCTTCGGCCCATCTCCCTGTTCTGCTCCCCGCTCTGCCTTTGGTGAATTCTCTCACCCTCCCGTGCCTCTCACCTGTACCCCAGTTCTTGTATAAATAAGTCTTCAAAAAAAAAAATCTTGCAGAATGGATGAGAACAAAATCTAATATTAGTAAATTACTCGCTGAACTTCCAGGAGCGAAATGATTACAAGGAAAAATTGCACTCCCAAAGCTCTACATTCACAAAGGAGGTGTCAAAAGGAAGCTAGCTTTAAATTTTTGCAAAATCAGTTTAAGGGCCTAGTACCAGCAATTTTTACTCTTCCTATGACTTGTTTTCAGAAAACTTGCATTATCAATATATTTGATGGAACAAAACCAATAGAGTGTGTGTGTGTATGTGTGTAAACCCTCATTCTCAACATGAAGATTTTTACAAATACCTAACTCAATTTGCTGTACTTACTGTGAACACACAAGGGTGTTATGAATTATACCTAATCATCACACTGAAGTTTAAGTAAGAGTTCTTTTAGTAAGTATAAAGTAAACTTTCTCAATGATAAAAATGGGGGCCTCCCCGGTGGCGCAGTGGTTGAGTGCTGGGTTGCGAAGCTGCCCATGGCCTCTGCGGCGCCGGTTCAATCCCCGGCTGCTCCCCGGCCACCGGAGGAGGGTCCCACATGGCGCGCAGACCTCTCCTGCCGCCTGCTGCTCCCCTCAGCAGTGTACTTCGGTCCTTCTGCCTGCTCTGCTCCCCGCTCTGGCTCTGGTGAATTCTCTCACCCTCCTGTGCTTCTGACTGTACCCAGTCATGTATAAACAAAACAAACAAACAAATAAATAAAACATGCCTCTATTAAAAAAAAAAATGGACTGTAGTGGTTTTTCTTAGTGGTGCATAAAATAAAAATGTGTCCAACAATTAATGATGTGTTAGAGTGAAAGCTATGTGGTAAAGTCATCCCAACATTTAGGAGCAAATTTTAAAATAAATATATCTTAGTTGATACAAAAGAGATGCCCACAAATCTAGGACACAAGCTTCTAATAATTTTAGATTAGAAGATTTATTTTCACCAATTATTAGATAATTGCATTTAATTAATAAATACAAGCACTGTGATAAATGACAATAAGGTATCTCTAGGCTACTTCCAAAGCAGAAAACAGTCTGATGTAAAAATGAGAATACCCAGCAGTCTGTAAGGCAACCCTAATGTGTTAAAAAAGTCATTCAAATATCTAAAAATTCCCACTAAGATATACTCTCCAAGTACTGTTTTGCATAATTGCAATGCCAGGAGTCAATTTTTATTTTCAGTGAGAACCACCAAAAAAGACTAAGACATAAATATATAATAAAGAAATAAACACACAAGAAACACAGAGAGAAGGGTGGAAGAAAGAAGGAAATTCAAGGTCACCAAGTGTCAACAAAAAACAAGACCACAAGTAAGACTCGTTAAAATAAGTGGCTCACAAAAAAATCTTACACATAATAAGAACATCTAACTTCATGATTCACTAGTATTAAAATAACAAAATTGTTTTTATACAGTCCCTTCATTTATAAAACCATCTCTTTCTTAATTCTTAATCTAAAAATGAAAGGACTACATAGATGATTTGTAAGATCCTAAACATTCTATGCTTCTAAACAATGATCTGGTTATATAAAAGCAGAAGTCTGAACATAAATAACAAAGGCGGCAGTTTCTGGTTCTATTACAGTTCTAAAAGAGATAAGGGATTTGGATTTAAAATGGTAGGAATCTAAAATAAAATTCAAGCAATGCTATGGGTCTCATTGTATTAGTGGATCTGAGGAATTAACATCACCTCCTCTTTCAATTATTTACTAATGTGGTTATATAGTGTTGTTTGGGTAAAGGCTGTCACTTTTGGGAAAAGTGATGGAAGATGCAACTTATAAAGAAATCTTTCATCCACTTTTATATACACACAGTTACCTATGTTTGCTTACATCTTTAGTCAACAATCAGAATTTGGACAACTCCATCTTCCCCATCTGTACCATGGGAATAATAGTATCTTATGGGGGTGGCTTGGGGAATCAGAATATTCATAAGGTGTTTAAAACTGTGCAGAGCATATGGCAAGTGCACAAGAAATATTTGTTATCATCATCATTTAACTGACCTGCTGAAATAAAATCTAAAAGGGACTTACAGGACATCAATTGGAAAAGTAAATGTGCTATCACTACTTTAACCTTGTTAGCAAAAGTAAATTGTCAGGAATGTAGGTTGACAGGGTTAATAGAACACATGCTATCTTATGTGCGTGCATTAATGAAAAGGATGCAGTATATGTTAAGAGTTGCACAACCTTCATTCCAGTTGCATTCATCTCTACACTTACCCCAGACTCCGCCACCTCTTCTTCCTGTAAGCAAGAGCCACAAACATTGAAGCATGTATTTGAAAAGAAAAGCACAGAAAAAAAGACAAGAGTTGAGGGTCTGAGAAATTATGGAGACAGAATAGAACAGAAAACTTTTACATAAAAAAATTGTTGCTTAACAGTAAAATGATTTTAATGGAATGCAAGGGGTAAAATGAGTTAGGGCATGTATTGAAAGTCAAGAAACCTCACGATATTTTAAAAAATACAGTATGGTTTTACAAAACTTACATTTTTAGCACCTAATTCATCTAGAGACTTCTGTTAAGAAAGCTTAAGTAATTTATTTAACTATAAATTTGAATTCAGTTTTTTGAGAAGGAAACCTTGAAGAAATAGAACTTTTCAATATTTTTTAAAAGGATTTTTAAGCCACATATTTAAGTGACAGGATGAAATTGTGAGGAACTTAAGGATTTATAATTTCATTTTTAAGTGTAGAAATTTCCAACAATGTATTTTACAAAAAAATTTGACCAGCAAATCCAACTTAAAAGTAAAAACATATAAAAAATTTTTATAATATACCATAATTGTATTGAATATTCAGTTTTAACCCTTTGCACTCCGCTGTCCCCTCTCAGGGGACATTGGTAGACAATGTCCAGAATGGTTCGGAGCGCAAAGGGTTAAAATTACATTCCTTTGCTTTTTGTGTGCACCTCCTTCCCCCATGCCCTGGCTGGCCTCAGTGAGCCTGCACTTGTATCCACTGAGCTCCAGTGGTAGGAGGTCCATGAATCTATTTTGCAGTCAGCAAACTGATTACTGTACAAATAAAAAGTTATTTTGTACACAAAAAGGATATATACCACCAAAATGGATAGTATATTTCAGTATTGGTGGACAAACAAAACTGACCAGGCAAGTTTCAGTCCAATTTAATTAGAAATGTTTTCATTTCCTCTGTACTGCAATTCTACTCAATCAGGGCATTTCCAAGAAGTCAAGTTATTAATTTCCTCGTCAATATTTTCCTCCTTTACTCATTCTGGAAGCACTGATGGTACTTAGCATATTACTAAATGGTCTGGCAGGGCCACAAATTCATTATATCTCAGGAACCAGAGTGACAGTATGCCAATAAATGGAGATCGATGTAAGGAGACAGGGAATGGTGGGGCCACTGTACAAGGACATGAAACAGAAACAAAAACAAAAACAAAAACTAAACCCTTCACTGATGTGCTTTGGTCCCCAGTTCCTTGTGTTTTCTGCTTCCACATGGTTGACCAATGACATCTCTCATTACATGCAGGGATGCTCAGGGACAGAACTGGGGTAGGTAAGGAGGAAGCAATATGACACTTCCTCCCTATTTTTGAGGATCTCTAAACTAGAGAAACCATCAGACCAACTACTTACATAAACTAGGATTACTGACAGTGATTTAAACAAAACAAATAAAAACAAAGGCACAGAGGAAACTCAGACTAACAATTAAAATGCCTAATATCTATTTTCCCTGAAAATTATAAAAATCACTGGAACAGGTTGACAGCATACCTTTTTTCAAGTTTTATATCATTGAGAAAGCCTTTGTAAAAATTACAATAAAATGAATTTTAAAAAGCATTCTTAGAAGATCAGGTTAATAGGGGACACAATATTTCTATTTTTATTAAAGAAGGCACATGATTAAATTTCTTTCTAAATTCTGTTAAAACACATACTGTAGTACTGTGACTTGGGAAACAGTGATATATTTCAGATGAATGAAGTATGAATTAAATAGAAATACAACTCTGAAAACATTGATCAAAAACAAACTTTAAATTAGAAAGCAAATGAGAACGCTTGTCCTCTGTGGAACTGGACTAAAAACCAGCAAATTTCTCTTAAGTTAGCTGATATTTTAAATAACATTATATAACCATCCATGCACTCAAAAAAACCCCCAAAAAACCAAAAACAAAAAAACCAGAGCTTAAACGTCAGCATATTGTATAATCCCAGGATCACATTCTAACTGCTCTGAGCTTTAGTTTCTTCATATGGAGAAGGCAGGCCAAAACTATACACCTTTAAGGATTATTGTAATAAACAATTTCTTGAGACTGACTTGTGTAAAACACTTAGAAAAGTGCATAACAAATGGATGGCTAGTGAATGATAAAACAAATTAATTACATCACCCTCGACGCCACTCAACACTTTTGCTCACTTCACTACCATACCTCTGTCGGAACATCATAGCTGGATCCATGTTAGCAGAAGTCATTCGAATAACTTGACGGATTTCCTTGGCAATCATTCGTAACTTCTCAAAATTTACTAAGCCATCTACTTTGGAGTCATTTCCTACAGAATAAAAGTAATTTAAAAATTTTCCGAATTGTTATTCTTGGAAGGCATATCAGAGCCTTCCTTAATTAAATTATCACTTTTATTTTTAAGAACTGATAAACTCATAGATGATTCAACATTGATCCTAGGGAAAGAACTACCAGGAGGAATTCTGTTCACACAGGGATAATGATTATGAATATAAGTGAGAAACTGTGTAAAACCAATTTCATTATAAGTACATCTATAAAAGGCACAGCTCCTCAAATCTAACTATCCAGATGCTGGATCCATTCTCAGGCAGGTATCTGCATCTACTCTTATGGGGAGAAGGGTATACTACTTCAAAAACTTAGGTTTTAATCATTTGGTTACAAAGGGTGACCTTTGAGCTTAACCCAGTTAAGTTTTCTTTGACCTTTGAGTTAACCCAGTAAGTTTTCTTTGCTTTATATTACTTAAAAAAAAAAAAAAAAAAAGAAACAAACAAAAAAAAAAACCTAGATAAAAATTGTCAAATGAGTTGGAAGAGAAATGGAAGATATTCCATGAAAACCAGTATTTCTGGCTTCTTGTGAAGAAAAGAGGGGAGGATCTGGGTGGAGGATTAAATAACTAGGACTCTTTCTCCCAATGACAATAATTAAGAGGTGGGTGGCTTTGAACATCAATACATATTTGCTTGTTTGGAACTTTACAATATTTGCTTTTGTTCGTTACATAGAAAAAAAAATCTACATTTCTTAGAGTAAAAATTCAACTCTCAAAATAGTCTATTTTCTTTGAAGAGAGCAGGCATGAAACCAGACTTAGTCCATTTATTTATTGGTTTACCCAATTCAAGCCACCAGGTAAAAAATTATATGTTAAAAGTGCAATCTATCTACTGTACTATTTTCTTCTTTAACAACTGTCTTTTTTAATAGTGTGACCACATCTATCTCCTATTGTACCCCTTGAGGTGACTTTGTGGAATGCCAAGTCCCTGAAACCAAGTTTAAGAGTCACATGGGTCTGGAGCACAGGGATGGTTTCCCTCATAGTATACAGCATCTGTACATTGAACATATGAATTGTTCAGCGACTCAGTCTGAGTTTAAAAGGAAATGATCACCAAAAATACTTGAAAGTTAAACACATTCTGAAGTTAACATGTTAGACAAGTACATTTTTGAGTCTATAATGTTTTCTTAGGTAAAATGAGTGATAAAAAAGAGAGGCAGTAAGATAATTAGAACCATCCTCCTGACAAGAACAATTTAAAAAGTTTCACAAAAATATATAAAAAAAAACCAAAGTAATCAAAAAACTAACGAAGCAGTGAAAACTCTAGAAGAATAGAATGAAGATCTGGGTAATATTTAGTATTTCCTACTGCTTGGCTATAGCGGCATCTGCTGATTTCAGGGAAGGGGGATGATGAGCTGAAAAACTGAACAGTGCCACCAAGATTTTTGAGGTTAGTAAGTCCAAGTAAACTTCCAACACTTTAGGGCCTCCCGGGTGGCGCAGCTGTTGAGCGCTGGGGGCGGTTCAATCCCTGGCTGCTCCCCGGCCGCCACCGGAGGAGGGTCCCACATGGCGCACAGACCTCTCCTGCCGCCCGCTGCTTCCCTCAGCAGTGTACTTCGGTCCTTCTGCCTGCTCTGCTCCCTGCTCTGGCTCTGGTGAATTCTCTCACCCTCCCGCGCTTCTGACTGTACCCAGTGCTTGCATAAATAAATAAATAAATAAATAGATAGATAGATAGATAAATAAATAACAAAAAACACATGCCTCTTTATAAAAAAAAAAAAAGAAAATCCCTTTAAAAAAAAAAAAAACAACTTCCAACACTTTAGACTGAGATTCTGAAAGCCTATAACCTGGAATACAGTGTGAAGTGAATGTAGATGGGGCAAAAGTCCAGCGTTATCTTAAACTGTGAAAGCAGATGATTTGGGATTGCAAGCACTCCTAAAGTGTGTGGAAGAAATAACCTTTAAATATCCCCATAGGAATGGGATATCATCTGAAACCTCAGATATTTTTGTAAAATTTCATACACAACACAACATCCATTTGATCAAAAATAATCAGGCACATAAGGTGAAATGAAAACATAAATGAAGTGCAAGAGAAAAAACAACAGAATGGAAACCACCAAGAATTCAGAACATGGAATTACTAGAGACAAACTTTAAAATAAATATGTTGAATTATGTTCAAACACGTAATAAACTAACACTGAGGACTTTGGAAGATGTCAATATGAAAATAAACATAAATGACAAAACTGAGAAACACAGTAAGAGGAATTAGGAATTATTGATGCATTTAACAGTGAAAAAGAATTAAACCAGATAGCAGATTGGTAGAAAATACCAAAAATGAAGCATGTTGAGACAAAAAGATGAGAAATACAAAAAAGAGTGTATCAGAATATAGGGGCACAGTGACCAGGTAGAATCAGAGGTGAAATCAAAATCCCTAAAGGAGAGGTCAGGAGACAAAAAAAACCTTAAATCACACGAGTGAGAATTTTCAAAATGATAAAAAAAGTTACAAAAATACAGGCACCAAGATATTCTATAAACAAATCAGAATTAAAATAAAAACAAAATGCGACACCTGGTAACATCATAGAAAAATGAGAGAAAAAAAAGAAAGAAAATTATAAAACAGCCACAGGGAAAAGGGCAGATTATAAGCAAAGAAACAGCAGTAAGAATGACAGTTGCCTTCTCAATGGAAAGCAGAAAACAACAGTCCTTATCTTAAAATGTTGAAGATTACAGTCAACCAAAATTTTGCCTTAAATATGACTATGAAACAGGGCTTCCCTGGTGGCACAAGAGGCTAAGTCTCAGCACTATGAAGCTATTTGCAGCCATTGCAGCACGAGTCTGAGCCCTGGCCAGGGAGCTGACCCTTATGGCGCAGCAAACCTCTCCTGTCTTCGCCCACTGCTCCCCTCAGCAGTGTATTTCAGTACATCTGATTGTTCTGCACCCCACTCTGTCTCTGGTGAACCCTCTCACCACCCCACCCCTATACCTCTGGCCTGCACCCCAGCTCTTGAATGCATAAATAAATCCAAAAAAAAAAAAAAAAAAAAAGGACTATGAAATAAGACATTTTTAGATTAACAAACACTAAGAGATTTTATCACTAGTACCTAACTAGCAACTAGAGGGGGAAAAAACCCAACCATATGACTGCTTTGAAATGCAGGAATAAAAAAACAACCACCACCTACAGGTAAAACTAAATAAAGAAATACTGATTTCAAGATACAGTGATATCATGGGGGACTGAAAGGCATGGCAAAACATGTGCATATAAATCAGGAGGTGACTATGCACAAAAACCAACTCAGAATGGATTAAAGAACTAGACATAAGACCTGAAACCATAAAATACATAGAAGGAAATATAGGCGAAACACTACATGATATGCACATCAAAGACATCTTTACAGACACATCACCCAAAGCAGTGATAGTGAAGGCAAAGATAAACAGCTGGGACTACATCAAATTAAAGAGCTTCTGCACAGCAAGAGAGACAATAACCAAAACAAAGAGAAACCCCACCGACTGTGAGAACATTTTTGCACACAACACTAACGATAAATGACTGATCACAAAAATCTACAAAGAGCTGATGAGACTCAACAACAACAAAGAAAATAATCCAGTCAAAAAATGGGCAGAAGAGCTCAAAAGAAACTTCTCTGAAGAAGAAATGCAAATGGCCAACAGGCATATGAAAAAATGTTCAACATCACTTGTAATCAGAGAAACGCAAAACAAAACTACAATGAGATACCATCTTACACCAGTGAGAATGGCACATATTAAAAAAACGAGCAACAACAAATGTTGGGAAGGATGTGGAGAAAAAGGAACTCTCCTGCACTGCTGGTGGGAGTGCAAACTGGTCCAACCACTATGGAGAGCTGTGTGGAGATTTCTTGACCTACTAAACATAGAGCTTCCATAGGATCCAGCAAGTCCACTCCTAGGTATTTACCCAAAGGACACAGAAACATCAATTCCAAAGAGCACCTGCACCCCTATGTTTATAGCAGCACTATTTACAATAACTAAGCTTTGGAAACGACCCAAATGCCCAAAAACAGATGACTGGATCAAGAAGATGTGGTACATATACATCAGGGAATATTACTCAGCATTCAAAAAAGATAAACACATGCAATTTGCAGCAACATGGATGGAGATGGAAGGGATCATGCTCAGTGAAATAAGCCAGAAAGAAAAAGAAAAATACCGGATGGTCTCACTCATAGCAGGAATCTAGAAAACTTAAATAAGGGACCAGGAAAAAGAATAACTATAAGAAAGAAAATATCAAAATCAACAAACAACTATGAACCAGAGACACTCTATGGGGGTGGGGGGAAAGGAGGGATTGGGGTCAAAATAAGGGAGTTGTAATTGTATGGGGAATATAAAAATAAAATTTAAATTAAAAAAAGAAAAAAAAACAAATAAAATTGTTAAGAGATATGTGATTTATGTGATCATGCTTCCCTATTTATATTGAATGTCAGAAAGCTTATGGTCTAATTATGGCCTATTCCTTGCGAAATATAAGGCCATATGACATGTTCTTGGGAACTAATCTTATTCCTGATTTTATAATTTTTGCTCCTGTGATTATTTTCCATTCCTCCTGATTTTCTTACTTAATCGGTTTTTCAGCAACTTTTATATATTTTTCAAATGCACATTTTATTAGGTTATATATAAATAAAGTAATATAGATGATGCACATAGAACACTATCCTGACTTTTTCAGCTGTGTGTATTAATAAACAATTGCTAATAAAACTTCTCTCTTCTCTAAAATCAATCAATCAATCAAGAGGTGACTAATTGGAATTTTTTTTTTAAAGATTTATTTATTTTTGTTTATACAAGCACTGGATACAATCAGAAGCGCGGGAGGGTGAGAGAATTCACCAGAGCCAGAGCGGGGAGCAGAGCATGCAGAAGGACCAAAGTACACTGCTGAGGGGAGCAGCGGGCGGCAGGAGAGGTCTGCACACCATGTGGGACCCTCCTCCGGTGGTTGGGGAGCAGCCGGGGATCGAACCAGCGCTGCAGAGGCTGCGGGCAGCTTTGCAACCCAGCGCTCAACTGCTGTGCCACCGGGGAGGCCCGACTAATTGGAATTTAAATGAGTGCCCTGCACTGCCTAACATGTAGAAATGTACTAATGAATGTGAAACTAATATCAGCAAATGTAAACATTATATAATGTCTAATATAATAGTTGGAAAATAGTAAAACAGTGTATAGTCAACAAGTTATCACAGGGAGACTGTAGATTAACCAGATGGTAAAAGAAAAAGGATTTTAAAATTAATAATTTGCAGTTCACCCAAAGATAACCTTGGAAAAGTCATACCTAGATTTTACAGAAAATTCTTCAAAAATCATTAATTGAGAGAACAACATAATACAAAAATAGGCAAGCTACCTAACTAATAACTGACAGAACAGAACAAATTAATAAATGAGTGCCGGGGCCTTCCTGGAGGAGCAAGGGGTTAAGATGCAACCTATGAAGCTGTCCGCAGCCACTGCAGCATCAGTTTGCTCCCTGGCCAGGGAGCTACCCACATGGAGAAGCAGACCTCTCCTGACTCCACTGCTGCTCCCCTCAGTAGTGTATTTCAGCTAATCAGCCTGTTCTGTTCCCCACTCTGTCTTTGGTGAATCCTCTTGCCATGCCCTCCCACCACTCCGACCTCTGGCCTATGCCCCAGATCTTGCATGCATGTGTAGAAAAATATCTTTTTAAAAAAATGAGTGCCTATAAGTAATCAGCAAAATGCAAATTAAACCACATCAACATACAAACAATCACACATCTACTGGAATGGGTAAAAATAAGAAGGAATTTACCAGTTATCAATGAGGATGTGCAACAATGAGAACTCTAATGACACCGTCAGTGTTCCATGTTAGCAAATAATACTAAACGTTTCTAAAGCGGGTAAGATAATTCTATCCTGAACAAAAACTGAACATATGTACTAAGAGTTATGTGCAAGAATATACATAGAATTATTCATACCAAGTGAACAGTGGAAACTATCAAATGCTCATGAACAGAATGGATGAATTCATTAAGTGGTTTCAAAAGTTAAGAGCAGCTACATTCAAAAACATGGAAGAGGGCCTCCCTGGTGGCACAAGAGGTTAACAACGCACAGCACTATGAAGCAATCTGCAGCCTTTGTAGCACGAGTTCGATCCCAGACCGGCCAAGGAGCAACCCACAATGCGCAGCAGACCTCTTCTGTCTAGCCCACTGCTCCCCTCAGCAGTGTATTTCATTCAATCCACCTGTTCTGTTCCCCACTGTCTCTGGTGAATCTTCTCACACCCTGTACCTCTGGCTTATACCCCAGTTCTTGTATGCATAAATATTTAATAAACTAAATTAAACCAAAACAAAAGAAACATACACTTATTCTATTTGTATTTCAAAGTTCAAGAACAGATAAAGTTAAGTCACAGTATTACAAGTCAGTAGTGGGGTTACCTGTGGGGCAAGAGGATGAGGATGGTAATTGGGAAGGGGTATGAATGGCTTCTGGGAGGAGGCTAGTAATGTTTTGTTTTTTAAGATTTGTTTACGCATACAAGAATTGGGGTATAGGCCAGAGGTGTGGGGGGTGAGGATTCACCAGACAGAGTGGGGAACAGGCAGAATGACTGAAATACACTGCTGAGGGGAGCACTGGGTGAGTAGGAGAGGTCTCCTGCGCCATGTGGGTCACCTCCCTGGCTGGGGATCAAACTCATGCTTCAGTGGCTGGGATAGCTTCACAAGCTGCATCTTAACCCCTTGCACCACCAGGGAGGCCCTGATGTTTTATTTTTTGACAGGATGTTGGTTAAATGGATAATGGCTTGGTCATAATTCTTTAAGTGTTTACTTATGAACACTTTTCTGTATGTATTGGATATTTCAACTTTTTAGAAGTTGGAAACATTGAGCAACAAATGATGAAACAATATAATCTTGGTGTAAGTCAAGTTTATATTTGAATACCTAGAGTGAACACATAGATTTGTCCTTTTAAAAAACGTGGGTTTGGGATGCCAATAATTTGGTGAGTTTAACTGGATAATATTCAGTGACATAATCACGCTGGAAAACAAATATAATAAATCACAATTCTGTAGAATTAGATGAGGCTAAATATGCTAATTTTCAAATAACTTTTAAATACCTTCATGTAGGAATGTCATATCTTTCTTGACAACAGGAAAGAGTGGAATAATTGGAGGTTGCATGCTCTGACTACTAAGAATATTTCTATACTTTGCCATGTTTCTAGATGGATCAAAAAGGTCTTGTAGATCTTGGAGGTGCTTCTCATATTTGCTTGGCAACTTTTCCCAAGTTCCTCTGAGTCGTGCTACAGATGCCAGGTTTAAACCACTGCCAAAGACGAGAATAAAACATTAAAAAGGGACTTGTGGAAGAGGGTGGGGGCTTAGATCAATAAAGAATATACACCAATTTTCTCTAAAAGCCAAAATAATCAGGGGCATATTTCAAAAGTGTTACTTAAGGGCACTTTTCTGTATGTTAGCTTTTTCAATCACAAAAATAAACAAATGGAACTTGATCTTTAATACAAGAAAAACTTTTTTCAGAACTACATTACTTGTCTATAGGTTTATACTTATAAAGTTTACATGTCAATGACAAAGAGTCTCATAAAAACAAACATTTAATTAAAAAAACACCCTTCAAGTATCATAATACTTTTGTCTGTTTTACTCAGAAATAAGTTTATGGAGACATTATCTATTTGTAGTGTTACGTAATATTATTAATGAGGCAAGTTCTGGGGCTGAGGTAGCCTTTCTCTGACATTCACTAATCACATTTTTGATGCCAATACTTCCTTACCCCTACGCTGTTGTCCTGTCCTCCAAGACAGGATTCCAAGATAGTCAATGTCTCCTTTCGAGAGGTTTTTAAAAATGCTCAACTAGCTCAAACTTGAAAAGTAGCTCATGCAAATTAGGCTTCAACTCCTCCAATTCCTTTACCTCAATACTACCATGCCATAGGAAGGCTGTCAAGTGAATAATGCACTTGTGTACCTCAATTTTCTTACCAGTTAATTTTTCTGATTCTTAGTCACCTGACTTTTATCCATGCTACCGTACTTAAAAAGTTGTCTTGACTTCTGAGTTTAACATGTGGAATTAAGATATCTTTGCTGCCTCTGCTTCTCAGAAAAAAACCCTGAACAACTACCAGGATGAATAACAGACATGCAAATTATCTCCACCGAAACTAAGAAATACCTGTAACTCAAAAAATAGTCAAGGTTAAAGAGGAGTATGCAAAAATGCTGAAACAGGAAGTATGTAGCTGAAGATTTCAATGAAAACTGGTAATAGCAAAGTTCTCCCAACCAGGTAACTCACCCTGAAGGAAAAACAGTAATACCCTATGTGGAACAACACAACAGAGTCCACAGAGCTGACAGAATTACATGGAAGCTGCGCTCTGTTCTTTACCACAAAAACATCAGGGAAAGTACACTGTGAGAAAGGATAGAAGGGATAAACTCTGAGCTGTAAGTAGTCCTAAAGCTGTCAATCTTTATTCAATGAAAAGGATGATTTCTCAGTTTTTAAAATATACATTTTTGTATTCATTGTAAGTATATAAATTTCAGGTGTAAATCATAATTTGATACCTATATCCACTACATCATGATTACTATCTCAAGTCTAATTTCTATGATTATACAATAGACCCCTTTTACCCATTATGACCACTCCAAAACCTATTTCCTCTGTGATAATCATTCATCTGCTCTCTGTATCTTCAAATTTTTTTTGTTCATTTGCTTTGTTTCATTGTATTCCACATGTGAGTGAAATCATGTTGTCTTTTTTCATGACTTATTTCACTAGTGTAATGCCCTCAAGGTCTATGTATGTTGTAGCAAAATGGTTAATTTCTTCTATTTTTAATAGCTGTATAGTATTCCAATGTGTGTATGTGTACACACATACATGAAAATCAGAACATATTTATCCATTCATGTGTCCACAGACATTTAGTTGTATGAGCAGGTACAGCTGACTATGTCACTCTGAAATCTCTACGGAATATTCCTATAATATCTAGTCCAATTGTACCCAATGGCTATTTCTCTTTTTTTTTATTTTTTTATTTTTTTAATAGAGACATGTTTTATTTATTTATTTATTTATTATATTTGTTTGTTTGTTTTGTTTATACATGCACTGGGTACAGTCAGAAGTGCAGGAGGGTGAGAGAATTCACCAGAGCCAGAGCGGGGAGCAGAACAGGCAGAAGGACCGAAGTACACTGCTGAGGGGAGCAGCGGGCGGCAGGAGAGGTCTGTGCGCCATGTGGGACCCTCCTCCGGTGGCCGGGGAGTAGCCGGGGATCGAACCGGTGCCGCAGAGGCGGCAGGCAGCTTCGCAACCCAGCGCTCAACCGCTGAGCCACCGGGGAGGCCCCCAATGGCTATTTCATAGAGGAACTTCCTTATTAGCTTGACAGATTATGATTAAAATGTCCCTTTAAAAAGATTGTTTCACTTATAGGAAGAATATAGGGGAACCAAATAAGACATCAGTGTAAAAAAATAACAATGCAAAACACAACAAAACAAAAACAGACAATTATAAATCAGAGACATCTAGAGGAGAAGAGGGAGAGTGATCAGAGGGATGGAGGGAGGAGCACAGGGGACTGTGGTGATGGTGCACGGGTGTATTGGTGAAGGAAATTCTATGGGGACTACAACTGGGGTGGGGGGAGCAAATAGTGTTTAAAAATGAACAATGATGTAAAAAAAAAAAAAAATGTCCAGTGGCCTCCCGGGCGACGCAGCGGGTTGAGTGCCACGATGTGAAGCTGTCTGCAGGCCCTGCAGTGAGGGTTCTATTCCCAGTCAGCCAGGGAGAGACCCACATGGATCGGCAGACCTCTCTTGTCTTGCCTGCTGCTCCCGTCAACATTGTCTTTGGTCCGTCTGCCTGTTCTGCTCCCCACTCTGTCTCTGGTGAATTCTCTCACCCTCCCGCGCCTCTGGCTTGTACCCTAGTTCTTGTATAAATAAATCTTAAAAAAAAAAGTCCAATTTTACCTCACATACCAGATAGAAGGAACAAATCAAAATGAAATTCTGTGGAAAGTACATATAGATAGAACTGGTTAAAGTAGAATTATGCTGCTACAAATACGCACACAACTTTATAAATGGGCCAAACTACAAGTGGCTTCCACCTTTGAAAACAGACTTGCTTTAAAGAGGAATCCTTCAGTTGATCATCTTATTTTAAAATAGCAACTGTAGACTAGAGCATCAATATCACAGTGATTTTTCAGTGACAGATCTAATGCCTCAATATCTGAGGCAGATACTGAAAGATGCACACTATACATGTCTGATAATAAAGAATAGCTGTTCAGTACATACCTAAAGAGGGTTCTAATCTTGAAAGGGCTAGAAAGGAAGAACTATGGTGGGAGGGGTCACCCACATTCACCAAAAATATGTAACTGTGGGGCCTCCCTGGTGGCGCAGCGGTTGAGCGCGGGGTTGCCAAGCTGCCCGCAGCCTTGCAGCGCCGGTTCGATCCCCGGCTGCTCCCCGGCCACCGGAGGAGGGTCCCACATGGTGCGCAGACCTCTCCTGCCGCCCGCTGCTCCCCTCAGCAGTGTACTTCGGTCGTTCTGCCTGCTCTGCTCCCCGCTCTGGCTCTGGTGGATTCTCTCACCCTCCCGCGCTTCTGACTGTACCCAGTGCTTGTATAAATAAATAAATAAATCTTTAAAAAAAAAAAAAAATATGTAACTGACAAAGATGAAAGAAACAATAATGTAAGAAATCAGTATTATCAGAATAGAAAACACATTAAATGTAGCAATACTTTAATAAAAAAACATATTAACTGAACTTGTCTCCTAGCTGTTTACAAACAAAAAATAGGCTTAATGTCTAATGTCATGACAAAACCATACACAAATGTTTGTAAAAACTTACCTTATTATTGCAAACATGGAGTTGAAGTTCTTACATTCTCGACAATGAAGCGCAATTTTAATGAAATGCTTAATAATTTTCATTCTTTTAAGCTGATTTGATTCAGTTAAAATCTCTGAGGCAACCCAGAATGTCTCTTGGTTTACAATGTCCTCAAATTCTTTCAAGTGAGTATTTCCTGTTTTGGAATCTAACTTAAAAAGGTCATCAATGTATTCTGTAGGCTCAATATTACGAAACAAATCAAAATCCCTCATGGACAGCTGAGTGGCCACCTCAATGGTACTGAGTTGCAACATGGACAGTTGGCTTTCCTTTACTAATTCTTGAGCATCTTCATCTGAACATAAAGTTTCTGTTTCCATGTTATTTTTTAAATAATATCTAGAAGAGAAAAATATTTTATAAATGATTTCAAATTTATAAGTGCACTTTCCCACTTTTCTATTATCATAATAATCAGTTTATTCTTAATACCTTACTACCAAAAACTTTAGCTGAAAAGTCACTTACAATGGCAATGAAAAATTAACATTTTCAAATGAGAAGACTTTACGGAAGTTGTTCTCTTCTGACGTTCATTCATTATTATTTTAAATAATGAAAGAAATATTTTCTAATTGCTTACAAGTGTGAGCAATTGTAGTATATTCACAGAATAAATGCTCTTTGCAAGTTCACGGAAAATAAAAAGTAGGGTCTACATAGATATCTGTTAATGGATAGCATTAATAACAACACCTCTACTCTGAAGTTGTTGCTATACTTGTTTCCTTATTTCTAAATTTACAACAGAGGCAAAGAATAAAGTGTGTGAAGGAGGGGAACTCTTTCACTAATTATTCTCTTTTGTTAAATTCTCATTCCAACAAGTGGCACTGATCAGCAACCATAAAATAGACCTTATTTTCCCTTTTCTTTTCAATCAACAATTCCATGGCATTAAAATCTAAGAGAGGTTAAGTATTCACAAGTAGAAAATACCTTACACAAATCTGTTGCTAGGAAAAAGAGGTACTATAAATATCACCGGTAGCATTACCTTCATTCTTTTTTTTCTAATATACAAGTTGATCTAAGCCCAAGTTTGTGTCTATTATTTTTATTGTCAAGGAACAAAACCTCTTTTCCTTCTACCTTTAGACTATTCACATGCCTAAGAGAATATCATAAATAACAGTGTTACTCTATAAAAAAATTGTATATGACATAGATAATATATCACAAATATGTACAGAGCATATTAACACATTATTAATTCTTTTAACATTCCTATATGGTAGGTTCTGCTATTATTATATCTTTGTTTTATTGATGAGCACTCTTAGGCACAGAATAACTAACTTGGCCTAGGTCACACAGAGAGCTGGGATTTGAATTTGGGCAGCCTGGCTCTATGGTCTTTCCTCTTTATGGAAAACCAACAAAATAGACTCAATCCTCTCTCTCTCAACATCATCTCTAAGTAATTTTAAGGTTTCCAAGAATCTCATTCTATATTTAAACCTAGACTCAATGAAAAAATAACTTTATCCACAGAAAAAGTCACCAAAGAATAAACATACTCCTGAAACTATCTTCTAGTTGATCTAATAATTTTCGGAGCACATTCAAATTTTTTTTACAAGTTTCCTGCATAGTCATAAGAGGAAAACTAGTTACAGAAAGAATTGTGAAAATTATGGCTTCTCTTGCCTAAAGCTATATTAAAAACAAATTAATACATACACACCTAAATATAAACAGGTACATATAATTTATCTCATTTGTCAAATGAGGAATGTGTAAGAGCACTTGTAATCAGGAATTGGATTTTATCAGTGGTTCTAAGGCTTTATTTAGCAAGCAGGCTAAACTTTGTTAGTAAGCTGTTTTCCCTTTCATTCTCCCACTTTCTGGTAGTCTTTAGGAGTTGTAATACTCCAAGATTTTCAGTGTTTAATTAAGGAAACAAGTTGGAAAGAGAAATCCTACTTTAATTTTATAGAGAACTCAGTGAATCTAAATCATGTTTCTATTGAAAATATCTTTTTAAAAATGCACTCTTCAAAAAATACATCCAAAATGAATACATTCACTGATAAGCACATTCACCTTCCATTGAGCTGAATTCTATCAGCTAATTTGGAGAACTGGTCTGGAAGTCTTCTTTGTTTTATGACACCCTCAGGAGTAACAGAAACTTCACAGAGAGAGTATGTTTCAGAGGCACCAGTCAAACCAAATTCATGAACAGCATGACAAACAACTTCTTTAGCTGTGGTGTCTTTACTGATGATAATGTAGCAACTCTGTTGATCTGCTTTGAAAACTCTTATAACTTGATCAGGAATATCTATGTAAATAAAAAAAATACCTTATTATTTTGAGGTAACTTTTAAACTCTTTCTTCCAAAAGCAATTTTGGACATGAGGATTCTTCTACACAGTGAAATATACATTTCTTATCTTAGGTTCACAGAAATAACTGTTGCATTTGTTAAAGAAATCTATCTTTGGAGGTGACAAAATACTAACACATTCTCATACAAAAATATTAAGAAAATGATTAAAATTAGGGTAATAAAATATATGGAAGTCACAATTTTCTTCTATATCATTTACAACTTTCTTCTATATCACTTACTATATCATTTCGCATTTATTATAAACATTTTGAAGTCATAAATATTCTTTTACACAGTTATATATTCTATTCTTAGTGGAGACAAAGGATTATAAAATCCTAGGGTGTTAAGACAGTGATTTTAATCACATTCTTATCAAAACTTTATTAAATAAAAGGGATTTCCCCTCCCCATTTTGAACACTTTACTTTTATTTCCTCCAAGAATATGTCACTGGTGGGCCTCCCTGGTGGCACAAAGGGTTAAGATGCAACCTATCAAGCTAGCCACAGCTACTGCAGCATAAGTTCGATCCTTGGCCAGGGAGGTGACCCAAATGGTATAGCAGACCTCTCCTGTTTTGCCCGCTGCTCCCCTCAATCCGCCTGTTCTGTTCCCACTCTGTCTCGGTGAATCCTCTCATCCCCCCTACACCTCTGGCCTGCACCCCAGTTCTTCTATGTATAAATAAATAAATCATCAAAAAAAAAATGTCACTGGTTACTACTGAGATTCATTGGTTTAGTGAGTCATTAGTGAGTCATCAGTATCATTCTTCAGGCATTCTTCACAATGAATTATACTAGATATCAACACTTAGTCTTCTATACTTGGCAAACACTTCCCAGTTTTTACATTCTATTTATTATAACAGGAAAAATGTAAATACTCACATGGTTAAATCTCAGTCTTTACCACTGAGATTTCTGTTATTATAAATTTCACCTCAAAATAAGTTCATATGATATGTACATGTAAATAATGTTATTTCACCCCCATTCTATTTTTTTTTTTTTTAGTTTTTATTTATTTATTTAGCATAGAAGAACTAGGGTGTAGGCCAGAGGTACAGGGAGAGGATTCACCAGAGACAGAGAGGGTAGCAGAACAGGCGGATTTACTGAAATACATTGCTAAGGGGAGCAGAAGGCAAGACAGGAGAAGTCTGCTGTGCCATATGTGGGTTAGCTCCCTGGCCAGGGATTGAATTCAGGCTGTAGTGGTGATAGGACTGAGACACAACCCCTATGCCACCGGAGAGGTCCCCATTCTTATTTCTTTTTCTTGTTATATGGCAGGGGCTAAAAATTCTTAAGAAAATGTTCAACAAGATGATAATGGACTAAATTGTAATATAAATAAGTGAAAAGTGATCAACAGCATGAATGTTTTATTTGCAGCTATGATAATAAACTATTGTTAAAATATCTTTAAACTAGGAAAAATGAATTGTGAATTTTTTTTTGGATAACTACAGTGAAGGTGACTGAAGGTTTTGGTGGCTCAATGAATCAAATATTGTTTGTCTAGCATTATGTTCTTAGCATTATACATAATTAACTGTTAGAGAAAACTACAAATTTGTCTCAAAATCATCTGAAGTATAATGCTGGCTAAAGAAGGGAGTGATGAAATAAATGCAGCAGGAAATGAGGTCATAAAATTATAGTCTAAGGACAGATACCAGCTCCCAGAGCTAAAAGATCCAACTGAATATATTTCAGGGAGAGGTCTTAGCCAAAAGACAGTGATTATTCGGGATCCACAGTCAAATTGGAAGCAGAAGCTTCATCTATACAGGTCCCTTTTGTAAGCTGCATATACCAAATTGCTTTTCCTTGATAAATATTCTGATGTTAATTCTTAGGGTACTGCTGACATCATTAGGTTTCCAAACCTACAAGGTCAGATTTTATTATCCACCAAAATCAAGGGGTGTTTCTCTATCCTAGGTTATAATAATAATGTAAACAAATTGAAGTTTGTTTGCCAAGGGAAAAGTTACTAAAGGATTTAATTATCTTTTTTTTAAATGTGACCTGATGATTAATTAAAAAAAAAATTATTTATTTATACAAGAACCGGAGTACAGGCCAGATGCACAGGAGAGTGAGGATTCACCAGAGAGACAGTGGGGAACAGAACAAGCAGACTAACTGAAATACACTGCTGAGGGGAGCAGTGGGCAAGACAGGAGAGGTCTGCTGCTCCATGTGGTGAAGTTTCAACCTGGCTGGCTGGCCGGGACTGAATCTGCGCTGCAGAGGCTGAGGACAGCTTCACAGTGCGGTGCTCAACTGCCTGCGCCAACAGGGAGGTCCTATTAATCTTTTTTTTTTTTTTTAATTTTTTTTTTTTAAAGAGGCATGTATTTTATTCATTTATTTATTTTTATTTGTTTGTTTGTTTATACATGCACTGGGTACAGTCAGAAGCGCGGGAGGGTGAGAGAATTCACCAGAGCCAGAGTGGGGAGCAGAGCAGGCAGAAGGACCGAAGCACACTGCTGAGGGGAGCAGCGGGCGGCAGGAGAGGTCTGCGCGCCATGTGGGACCCTCCTCCGGTGGCCGGGGAGCAGCTGGGGATAGAACCGGCGCCGCAGAGGCCGTGGGCAGCTTTGCAACCCAGCGCTCAACTGCTGTGCCACTGGGGAGGCCCCTATTAATCTCTTTTAACTCTACAAAACTGGTCAAACACCATACTACATTACTTGTAATGTTCCTACAATCTTCATAAAAACAGGTCTCCGTTGTCCAGGGCCCCAGAATTGGATAAGTTAACTAGATCTTTGAGGGCTGAGCCTCAGATAGCAGGACTGGCTGACCCTGAGAGAATGGGGAGATGCTTTGATCCCATTTTATTAATTTATTCAAATATTTATTTACAAAGACAGGTTGACAATTTGCACACATTTCATGTCCTCTTACACTGCTGTCAAAATACTATAACATCTTTGTGAAGTAACACAGAGCTAAGTATCTTGTAAACCAATGTAAAAGTCATACTGTTAAAGCTATTTGTTTCCTATGCAAAGAGACATAGTCACACAAGAGGGCTGCAGACATTATAAATGGGCACCTCTAGCTCTATAAATGGGATTATCCAAAGAACACCCCATAACCCAAACCTTGATGAATCTGCCAAGGTTACGGATGATAACTTAGAAAAACATTTGAGAGACGTAAGAAAATATTTCTCTGTACTGAAATCAGTGTCACTGTAAAATTCCTTTTCTATTTTAGAATTGTTACAGATATATTTTATTTACAAACATGCTTTTAGTGGGAGAACATCATACATGGCAACCAGATATTAATTACATGAATGGTAAATATAGGCCAGAATAAAAGCAAAACAATCAAAATCAGGTAACTGGTTTTATCAGATTATCTGGTTTTCTAACCAAAGTTACAATTTCCAAAGTGCTAATCATAAGCTTGCATGAATAAAATATAAACATGGAATGCTTGAGGATGCAAGTTTTCACCCTTTCATACTAAAAATCAGAAAAGTTCAAGTATTTAGGAAGACATTTTAAAATAATGAAAAACTGCCATTCATTCTGTTTTAAATTGTTAATCACTTAACAAATATCTATAGAGTAACTATTATGTGTGAATGTGTTCCAGATGACAAAGACACAGTAATAATATAAAGTCTCAGGGAGTTTGCTAATATTTAAGAGAATAAGTGGTAGTTCAAGGAAAGACAAATAATCAAGTAAAAAAAGAAAATCTGTAAGGTGATAAGTGTCACAAAGGAAACACAGGGTAGCAGTTTAATAGTATAGATCAAGGATTGGTAACCTTGTTTGGTAGAGTAAGACAGTAAATATTTTAAAGTTTTGCAGGCCAAAAGGCAAAATAGGTATTTTGTAGGTACTCATTTAACAAGAGAAAATAGGGGCCTCCCCAGCGGCGCAGCAGTTGAGCACTGGGTTGCAAAGCTGCCCGCAGCCTCTGCAGCGTTGGTTCGATCCCCGGCTGCTCCCTGGCCACTGGAGGAGGGTCCCACATGGTGCGACAGACCTCTCCTGCCGCCCGCTGCTCCCCTCAGCAGTGCACCTTGGTCCTTCTGCCTGCTCTGCTCCCCACTCTGGTGAATTCTCTCACCTTCCCGCGCTTCTGACTGTACCCAGTGCTTGTATAAATAAATAAAAATAAATCTTAAAAAAAAAAAAAAGTAACAGAAGTTTATAAAAAAAAAAACAAAACAAGAGAAAATAAGACTGGACACCAACATTGCACAAAATTTGTGAGAAAATTCAAAAATATAACATTAATACAAATATACAACATGTAAAGATATGTAAACACAGAGGTCCAGGCAACAATGTAAATGACCAGCAGTAGGGCACTGGGGTTAAGCTGAATGCTATCTATCAGCTGCTTAAAATTTTTGAAAGAAGAATACACCCTGTTACAGAAAGAACAGCATTATCATTCGGGGTGAAGGAAATTGTACATACATTTTATGTACTGTGAAATTTCTGGAAGAATACATGAGTAAATGAACAAATGTTAATTCTGGGGAGTAGAGGATTTACATTCTATTCTTTCCCTGAAAGTGATTAAAAAAAAACTTTATGTATCTTTACTACTAGAAACTAGTTGAAATAACTCAGACTTGAAATGCAAAAGAATCTGAAGTTTACTAAATATTAAAGAAATCAAATGTTTATGCTATTAAATGAATAGGAAAGCAAAACTTTCCATATGCAGACACAGAAAAAAAATTTCAGCTTCACAATCCTTTTAGTCATGTTCTGAATTCTTTTAGGCCTCATGCTGTGTTTGGTTAAAAATTCCAAAAAACTTTTCACAAGTTATAGAATTGCAGGTATACTCTCATTATATATGAGTACAAAAACATATATTCAAAGAAAATGACTAAAAGGAAACATGTCAGTTTGCACTGGCAACCTTGTAAGTAGAAAGAAAACTTCTTTATACTTCATTCAATTCTGCATTATTTTACCTTTACAAAATAATGAAAGAATACAAACATAAGCAATATAATACCATAGTCTTCAAGATACTTACAGTAAAAACCAACAGCTGTAGGCAGCAGAAACAAAGCAAAACCATGAAAATGTCAGCAATCAAAAGCAAACTACTGAACACAGCTTTGTCCTCACTTTCTAATCTTTAACCCTGTAGCATAAACACAGCTGGGATCAAGACTGATAGATGCTAATCAAATTTGACTGATGTCACACATGCTATAATATATATTATGTGATGTACACAGCTAATATTCAGTGGTGTCATATATAATTTAAGAAGCTAAATTTGGAATTAATTGGTAATTAATATTTTATTCTACATAAATATAAATAGTACTGTAAAGGTCTTTCATAAAGTTGTGCATTTGAGAGTTTAAAAATATGATTTCTAAGTTAAAAACCTACTTTACATATGTTCATCTATACTGCTGCTATGGACACAGGCTGTAAACATCTTTACAGACAGATCTTTACTTAGACTTTAAAAGGGCATCATCAGTCCTTTCAACATGTTTCAATGAGAATTATGCAATCAATCTGAAATCAAGTAGTATCTCCAGATGTCTGAATTTTTATGCTAAAAGATTAATTTTTAAATCTTATTAATTCCAACCAGCTCTCTTTCTTCCCCTAGCTAAGCACCTCACTCACTTTTCCTTCTCCTCTCCCTACAGCCCATCTTTTACTCTTTCAGTCCTTTTCTACATATCCTGGCAAAAATACACCCATTTAAAAATTATTTAGCCTATAAATTGTAAGTCCCTAAATATCCATAATAAAAATATACTTATTTAGCCTGTGCTCTGGTAGCGTGAAATAATTTGTCAATACAGTGTTAAGATGTATCACTGTGGAACACAAATAAGTAGACATGAAAACAAATTTCCATGCTATACCATGTGACAAGCAATATAAGAGAGACAAAGAAAAGGTGCTAGTGTTTCTGGAAAAGGATGGACTAATCTGTAGCTATGAAACTGGGCTTCCCAGATGAGTTAATGACTGAGGTCAACATACATGAGTAAGAAAAAATTCATGGGATATGCAGGGAAAGCACTCCATCGGTGCAAAACAGCATGGACGGAGAGTTCTGAAAATACATGCTATACCCAGGAAAGACGGATGAAGGGAACGGCAGAACAGAAGGCTAGAAAAGGTGTTTATAATCATGCTGGGAAAACTGGACACCTATATTTATCACCTTATTGTCTTAACCCTTTGCACTCCGAATCATTTTACGATATTTTGATTTAATTTCTTGTACCATTTCAAGATAAAACTTCAGGGAAACATGCATGTCTCAAAAAGTTGCGTTGAAATAACCTCAATTCCCCGTAATCACTAATAAACTGCAATGTCCCCTGAGAGGGGACATCCGAGTGATATGCTAGAATTCCGATGTCCCCTGAGAGGGGACAGCGAAGTGCAAAGGGTTAACATTCCAAACCCACTCTAATTTGTTATGATTGGGCTGAGGCTTCTGCAAACCCCTTTCTTTTCAATTGGTTCCCTTTTAGTTTCTGCCCAAAAGGGGCACAGGAAGTAAACTGCAAGATAAAAAGAGACTTGCTACTTTGGTTTTTGTGTGTGGGGACTTTTTGTTTCTCTATCGTCCCAGTAACACTTTTCACCCTGTAGTAGCATCCTGTTCATGCACCAGAAGTTCAATTCACTTGGTAGTTTTCTAACCTCTGAAATAGCTTAGTGCTTGCTTTTTTAGCCTTTCAGGTAAATACTTAACTATTTATAACAATTCCTTATGTTAAGGATCAAATATCTGGAGATTTTAATTTCACGATTGAACTGTGACAATTACAAAGCTAGAAATCACTAGAAACTTCTAAGCAAAGTAATGACTCATTAACATCTTTGTCCAAGAAAGAATACTGGTAGTCAAGCAGAGAGTAGGATGTGTCAAGACAGATTATTGGGTTTAGTAATCTCTTTAAAAATAAAAAGGACAGGCAGAAACGCTTTGCTTGCACTAAAATGGCATTTTTTTTTCCTATGTCCTAGAATTTTTATTTTAGGTGCTATAAAAAAAAACATGAACTTTACTACTTTCTTTATATTTACTCCTCAATACCAAGTTCACCCTCCCCCCTACTTTTTTATATTAGATAGTAGGAACTTCAGTATCAAAACTGAAGCAGCATCATAACTTCACTGATCTTTGTAGAAGTATTTTTTCCCCTTCTCTTCTTGGACACAATTATGTATTTTACTTTATAATTCTGTATGTCTTTTATCGAAACATCTTAAATCCTTTCAAGTGACTGATATACAAATAATTCTTCAAGGTCAACATTTTTCAACCTTGTAATGAAATTTTAGGTTATATAGGTAAATGATAATTTCTGCCTCTAGGCTAGGTGTTAAGAGATGCAGAACAATGAACTCAATGCACTACACTAAAAGTTTGAACATCAATGAAAAAGAAGCTATGGTATTTTATTAACAATACATGACAGGGGTTGGGGGTAGGTCAATTTCTAGAAAATCAATTACTAGACAATCACTAATACATTGCTGTACATCACAGAAGTGAGGCTACTTTGATTCAAATAATCTACCCTATTCTTTTTATAAACCAAGGATAAAATTCTTCTGGTCTGAGAGGTCGTATCTCTGCTTTCAACCACTGCTTCAATTAGGGTTAACAAAAGATACTAAAATGTAATCTCTATGTACTTTTATTTTATATAGGTGGAGGCACCATGCCAGCTTAGATAAAAAGATCTAGTTTTCTCTTTAATGGCCTTTTTTTCCCCATCATCATAAACTAGAAGTGAAAGAAGAGGGCTACAAGCAAATCCACTACGAATTGCATAAGTTGAACCATTTGGTGCCAACACAGAGCATAAAATCACAAACAAAAATTACCTGAAGGATTGGAAAAATCCAACATGCTGGTGGTAGGCTGCAGGAGATCTGGGCTGCTTGATGAGAGAGTTCCAGGAATAGGCATTATAGCCAGACTATGCCTACAGTGTCTTGTTCCCACAATGCTGTCATCTTGTGATTGGCTCAGGCCTCCATCACTTCAAAAGAATGTCATATATCACTTTAAATTATTTGAAGGAATTTAATAATAAACATTTCTGTTCTCTGTGCACTGATGCCTACTAGAACCAATTCAAAGGGCTTGTTTTAACTTAAACTGGACAACTGTAATGATGAAGTGTTTTTAACAATTATACTGAAATAAAATAGAACTTATACATCGAAGTAATTGTTCTACATCATAGAGAAATAATCATATTTATCTTCTGTTGGTTTTGGTACAGAAATTGAACCTGCATATTTAAGGAGCCCTTATGATCTGCCAGTTTCAGGCAATAATAATACATGTATCCAACAACGCAGAGCCACAGCAAGGCTCTGTCTCTCCACAGAAAGGCTTGGTGACCTAATCCAAGAATGGATGCAGGTCGAAAACCCAAACCCCAAATATGACAAGTTGTATGTAACAGAAGAGTCAGGTTCAAATGACAAAATGAGAGGTCTTTAAACATATGATCAACTTGGTGATTGTCCGAAACAGCAAGACTAGGGGAAAGATAACAAGAAGATGGTACAGAGAATAGCAACAAATAATGGGAATACTTAACAAACAGAAAGAAGGTGGGGAGGTGCGGCAGGAAAGAGAAATGGAAAGGGAAGAGGGGAAGGACCAGAAATTAATACATTAAAAGATTTTCAGCCTCTGAAGTTTATCCTAAGGGTGCAGTGTTTCTTGGGGGATCTCTCAGGTCTAATTATTAGCTGTTCTCTAGATGAGAACATCAAAACCATAGCAGAAAACAAGTTATCTAAAGTTAATTCCCTTTTCAGAGCTCAAAAACAATGATCAAATGGGCATGTTAAAGTAAATATTCTTCTTTTAACATGTTTTACAAGTGTTACTCAAGCAACTCTAAATCAAAGGAAAAAAATAAAAACCAAAAAACTCAACCATCACTTAAGTTTTAGGTACCTCAAAAGTTCTTTAAAACATAGGATAAGCAAAACATAGAACTGAAATGAACAAAAAGGTTTTCAACAATAACATCAACAAAAATACCATTTACTTCTAAGGGTTGTGCTTACATTAAAAACCAATGCTTTAGTTTAATATTAATTTCTATCTATATTTTATTCAATGCAGCATTCTATCCAGTACTTGTACATATACAGAGGTATCACAGAAAACTTACCTAGTATCATGAAATGTATTATTCTGTCTTAAAAATGAGTAATATGGGATATATCTAGAATACTTTAGGAGTAAAAGTTACAATTTAGGGAGATTTGGAAACTATGCAGGGTTCACTACTAAACCACTAAAGGACTATTAATAGACAACAACATAAAGGGCCAGGGTAAGAGAGAGCAGAGTCATGAAAAGCACGAAAACATAAAAGAGCAAAGACAAGTGTTTAAAGAGCAAGCTATGCTTGACACACTAGCTTATTATTTGTGTGATCAGGGAAATTTTGTTTCTGCACCCTGGTTTCATCACCTAAAAATATGAACAGTACTACCTATCCTCCAGGGTTACTGTGAGAATTAAATTAGGTAATGCAGGTAAATGTTTTATACAGAGAAAAACAGGATTATATTTTTAAGAAGACAGTGCTTTGACCAAAATTGAAACAGAATTGTACAAACCTAGAGAGAATTTTAAGCAATTCCTATTGAAAACCGAGGGAGGCAGAGTAGGTACAAAGGGTAAAGGCTCCACAGAAACAGAAAATGTTTTCTGGGGAGAGAAGGGAGTTTAATCTGATAGATACAGATAAGGCAGAAGAAATACCTTATTTGTGTCTATGGTAAATTGGCTCTTTATAATGAGAACTAATTTATAATCAGAACTTTATAATGAGAACTCTTTATAATCAGAACTAATTGTTTTAGGTGTGGAAAAGAAAAAAAAAAAAAGAGGAGGGATTTCCCAGATATTTTATTTATAGCTTTGTAAGTAATCTGGCAACAATTTCAATTATTTAGACGTGTTTTATAAAAAAAGTTTAAAAATGACTTTTAGAATTAAATCTGCCAATGTTTGGACACAGAAGGAATCCAAGGAAACAAACTATTAGAGAAATTAGCTGGTCCTACTAATAATCAAAGTGGAGGCAACTTCAACAATGTTAAAAAGTTTAAATTTTCTATTAAAGGTAACTGGCTACACTGGTTGCAGCAAGATAAAATTTACTACAAAGAAGTACTAGAAGTCCTTATTTCTCTGATGTTATTTAACATTACTTCTTTTTATAAGCAATAGATGTGACACTGTACAGTTATAATGTAAAGCTAGCATTCATGATAATTAAGGCATGAACATGTATAAATGAAAACTATACTACTGTTATGTACAATTCATGCTATGACATGAATGAAATCGTATATAACTAGCAAAATATCCATGCTTGTTTGGAAGCTGAATTGATAAAGCCCATTTGCAAAACAATTGTCATTTCTTACCAAAACAGTCTCCTGAGACGGTGATGCAGTAACAAAAACAAGATGAAAAATACCTCAATAATTCCCCAACACTAAATTTACTTACAATAAAGTGTATTTTAGTTTCATATTAGCCCTTCATAAAAGATGACATATCAATATGCAAATAAAAATAATCCCAATATTAAAAGCAAACAAAAGTATAGTGACAAGGAATAGGGAGAAAAATAATTTCTGATAAACAAGCCAGTATACTTCTGAACTATTACAATGAATTATATAAAGATGTTATGTAGACAATTTTTGATTAATGGAAAAAAATAATTGAAAAAAAAAATCAAACTTCCTGTACTGTGGAATATTCTCAGGTCATTAAAAACCATATTGTTAATGTCCTACTTGACAAATGTTACTCAAAATCAACAAATTTTTCCTTCTAATTTTCAGGACCTTTCTTTCTTTTTAAAGTTATGTTATGGGGCCTCTCTAGCGACACATAGGGTTCTAAGTCTCAGCAGTATGAAGCTAGTCGCAGCCACTACAGCACGAGTTCGATCCCTGGCCAGGGAGATAACCCACATAGTGCAGCAGACCTTTCCTATCTTGCCCGTTGCTCCCCTCAGCAGTGTATTTCATTCAATCCAGGTGTTTTGCTACCCACTCTGTCTCTGGTGAATCCTCTCCCCCTCTCCCCCCACCTCTGGCCTATACCTCCGCTCTTACATGCATAAATAAAATAAATATTTTTTAAAAATTATATTATGGTTAGAGGTTTTGGGATTGTCTATTCTCATTTTAACTATTTCTTCCTTGCATTCATTTTCTTTGCTCCTCTCACAGATACAGACATTGTTATAGTTATCTATGAAAACCCAACCCCTTTTCTTAAATAAGTTGGAGCTGAAAAAGGTTGAGACCAAGTGTCTCTTCCATAGAATCCTGGAACACAGGAAATGTTCAGAAATTTTGGAATTAAACTCATTGAAAACTTTTATTTTTAAATTAAAATGTAAACATGCAAAGTGGAAAATTTAAAACAAGGAAGGCAGGCAAATATTCTCCCATAAAAACACACATTAGAGAAAGCCACAGTATCATCATTTTTCCTGTAGTCATTTTTTTTGGCATATAGCACTATTTAATTAATCCTTTGTATTTGGACACTTAGGTCTTCAATTTTGTTTTAATATAGGTAATACTATTAAGAGTATCTCTGTGTAAATGCATATGTATGTGTACATATATAGTTATAAAAATGTAATTATTGAATTAAAGGTACGGACATTTTTAAATATCTTATTAAAAAATAGTACCCAAATGTTTTATTGAAAGTTTGCATGATTTTATTCCCACAGATGTTATCTATTTTATGTTACCAATTCTGGAATGACAATTCTCTGTCAATCTTTAATGAAATAAATGATATCCTTTTTTAGATTGCATATCCTTGATTACTGTTGATACAGAACATGATTCATGTTTTCTGCCTACTTTCCTATTGAAATTTTACTTATTTTTTAAATGTAAGTAGTAAAAAGTGTGGTCTGAATTTCAAATGGCTAATGCCAATACCACATACAGTCTCAAAAATGCAAAAGGGCCAGTCTGAAAGGTAAAATGACAAATCAGCTCCCTCTGCAAAACAGGCTCCAGTAGAAAACTTTCACGATTTCTCCTAAAATAATCTTTCTTTGGTATTTATATAAATGAAATTATTAGCATTCCAGTTCAATAAAACATGTTTAGAAGATACTGCCAACTTATAGGAGTTAATAATTAACTCCTTAAGGGCAGCAGTTTATTCATGTTTGTATTCATAGCCAACAGTCTGTTGATGTCACAAAACAGCAAACTCAATAAATGCTTATGGAATAACAAAAAAAGGTTTTAAGTAAAACTATTCTTATTAGATGCTTCACTTTGGGGGGGAGGGCACCCCTGGTGGCGCAGCGGTTGAGTGCTGGGCTGCGAAGCTGCCCGCAGCCTCTGCAGCGCTGGTTCGATCCCCGTCCCCCAGGCAAGGGTCCCACATGGCGCGCAAACCTCTCCTGCCACCTGCTGCTCCCCTCAGCAGTATACTTCCTCAGTCTGTCTGTTCTGTTCCCAACTCTGGCTCTGGTGAATTCTCTCACCCTCCAGCGCTTCTGACTGTACCCAGTGCGTGTATAAATAAATAAATAAATCTTAAAAAAAAAAAAAAAAAACGAAACTCAGTTTGCTCTCAATCCCCTCAATTTCCAAGCCTCCTCCTGTAACCAAAGTGGAATAAGCAATTCCTACTTCCTGAAGGAGATACTGTGGAGGTGAGATACTGATTTAATTGCCTAAAACTTGAATATAGCTCGTTGGAATGTGACACAAACAAGCTAAAGTCAGTTACAATCACAATGCTCTCTAGTTTTAGATGAAATGTATTACAAGTTTGCCATTGTTCAAAAGAGAACCAGGTATAGGATATATAGATAATCCAGACCCCAAAACATCAGGTTTCTGGAAATGGTAATTAGGGCATAACCTTCTGAGGACCTCCCATTTGTGAACTTTTATAGACTTCCGCTCATCCAAAACCATTCCCAATCTCTTCAATGTGGGCTGACCTCTCTTATAATCTTACTCATTATTATTTGTGAGAACAAGTCTTTTTTTATAATGTTCACTATGCTATCATGTCACAGTAAGCTAATATTAAATAATTTTACCATTTCAAAGTTATGATTTTATAAACCACTGACCTCAAAGATAGCAGTCACTCAAAAAAGATGAGTAATAAACTTTCTAGAAATGAGTGACACTATGACCAGAGCTCAGGATGTTTCAATCCTGTGTGAACCCCTAATTAAATGAATAATTTCTGACAGAAAATGTGAGATTTTGTACTGTGTAAATGAGAACTGACATTTTACTTAGTTCCAAGTTGCCTAATTAGCTACCTTGATACTACTGCTACATTTTGCTGTACCTTTAATCCAAAACCACTAACACAGCTAGCACACAGATATCCCTAAATGGACAAATCTTCAACACATCACATGCCTTCTGTGTCTCCCTATCATATGATGACATCCCTATCTCTATAAGTTTTTTTTAAATTCAAAGTTAAGGCTAATGGAAGTATAGTTAACCTATCACGGAAGTTATGGGAAGACATGCAGAATTTATTCTTATTTACAGATTATTTATAGATTTTAAGATGTGTTAGTTGCATAAAAAATAAAACTGATCCAGCACCCCCCTTCCAAAAATAAAAATTTTATAGTCTACACAAAAATGCTTATGTGACTGGGATTGGAATTACGTACCTAAATAGTTTTGGAGGCAAGATACTAAATCGTGTTTTATCCAAAATTTTCCTGATTTTGTTTCTTCCACCTGAAACAGTATTTGCTTTTATTTTCTTATTTCCTTTCTCCTGTGATGTCTGTTCAATATCTCCTGGTACATCCTGGATTGAATGGCGATTACTTTTTTTTTCAGCAATTTTGGGAATATGAGGTACACCAAATTTCTCCTGTTCAGTTCTACTAAGTAGCTCTTTGAAAACTGCGGAAATAAATAAATACATTTGTCATTTCTTCTCATTAGAAGGCTTTTACACCAAAAACAAATCTAAAGTATAAACACAGCTGATTTCTTTCACAGTCTCATGCATTAAACATGAAATTTATACTCATCCTTTAATTACCAGCTACATCTACTTCTCTCTTCAGTTTTTATACCCGATCATACTTCTGATTTTGCCCAAGAATGAAAAAAGTCACTGGGGAAAATGCAAAGGAGATAGGGAGGCTATCAGCATGTTTGAAGAGTCCAGGGGTTCTTATTTAGGTAGCATTATAACTGTAAAACTCAGATTTTATAGATCTAGCTATTTAAATCCTATTATTTATATATTATTTCCTTTTTTTAAAAATTTATTTACTTATTTATACAAGCACTGGGTACAGTCAGAAGCATGGAGGCTGAGAGAATTCACCGGAGCCAGAGAGGGGAGCAGAGCAGGCAGAAGGACCGAAGTACACTGCTGAGGGGAGCAGTGGGCGGCAGGAGAGGTCTGTGCGCCATGTGGGACCCTCCTTCGGTGGCCGGGGAGCAGCTGGGGATTGAACCAGCGCTGCAGAGGCTGCGGGCAGCTTCGCAACCCAGTGCTCAACCACTGCGCCACCAGGGAGGCCCTATATATTATTTCTTATAACATAAATCACTTGAGATGAGATACCAGTACTATAGTCAGGCTCAGTTTTGCAAAATTTAGCCACTAAAAAAAATAGGAGGAGCTTTTGCTGGACCTGTTTTCACTAGAAACAAACACACAACAATTTCCTCAAGGTCATATTTATGAGACTTATGTCACTCAGTAAAGTAAAAAGGAAAGGAAGGTGCAGGAACATTAGAGAACCTGACTATCTAGCATTCTTTGCCTGGATCCAATTTTTCACTTTCTGAAAGGGGCTATCCCTCTCCAAGATCAGGCAGAAATATGATAAAGCTGTATGGGGCTATAGGTCTAGAACCCCCGAGTATCTCCTTTTCCAGTTAAGAAAATTTCTATCACCTATTTTTCATTAATTAATGGCAAGGAAAAGATGTTTTTGGTTGTTGTTTAAAATGTGTGTGCTTAAATAAGACAGATCAGTTGCTAGGCAAAGAAGACTAAACGATAAATGTTACAGTGAAATGCAACTTTCCTAAAAATTCAAGGAGGGGCTAAGGGTCTGAATGAAAGAGAAATAGTGGTCGCATATTCAGTTACATGATCTGCAGAACCAAATACTCAGCTTATCAGTGGTGCAACTTTGAGCAGCAGCTTCAAGATAAATTTATAAAAGAAAAGCTATGAACTGGAGAAATGTGGCCCTCTGAAACCCCAACCCCTGAAAATTGTAATCAAAGGACTTACAAGATTTAAACGTACTAAGCCTTTAAAACTGACACATTACAGGGCCTCCCTAGTGGTGCAAGGGGTTAAGACACAACCTATGAAGCAATCTGCAGCCACTGCAGCATGAGTTCGATCCCCAGCCAGGGAGCTATCCACATGGCGCAGCAGACCTCTCCTGACTCGCCCGCTGCTCCCCTCAGTAGTGTATTTCAGTGAATCTGCCTGTTCTGTTCCCCACTCTGTTTCTGGTGAATCCTCTCATCCCCCCACACCTCTGGCCTGTACCCTAGTTCTTGTATGTATAAATAAATCTTGAAAAATAAAATTGACACATTACAAAGTAAATTATTTTAATTTCACTGTATTTTTAAGCCATGTGACAAAGGTAAAAATGTTTCGAAGCTAAAATTAAGACAGTCATCCATTCAAAAATTATTCATGTCAGGCACTATACTAGATGTCTATAAATTCCTCCTGATATGGAACACAGCTTAAAACACATGGTGCACAGAGAACATAAAGCAAGGAAATAATTAAAATAGTGAAAAAGGGAAAATCTTCTCTATCATGTCACTGCCTCCCCGGTGGCAGCGGTTGAGCGCTGGGTTGCGAAGCTGCCCACAGTCTCTACAGTGCCAATTCGATCCCTGGTTGCTCCCCGGCCACCGGAGGTGGGTCCCACATGGCGCGCAGACCTCTCCTGCCGCCCGCTGCTCCCCTCAGCAGTGTACTTCGGTCTTCTGCCTGCTCTGCTCCCCGCTCTGGTGAATTCTCTTACCCTCCCGCGCTTCTGACTGTACCCAGTGCTTGTATAAATAAAAATAAATCTTAAAAAAAAAATAAAAAAAAGAAGAGATCACTAAGGTTAGTAGATTTTAGCTAGGCAAAGGAGGAATGATTCTAGGTAGATGAAACCTCAAATTCAAAGTCCCTATGTTAGAAATAAAAGTACAAGAAAATGACTAGAGGACAAGGTAGAGGAAGGAGATGATAACGCTATGGTATATAGCATTTTAATTTTCTGTTGAAAAGAGCAGGTAATCTTTGAATGAGCAACAGAACATTCCTGACTGTGGTAAGGGTACCAACCAGTATGGAGAGCAGTTTATATCTGCAATGTCTCCATGGGACATTGTTAGTAAGACAATGGAGGAAGCTGGGAATTGGCTAAAAATTGGTGTCACGGTACTTTAGGAGGTCAAATCACAAAATAGGGAGAGACAGTAAGAAACACAATATTTATCTACTTGGAGTGTGAGGTTAAAGAACTAAGCTCAAAATCTCTGAAGGAGAGAAAATATTAAAAAAAGACAAACATCAGACTGAATCAAAATCTACGCCTTAGGTAGAGACTGGGAGTAGAGTGGTAGGGGTTCCAAATGAACGAGGCTGAAAAAGCTGAGTAAAATTTCCTGCAATTTCTTGGTGCTTAGGTACAAATTTCCCTTAGAAGAGGGGTCTACATAAAGCACATGACAGTTACTGCTCTCAACTTGAAACCATTGTACACAGTCTTAGTAATTCTGCAACCCAGCTTGACAGACTTAATTCCTCTTACTCTATCTGCTTAACCAGAGGAAATGGCAGATCCCATCTGTGAGAAAATATTTACTGTTCTCTAAGTTGCTATACATAAAATACAGCATACAATGAAAAATTATTAAGACAAAGAAAATAAGGTAGTTAAAGGAGAAAATAGAATTAAATATAATTCAAATGTTGGCATTATACACAGGATTTTATATTGTATCTTGTCAAAAAAGAGAAAAATGGGTGAGAAAAATGGACAATTGCAACAGAAAAATGACATCTATAAAGGGATTCAAATGGACATTCTATTACTGAGAAATTCAACATCTAAAATTAAACTCACTATATGTATTTAACAACAGACTGGATATAGCAGAAACAAGATAACTTTGTTTAAACATGGGTTATTAGACAAATATACAAAGTAAAGCACAAAGAGGGGGAAAAACAGGAAGCAAACTTCAGATGAACCCCACACATGGTATTCAAAAAGGATGCAAGTGATACCTTATTGTAAATTACTGTTTTTTTTCCTCAATGATTGTCCTGCTCTTGTTTTAAGTAATAACCTTTAAAATCTCTGAGCAGAGTTTTACAAATGTTTTTTTCTCTTTCCCTTAAATTAACTATTTTCTCCAGAATCTGTAAACTCGTTGTTAGGTAGCACACCAAACCCAGTCAAAGACCTGGTTTTCCTAAGACTGGTAATCTGTGGCCGTAAAATTTTAACATATGATCAACTCTGTATACTTTGCTGGAGAATCTAAACAGATACATTTTCTGATCACAACATCCCTTTTTGCAGGAGTTCTAACTGCAAGTTACATGCAGTTCTGAATGCAAGTTCTAACTGCTCAATTTTGCTTCGTGGTAATTTCATAATTATTAGAGTAAGTACCATCTCTAGATAGGAGTACTCCATTTCTACAAATATTTTACTAATATGTCTTTGAGAAACACTTTGGTGTTTTGCTTAGGATGAATACTACTACAATAAGGAAGAAGATATTGACTGCTATGAGCCCCTCTCTACAATACTAATTAACCCCCTCACCTTTGCCACATTTACCTAGTTGGGCAAGTGTTTCTCATCACTCAAAGAATGGTGAGTTTGTAGCTTCCCTGAATTTTGCACCCTCCAGACCTACTTTGTCTTCTAAGGTGTTGTTATTAACCACTACATTACACTGCCTCTACTATTTTTATATATAATATTTGATACTAGTTAGTAATCATTAAGTGCCAGACAAAAAGTTTAAAGGTATCTGATACCTTTTAAGAGCCCTATGAAATAGAGCTGGAAAAACTGAAGCTTGGAGAGGTGAAATAATTTGCTCTAGGTATAAGAGCAATTTCTTATTATTGTATTTTTCAAAGTTGGAATCCTGTCAGTTTAATACCAAAGTTGATGTTTCCAGATGCTAACCCAAACTCCAAAAGTGAGAAACTGTCAAGGCTTATCTGTTTATTCTATGCAGAACTAATGTTACTTAAGGGACTCAATGAAAAAAGAGGAAAAACACCAAAGGCTTCATTTTTCATATTACTAAGTACAGCACACTGGGAGCCAAAATGAGAAAAAAAACCCCTTATACTTCCTTTTCCATATACATACTTTTAAATTCAACTCTTACTTCTCAAATTGCAGCCTACATGACTTAAGGGAAATTTTCCCTTCCTACTTTATAAGGATTTCTTAAATATTCTTAGAGTTTTCTAGTATAATATGGTTTTTTACTTTTGCCGTCTCAGAATTTCAGAGAAAAGCCTATGGTAGCTGAAGAAACCAAAGTAAAATAGGTCTTTTCTGAAAGTTGAAAAAAAAATTTAATTAAAAGTACAGGATTACTGTTTTCAACCAAAATATGAATATCATCAAAACACACAATATGCACACTAACCAACATTTTTTACATAGTTTGCTGTTACTGAAAATCTAGTTCACTGATTAATCAAACAAAAAACCCATTTTATTTTCATTAAATAAATCATCTGGCATTCATGCTATTACTTCAGAAAGGTAAAACATTAGAAGTACACTGATTAGCACATAAGCAGGGGAAAAAATTTATGACATCTAAGTTTTACTTAGTATTCCCTACAAAATACAGTACATAATAGCACCCTTACAATGACAGACTGAAAATAATTGCACACGTTTTAAAATTTACTAAGATACCAGACTATTTTATATATAATGAAAAAAATTCTAGAATACATACTATATTTCAACAGTTCCTAAAAATGTTAAAATAGCTTAAAAATAAACATGTACATTTTATTATCCTTTTCATTGTACTTTTTTGCTATTACAAAAAGTCCAGTTTTCGCAACAAAACTCACCAAAAATGTTGGTCTTCACAGTAAGTGCAAGATGAGTATTATTCTTCAAAATTTCAAGGGCCTTTACAAATGTAATATTCTCAAAGTTTTGTCCATTTACTTCCATTATCTTTAAAAAGGAATTTGAAAAATACAAATTAAGATAGAAACAGTATTAGTATTTTTGACAACTTTAAGTTTAATGGTGGAAAAAATCAAATGAAGCTTGAATAAACACCACCCATAGGTGAATAACGGTTATCTCTGTGGTAAGTGGGATTATTGTTTAATTCTTTTTTACATTGCTCTATTTTCCCAAATATCTCCTATTAACAATTTTTTAATAAAGTTCATCCTTTTGGATCTTAAGCTTTTTCAAAAATACAGAAGATTTACATAAGAAGTAAAAATATTAATCATGTTATAAACTCATGAAAATTACCTGTATGTGTATTACAAATTTAATAGAACATTCTAAATGAAAATTTGTTGTATTTAAAAGAGATAATTTGGGCCTCCCTGGTGGTGCAGGAGGTTGAGCGCAGCGCTGTGAAGCTGTCTGCAGCCTCTACAGCGCAGGTTTGATCGCTGCTGGCCAGCAAGATACCCACATGGTGCGATAGACCATCTCATCTGCTGCTCCCCTCAGCAGTGTATTTCAGTCAATATGCCTGTTCTGTTCCCCAGTCTGTCTCTAGTGAATCCTCTCACCCTCCCGCACATCTAGCTTGTATCCCAGTTCTTGTATGCATGAATAAATCTTAAAAAAAAAAGAAAACTTAAAAAAAACACAAAAACCAATAAAAGAGATAATTCATTTAAAAGTGGTATTCAAACTACATTAAATAACAATTATTTGCAGTGACTGAATCAATAGTCAAAAAGCAGCAAGCACAACTGCAATGGGTTCTCTTCCATGTGACAGTGTTGATCCTTCACATCAGGGATCCCCAAAATTAGCCTTATCTCAGAATCATACAGGACACTTATTTAAAAAATATTAATTTCACGGGACTAGGAGATAACATAATAAGCAAAAAAGAAAAAAAAATTAAAAGCAGGATAGAGGATAGATCTCAGGAACTGACAAAATTCTAAAAGTATAGCAAAAGAGAAGGAATCAAAGTATTAGGAAAAGAAAAATCTCAGAAAATTCCCAGAGTTGAAAAAATGTCTTGCATTTATGTGCTGAAATGGATCATATAGTGCCACACAGAGGTTTTCTAAGCAAGGAAAGAGAACAAAGAATCTATAAGCATCACTGTGTGGGCAGAAGAGCAGGAAGGAAAAGCACCTAGAAAAGAAAAATAAAGTTCGGCTTGGACTTCTTTCAGACAACACTAATATGATGTGATACTTTTCTGTGACTTCAAATTTTTGAGGGGAAAAAAAAAACCTGTAAATAAATAATCTTATACTCCGCTGAACAAAAACAACTCCAGAAATGCAAGGACATAAAACTACAGTACCCAACTGTCCTTTCTGAAGAAAAGTACCAGAACAGGTATTAGAATTACTAGAAGGCAATAGTGAAACTAATCAAAATTATAGGGACATACGGCACAGTTGAAATGAAGACGATCAATAAAATCAGTAAAGCAGGAGTAAATGTCTTAATGATTATTGGTAATAAGCTTGTAAAACTAAATGCAAATGCAAAGGTATTCTTGAAAGAGAAGAAACAATGTTAAAAAGTGACAATCTCGATCTAAAACTTCAAATAATTTCAGTGACACTTGGGAAAGCTAAGGGGAGAAGAAAAGCATGATATATTTCTCTCCTCTCTCATGAATGACATTAATGGATTTCTTTTTTTTCTTTTTTACATTTTGAAAGGACAGATGTATTACACAACACTAATGATAAAGGGCTGATCACAAAATTCTACAAAGAGCTGACAAGACTCAACAAAAACAAAGTAGATAAGCCAGTAAAAAAATGGGAAGAACAGCTAAAAAGAAACTTCTCCAATGAGGAAATGCAAATGGCCAACAGACATATGAAAAAATGTTCAACATCACTTGTAATCAGGGAAATGCAAATCAAAACTACAGTAGGATACCATCTTAAACCAGTGAGAATGGCACATATTAAAAAAACTAGCAACAACAAATGTTGGGAAGGATGTGGAGAAAAAGGAACTCTCCTACACTGTTGGTGGGAGTGCAAACTGGTCCAACCACTATGGAGAGTGTGTGGAGATTCCTCAACCTGCTAAAGATGGAGCTTCCATACGATCCCGCAACTTCACTCCTAGGTATTTACTCAAAGGACACAGAAGCATTAATTCAAAAGGGCACCTGCACCCCTACATTTATAGCAGCACTATTCACAATAGGTAAGCTATGGAAACAACCCAAATGCCCAAAAATAGATGACTGGATCAAGATGTGATATATATGCACAATGGAATATTACTCGGCAATCAAAAAAGATAAACTCATGCCATTTGCAGCAACATGTATGGAGCTGGAAGGGATCATGCTCAGTGAAGTCAAAAAGAAAGAACAATGTCAGATGATTTCACTTATAGGAGGAATATAGACGATCCAAATAAGGGATGAGGAACAAAAAAGAATTATAATAAAGTAAAAATTACAATCAACAAGAAACTATAAACCAGAGACATTCTGCAGGGGGGAAAAGGGAGCAGGATCAAAACAGGGTGGAAAGAGCACAAGGGACTATAGTGACAGAACACAGGTGAATGCGTGGTGGGAATTTCACAGGCTCTACAACCGAGATGATAATGCATACATTGTATGAAAATGAAAAATGTAAAAAATAAAATAAAAAGAATGAAATTCTTAAATGTGTTTACAATAAAATATTTGAAAAATTCTTGATTCCAGGATACTAGTTACTATATATCCTGAGTAGTCTGGGTTAAGGCACAGGAAACTATTTTTAAATGCTCCCTTAGGAAAGAAGGGGTAACTATTCCACATTTTGAGACAGATAACTTTTCATGGGGGTGGGATTGTGGGCTGTAGACAGCATCCATAATCTTTATCCAGATGTAATCTCCAAGTCTCCAAAAATACCTCCAGACACTGCCAACTCTTGGGGCTTGGACTGGATATAAAATCACCCCATGATGAGAACCACTGCTTTGAAGTGTAGAAATTTTCATAATGTGAATGGCCTCATATTAAAAAAGCAGGACCATATAGTTTAAAATAAAATAAAGTCACATTCTTTTTTTTTTTAAGATTTATTTATTCATGCATACAAGAAATGTGGTACAGGCCAGATGTGTGGGTGGGTGAAAGGATTCACCGGAGACAGAGCAAGGAATGGAACAGGCACTGACTGAAATACACTGCTGAGGGGAGCAGCGGGAGAGACAGAATAGGTCTGCCTTTCAATGTGGGTATCTCGCCCGCCAGCTGGGATCAACCCTGCACTGCAGAGGCTGTGGACAGCTTCACAGCACTGTGCTCAACTGCTTGTGCCAACAGGGAGGCCCTAAAGTCACATTCTTAATGAATACAGTTTTAGTTTGAAAAATTTATTTATTTATGCATGTAAGAACTGGGGTGTAAGCAAGAGGTGCAGGGGGTGAGAGGATTCACTAGAGAAAGTGGGGAGCAGAACAGGCAGATCTACTGAAATGCACCGCTGAGGGGAGCAGTGGGCAAGGCAGAAGAGGTCCGCTGCGCCATGTGGGTAGCTCCCTGGCTGGCCGGGAAGAGGGACTGAACTCATGTTGCAGTGGCGGGTGATAGCTTGATAGTGCTATCTTTAACCTCTGCGCCACCAGGAAGGCCCAAACGAATAAAGTTTTAAGAGGGGAAAAAAGCAAGCTTCCCAAGTGATTAAGCTACATTTGGGGAAAGAAATTGGTTTTCACAAGAATCCTCTAGACAGCTTTGATCAAAAACCTGATTATCAGTTTTTGACTGAAGTATGGAATTTCAGCAATAAGGTTATCAGTAGATCATATTTTGAAATATGGTACTTATAGTAACCTAACAGCATGTGGCGAGAATAACCCCTACCAACTTCCTGAGAGTCTCCTCCTTTTCCGTAGTCCCTCACCTTGCTCACTCTGCTTATGGGTGTAGTTTTGCTACCATATGCTTCCTAACCCTTGGAGGATGGATTAAACATTCAAATAAGTTCGTGCTGATAGTGCCAAGACTACCAGGGTGATTCTGGTAACATAATATTAAAATTTTCCATAAGAAGTAATGGATGGGGGGCCTCCCCAGTGGTGCAGCAGTTGAGTGCTGGGTTGCAAAGCTGCCCGCAGCCTCTGTAGTGCCGGTTAGATCCCTGGCTGACGGGCGAGGGTCCAACATGGCACGCAGACCTCTCCTGCCGCCTGCTGCTCCCCTCAGCAGTATACTTCGTTGGTCTGCTTGTTCTGTTCTCCGCTATGACTCTGGTGAATTCTCTCACCCACCCATGCTTCTGACTGTACCCAGTGCTTGTATAAATAAACAAATCTTTAAAAACAAAAAAAAAAGAAGTAATGGATGGGGCCTCCCCTGTTGGCACAGGCGGTTGAGCACAGCGCTGGTTCGATCCCAGCTGGCCAGTGAGATACCCACATGGCATGGCAGACCTCTCCTATCTCGCTCATTCCTCCCCTCAACAGTGTATTTTGGTCAGTCTGCCTGTTCTGCTCCCACTGTCTCTGGTGAATACTCTCACCCTCCCACGCATCTGGCCTGTACCCGGGTTCTTGTATGCATGAATAAATAAATCTATTTATAAAAAAGTAATGGATATATATGACAAATATCATTTAAGCACAGCCATTTAAAAATATTATCAAAATGTTTTTACATTGATCATGCTTATTTGAAAAAACATCAGGTGAGGATATAAATAGCAGACCTATAAAAAGACTTCAATCTATGTTACTAGTTACTTACCTGATCACCACGTTTCAGTCCTGCATCAGCAGCTTTGCTACTAGGGTCTACTCCTTCAACAAAAATACCAAATCCCTTCTCACTTCCTCCATTAAGGCTGAAATGCAGAGGGGACTCCCGGGAAGCCTTCTGCAGCACAACTTGTCTCCACTTAGCCTTTGCAGCACAAGCAATATTCAATAACCGGAGATGACCGTTCATTTTCTATAAAGCAGAAAGGGTAAAGTTTACATAAATGTATATATCTACACCTACAGAGGTTTAAAAAAAATCAACTAAAATGATCAGAATTAGAGCTACATTTGAAATATAGAGCAAAGAACATGTATGCCAGCGTAAGTAACACTGAAGTACAGAAAACTTCTACTCCAAAGTACTCTGAAGAACACGACCTCGGGCCTCCCCTGGTGGCACAGGTGGTTGAGCGCATGCCATGAAGTTGTCCACAGCCTCTGCAGCGCCGGTTTGATACCAGCCGGCACACCTTTCCTCTCTCTCCCGCTGCTCCCCTCAGCAGTGTGTTTCATTAGTCTGCCTGTTCTGTTTTCCCTGTGTCTCTGATGAATCCTCTCACCCTCCCATGCATCTGGCCTGTACCTTGGTTCTTGAATAAATCAATTAATCTTAAAAAAAAGGGGGGCCCTACCCTGGTGGCGCAGAGGTTGAGCGCTGGGCTGTGAAGCTGCCCACAGCCTCTGCAGTGCCGGTTCAATCCCCAGCCAATGGTAAGTGTCCCACATGGCGTGACAGACCTCTCCTGCTGTGCCCGCTGCTCCCCTCAGCAGTGTATTTCGTCACTCCGCCTGTTCTGTTCCCCGCTCTGGCTCTGGTGAATTCTCTTACCCTCCCGCACTTCTGACTGTACCCAGTGCTTGTATAAATAAATCTTTAAAAAAACCAAAAAACAAAAACACGACCTCTTAATATGCCTTTTTAAAGTTTCCAGGTAACCACAGGTTAGAAAAGATTTCAAAGTCATTTGAAAGTTATTTAGGTCCTGGTCCCCGCATCACCATTTTAGAACAGGGACCTTTCTTCAGAAAACACTGCTTGAAACTGGCAGAAGGCTCCCGGATGAGCCAGAGGTGAGCTGGGAAGTTTGCCAGCGCCAGGCCCCTTCTGGCCAGCAATCCTAGCCCAGCGGGGGAGCGGGCACCCACTGCCGGGGCAGTCTGGGCACACAGGGGCTTGCGTCCCCACATCGCCATTTTAGAACAGGGAACTTTGTTCAGTAAAGACTGCTTGAAACCGGCAGAAGGCTCCCTGCGGAGCCAGAGGTGAGCTGGGAAGTTCACCCACACCAGGCCCCTTCTGGCCAGCAGTTCCAACCCAGAGGGGGAGCGGGCACCCAAGGCCTGGGCAGACCGGGCGTGCAGGGGAGTGTGTTTCCACATCAGCACTTTAGAACTGGGAACTTTCTTCAATAAAGACTGCTTGAAACAGGCAAAAGGCTCCCGGAGGAGCCAGAGGGAGAAGGTTCCCTGTGCATTCAGAGGTGAGTTGAAGGTCCCCACAAGCCTGGTCCTCAATGGCAGGAAGTTGGAGCCCAAAGGGGGATACAGTGATTTGGAACCAAGAGTCCAATCCAGCTGCCCCACCTCCAGGGAAGTTTGTGGGACTTCAAGACACACCTTTGTAATTAAACACAGAAGGAGGAAATATTCTGTGACAGCGACAACTAACATACTCAAAGTACCACTGCCTCACTAGACTTCTGGCATAACAGTATTTGACTCGTTTAGACCACCAGTTTCCAAACCCCACAAAGAGCACACCAAAAAAGATGCCGGCCAGTACCCTAAAGAACACTGATGCAAAAATCCTCAATAAAATTTTAGCTATCAGAATCCAACAATGTATCCATAAGATAATTCACCACGACCAAGTAGGATTCATTCCAGGGACACAAGGATGGTTCAGCATCCGAAAATCAATCAACGTCATCCAACACATCAACAAAAAGAAATACAAAAACCATATGAAAATATCAATAGATGCTGAGAAAGCTTTTGACAAAGTGTAACACCCATTCATGATAAAAGCCCTTGAAATTCTTGGGATACAAGGAACATACCTCAACATCATAAAGGCCATATATGAAAAGCCAACAGCCAGCATCATTCTCAATGGCAAAAAGCTGAACGCATTCCCATTAAGATCTGGAACAAGAGAAGGATGTCCACTGCTTTTCAACATAATACTGGAAGTCCTAGCCAGAGCAATAAGACAAAAGAAAGACATACAAGGAATCCAAATAGGAAAAGAAAAAGTCAAACTATCACTATTTGCAGATGATATGATAATATACATAGAGAACCCCAAAAACTCCACAGAAAAACTAATTCAACTAATCAATCAGTTCAGTAAAGTGGCAGGATACAAAATCAACACGCAAAAATCAGTAGCCTTCCTATACACAAACAATAAATCTGAAGAAGAAATAAAAAAAACCATCCCTTTTATTATTGAAACAAAAAAAATCAAATACTTGGGAATAAACCTAACATAAGAGGTAAAGGACCTATACAAAGAAAACAATAAAACACTGTTAAAAGAAATAGAAGAAGACACAAAGAAATGGAGAGACATCCCCTTCTCATGGGCTGGAAGAATAAACATTATGAAAATGGCCGTCCTACCAAAAGCAATATACAGATTCAATGCTATTCCAATCAAAATTTCAATGTCATTCTTCAAAGAAATAGAACAATTATTGATGAAATTCATATGGAATCACCAAAAACCCCGAATAGCCAAAGCTCTCCTGAAAAAAAAAAAAAAAGAAGGGAAGGGAGGCATCACACACCGACTTCAAACTGTACTACAAAGCCATAATCATCAAAACTGCTTGGTATTGAAACAGGAACAGACACACAGACCAATGGAATCGAATAGAAAAAATCCAGAAATAAACCCACAGATTTATGGTCAACTAATCTTTGACAAAGGAGCAAAGAATATGCATTGGAGCAAAGAAAGTTTGTTCAATAAATGGTGCTGGGAAAACTGGGTCGCTACATGCAGAAGAATGAAGCTTGACTACTACCTCATACCATACACAAAAACCAACTCAAAATGGATTAAAGAACTAGACTTAATACCTGAAACCATAAAATACATAGAAGGAAATGTAGGCGAAACACTACATGATATGCACATCAAAGACATCTTTACAGACACATCACCCAAAGCAGTGATAGTGAAGGCAAAGATCAACAGCTGGGACTACATCAAATTAAAGAGCTTCTGCACAGCAAGAGAGACAATAACCAAAACAAAGAGAAACCCCACCGACTGGGAGAACATTTTTGCACACAACACTAATGATAAAGGACAGATCACAAAAATCTAGAAAGAACTGATGAGACTCAACAACAAAGAAAATAATCCAGTCAAAAAATGGGCAGAAGAGCTAAAAAGAAACTTCTCTGAAGAGGAAATGCAAATGGCCAATAGGCATATGAAAAAATGTTCAACATCACTTGTAATCAGGGAAATGCAAATCAAAACTACAATGAGATACCATCTTACACCAGTGAGAATGGCACATATTAAAAAAACGAACAACAAATGTTGGCGAGGTTGTGGAGAAAAAGGAACTCTCCTGCACTGTTGGTGGGAGTGCAAACTGGTCCAACCACTATGAAGAGCTGTGTGGAGATTTCTGGACCTACTAAACATAGAGCTTCCATAGGATCCAGCAAGTCCACTCCTAGGTATTTACCCAAAGGACACAGAAACATCAATTCCAAAGAGTACCTGCACCCCTATGTTTATAGCAGCACTATTTACAATAGCTAAGCTTTGGAAACAACCCAAATGCCCAAAAACAGATGACTGGATCAAGAAGATGTGGTCCATATACATCAGGGAATATTACTCAGCATTCAAAAAAGATAAACACATGCAATTTGCAGCAATATGGATGAGCTGGAAGGGATTATGCTCAGCGAAATAAGCCAGAAAGAAAAATAAAAATACCGGATGGTCTCACTCATAGCAGGAATCTAGAAAACTTAAATAAGAGACCACGAAAAAGAATATAAGAAAGTAAAAATCAAAATCAACAAACAACTATGAACCAGAGACACTCTATGGGGAGTGGGGGGTGGGGATACAAAGGATTGGGGTCAAAATAAGGGGGTTGCAATTGTATGGGGAATATAAAAATAAAATTTAAATTAAAAAAAGGAAAGTTATTTAGGTCCTCCCTGGTGGTCCAAGGGGTTAAGATGCAGCACTATGAAGCTATGCTCAGCCATTGCAGCACGAGTTCAATTCCTGGCCAGGGAGGTGACCCACATGGTGCAGCAGACCTCTCCTGCCTCACCTGCTGCTCCCCTTAGCAGTGTATTTCAGTCAATTTGCCTGTTCTGTTCCCTGCTCTGTGTCTGGTGAATCCTCTCACCACCCCCCTCCCCAACACCTCAGGCCTGTACCCCAGGTTCTTTTATGCATAAATAAATCTTAAAAAAAAAAAAGTGATGTCTCATTTAGAGAGGGATGACAAAAAATTACTTTCAGAACCTTCCTATAATACATACTCTAATACTATATATTACATAAAAACAATATTGTTTTAAACTTCTAAAAAAAATCTTCAAAGACTTGAGCCACCTTTCCAAACACTGTGCAATATTCAAAGACACATTCAAATCTATACCTGATATTCCTATCTTATTTAAGATCTTAAATCAGTAGTGTAACTAAGTCTAATTAGAACTTCCAAGTTCTAATACCAGTTTAACATTCAAGAATTATGAACTAGTATAATATGTGCAAATCTCATGTCCATACAAGAAAATGAAGTATTTTCAGAGCAGGGGTGAAATCTTATACTTATTTTGTACCTTAAACACCTTGGAATATAAACCAGAATTCAATAAAATACTTGACAATTGACTTATTACTGGGGGGAAAAAAGCCTCATAATTTTTTATTTTATTTTTTTAAAAGATTTATTTATACACACAAGCACTGGAGGGTGAGAGAATTCACCAGAGCCAGAGCAGGGAGCAGAGCAGGCAGAAGGCCCGAAGTACACTGCTGAGGGGAGCAGCGGGCGGCAGGAGGGGTCTGTGCGTCATGTGGGACCCTACTCCGGTGGCCGGGGAGCAGCCGGGTATCGAACCGGCGCTGCAGTGGCTGCGGACAGCTTCGTAACCCAGCGTTCAACCACTGCGCCACTGGGGAGGCCCATGCCTCATAATTTTAAAGAAATATATACATTCCATCAATCCCTTTAATATCTATATAACCAGCATTGGGAAAATCAAATAATGGTGGTGAGCCGCTATTGTCTCTTAATTAAGTTCTCCAGTCTCTGTTCATTCTTCCCATTTCACATAGTGCAGTTGTGTTGCTGGGGAGACTAAAGGACCCACAAGAGGTAAGGAAAGTGACAAAAATCTGTTGATTTCCTCTTTTAATTCTATCCACTTATATTCTATGAATAATAATTACAGTGTCTGAGTTTCTGCTATATACCAGGTTTTGTTCTTGTTGTATCAGTAAGTTAGGGTGGTCAACTATCAATATGAGACTGGCAAGACAGTAAAGCGACCTGCTCAATTTAACATATATAGCAAGTGGTGGTATTGGATCTAAATTCAAGCAATCAGACTCCTCAGCTTTGTTATTATTTACTTCACTAAAATTTCAGGTTGCTTGGAGTAGAAAATTCAGTTGCAGCTCAGTTTTATAACTGATAGGGAGAATAGTATAGTTTCGCAAATCACTACTATAGAAGCTAAGAGAACCTTGAGGGGATGATCCTAGGCACTGCATATTTAAAACAAGTGAACTCACACACAGAAGGGAGACTTAAGAATTTAAGCATGATTGGGGAGAAAGAATAACCAACGTGAGAAAACTAAAGTCAAATAATCTGGCTGGATATAATCTAGGTTGCACAGAAAAAAAAAAAAAGCTGAAAATAGAGGTAAGGACCTGAATAGTGAGAATTATTGTGATTGAAAATACTCTGGTTTATGGACAGAGCAATATTCACATCATTTGAAATTTAAAAATGATCTTATGGCCAGACAGAATAGATTAGGAAGGGGAGACTGGAACTAAATCCAGCAAGTTATTGTAATAGATTATGCACAATGAAACACGGTCCTATACATAAACAAGGTGAAAAAGTAATGGCTGTGAGAGACCACAGGAAAGTGTAATGTCTGAATCAGTGGCCCAGATGATTTTATAATTTATGAGTCTAATTATAAGTGACTGGAAGATAAATTACTACTAGTTTTTAAAACAGAGTCAGGAAGAAGCAGAATTTGTTTGCAATGCAGTGGCAGATAAGAAGTCTAGAATATAGAATATTTAATTTATATATAGAATATAAATTTGAAAATTCTCCTCAATTATTCCAAAACACAGGAGAAGATGAAAGCTGTTTTGAGTTGCTTTTCCTTGAAAGGGAGGACCCTTAAGCTCTGAAGATAAATTCTTTTGGGCCTTACCGTATCTTCCAGATTCTTTTCAAATTCCTCCAGAAATCGAGTCATAGCTGGATCACCTTCAAAATCATTAAAATGATTATTTACCCATAGTAACACAATCCGTGTGACCTGTCGGAACATGGAAAGGATAGCATACAGTGATGAGAAGCATTCGTTCTGCAAAGGTAGATTCCAAAAGAACGTCCAAAACTGAGAGGGAACTGAGCTTTATGGCTACTCTTCTTGCTTCTTTTCCTATACACTAAAGGTTCACTCCAACAGAGAGGAATAGTTTAGTTTGAACTGTTGCTTCCTTAGGAACGTAAGTAACAATGAGAACCAAAGACTTTGCCTTAGTGAGAAAATACAGGTCTGCATGCAAAGACATACATGTATTTCAAAGTACATGGGGATACATGTTTCAGACAGTAACTTAAAATGCAAGCTTCTAAGAGCAAGCAATCATACTAAATGTTTCTACAGTTAAGTGCATGTTTAACCAAAGCTGTTTAACAATAACGAACTTGAAACTTCCTTCATTATAAATACTTCATTATAAACATGTGACCTTTTATGCCTGGCTTTTTTTTTTTTTTTTTTTTTTGGGACTATGTTTTCACAGTCCATCCGTGTTGCAGCATGTAACAGTATATATATCATTCCTTATCACTGTGTGGCTATACAGTGCTTTGTTAATTCCTTCATGAGGTGAGGGACATTGAGGTATTTCTATGTTTTGTCTACTATCAATAATACTACTATGAACACTTGTATAAATGTGCTTGTTTGCACTCTTGTTTTTAAGTTCTTTTGGAAATATACCTAGGAGAATTGCTGGTTATTCTATGCTTTACTTTTTGAAAAAGACAACACAATTTTTTTAAAAGCAGCATTATCATTTTTCATTACTAGCAAAGTCAATTTTTCTGCATCTATGTCAAGACATGTTATTTACTTTTTTTTTTAATCTATCCTAGTAGGTACAAAGTAGATCAATGTGGTTTTGAGATCCATTTCCCTGACTAAAGATCCTGAATGTTTTTTTTTTTTTTTTTCATGCGTTTGTTGGGCATTTATACATCCTCTTCAGAGTATCATCTATTCAAATCCTTTGTCCATTTTTAAATTGAGTTGTCTTTTTCTTGTTAGGTTATAAGAGTTCTTTGTATCTTCCTGATAGTAGATCCTTACAGGTATCTACAAATATATTCTCCCATTCCATGTGTTATCCTGTCTTTCTTGATGGTGTTCTTTGATGTAGAAAAGGTTTTAATTTTGATGATGTTCATTTCATTCATCTTTTCCTTGCTGCTTTTGCACTGGGTCACTTAGCTAAAAGAATCACTGCCAAATACAAAGCCACAATTATTTAGCCCTTCCTTTCTTCTAAGATGTTAGTTCTATTTATTATAGGTTTCTGATTCATTTTGATTTAATTTCTGTATGTGATATAAGGATCCAAATTTTTTTGGAGGGGAGGCACGGAGACATCTAGCTCTTATTTTGTTAATTCGCTAGCATGCCTTTTTCCCCTTTGGAATTAAACTAACTATAGATAATGGCAAAATGGGTGAGGCATGCTTGCAGTTTTGTACACTTTAGTTTCTTAAACAATAGAAGTCCACAGACCAATTACATTCAATTTATTGCCTTTCAGCCATTTTGGCCCTACTTTTAATGTTCTTAACATTACTAACTTCCTATCAATTTGCTGTTAGTAGTTTTTCTATTAAATGGATAAACATGCAATGAAATAAGGTAAAATCTAATTAAAGTAACTGTTTTTAATGAAAAGAAATACTGACAGCTAGATTTTTAAAAGTCACAGTAGAGATAACGTCTAACAAATTGTTTTCAAATGATTATAAACAATTATATTTTGAGGCTTCCCAACAATCTAAGCCCTTCTGAAAAAAAACTTACTTGGTGAATACTTAAACTATTAATCGCTTTTAAATGTCTTGTTGATCTCCTCCAGAAAGACGCTATACCACATCTTTAATACTTTTGCCTTTTTTAGGTTTATCTCTACTGCTAACAAGTGTTTTGTCATAAAAGCAAGCAGGAGATATATTTGTATATATTGACTCACTAATTTTTTTGTATGACATTTATCAACTGCAAAGATTTTGTGAAAAAAATTTGAGGGATAAAATCACTATTATGTCCCTTTTATTCATGAAACCAACCTTATCTCTTAAGCTATCAATTTTAAACCATTCCAAAAGTTTGATTCCAACATCCAAAGGACTTTCAAGAAATGTTCTATAAGTTAATAGGAAATCTTCTATATAAGTTGGGTCCACAATGGAATGTTCTTCTATTAAATGCATGATGAGACGCTCAGGTGTTGCCTAAAAAAATCCAAGAAAAGAAAGGATCAGAAAATAAACAAGCAGCTCAGGAACCAAAGAACTCCTATTGATTACTTCCCATTGTGGGCACTCTGTCAGACAAGGTCTCGAGTTCTATAGCAGAGAGAATGCAGTTTCTATAGGTTGCAATCTGCCAACATCTAGGCTTTTAGAGAGAAAAGGCAGAGGAAAGGACTATCTATTAACAGTTATGACTGTTTCTATTGGCATTTTATCATACTAGGACCTCTGAGCTTTACTGATTTACCTTGATGTCCAATTACTGCCATATGTATTTGCATGTAATTACTATCTCAAGATAACAGAAGGAAGACTCAACTTTAGAGTTCAACTTTAAAAATGTTTTCCTCCAAACTTAATCTTCAAATTTTCTTATTCCCCAGGCTATAGGAACAAATACAAGATACCAAAGTTTACTGTTGCTGTTATTACTGTTATTGTTATTTCCCAGAAGAGAAGCATCTCTTCTTTAGCGTCTCTGTGCTAGTTCACCATCTTGAGAGAAGTCAGTACTAGAGTTTGCACATTGAGAGTTGACTGTCTCCAATTTTTTTAAAAGGAATGTAAATATTTCTATACTGCTCTTTAAGTTTCCAAATCAACACTAATCTTCGCAGTCTTTTCAAAAGTAGGTACACAGAATAGAAATAACACAAATATTAAGCTTGATATAAAAACCCACCATTGCCTATGATATCAAATTTCAACTTGCTGCATCCATCCAATTTCACTGACTTGAAAAATTGTTCAGGAAATATATATCAATACTAACAATCTTCTAAGAATTTATTTTTTTAAAAAAAGTATCCACTGTTAACAAGTTACATAAATTATTTCTCTAAATGGAAGTTAGAAGGTTTTTCATATAACCTATTTAAGGGACAAAGCAACATATCAGTCATTTTTATTCTTCCATCATCCAAAAAGCACTTCCAGTCTGAGACCCTTAAGGTGAGTTTATCATTGGGGCCAATCACAATTTAGGTTCATTTAAATATGGCTCATAGGCAATGGATACTTAAGTTAGGGGTGGAAATGATCATCAATTAAAGAAAGGCGATTATTCTTTTTTTTTTTTTTAAAGATTTATTTATTTATTTATATAAGCACTGGGTACAGTCAGAAGCGTGGGAGGGTGAGAGAATTCACCAGAGCCAGAGCAGGGAGCAGAACAGGCAGAAGGACCGAAGTACACTGCTGAGGGGAGCAGCGGGCAGCAGGAGAGGTCTGCGTGCCATGTGGGACCCTCCTCCGGTGGCCGGGGAGCAGCCAGGGATGGAACCCGCGCTGCAGAGGGTGCGGGCAGCTTCGCAGCCCAGTGCGCAACCGCTGCACCACCGGGGAGGCCCAAGGCGATTATTCTTATTGGTTAAGTCACTGAGGAAGGATCTCTGCTTAGATTAAGTCAAAAACTCATAATTTTATTTAACAATGAATCCCACAGCCAGGCAGAGAAATATCACCGAGGTGCTCACTAGTATCCAATAATATGTAATTCTGGGAGACAGAATTGGCAGGTGAAGAAGATGGCTGGCCTGGTTATACCGACACAGCAAAAGACTGGTTGTATGAACAGGTAAGTAAAAAGTACAGAGCATAACAAGAGCCACAGTTGGAGAAGGTATTTACAAGTATAAAAAGGTCAGAGGAAAAACTCAGTAGTTTAGTGGGAGTACTGATATGAATTCATCATTGTCAAAGATAAATGGATTAATAAGTTAAAGGTATGGGGCCTCCCCAGTGGCGCAGCGGTTGAGCGCTGGGTTGCGAAGCTGCCCGCGGCCTCTGCAGTGCCGGTTCGATCCCCAGCTGCTCCCCGGCCACCGGAGGAGGGTCCCACATGGTGCGCAGACCTCTCCTGCTGCCCGCTGCTCCCCTCAGCAGTGTACTTCGGTCCTTCTGCCTGCTCTGCTCCCCGCTCTGGCTCTGGTGAATTCTCTCACCCTCCCGCGCTTCTGACTGTTACCCAGTGCTTGTATAAATAAATAAATCTTTAAAAAAAAAAAAATGTTTAAAAAAAAAAAAAAGTTACAGGTATGTATGTATTTACAGCAAACACATATGTACATTTCCTAGTTCTGTCTGCTTAGAGGATTAAAAGCTATGACACCTCAGTTGTACGGAATGCAGTTAGTGTTCAGATCTTGGTTTTTGATGCTATTCTCCACTAGAAGGATGCAGGGTACTCTGGAGAAATGGCTACTTTCAAAACTGAAGGAAAGTACAACATGAGCCTGGAACATTAAATTTTTGTTAGATATTAAGGAAGTTCTTAACGAAAGAAAAACAGTCAAAAGGAAAAGAAGTCTCTTGAGAGGGTCCCACTGCCCAAACCAGGAAAAATTTGACCATTGGAATAACACTGATGTTAAGTCCATACTAACATAATTAATGAGTGCAAAGAGAATGTTCATCTTTACAGCAGAATGAAAATAAATCATTTTAGGCAGTAGTCGTCAATGAAAACAAAAACTGGTGGATAGAGGGTTACAGGAGATACTGACACAATCCCAGCACATCTTTTTTCGAACAGTTATCAATTTCCAAGAAAGAAATTGTGACTTTACAATGAAAATACTCAGCAGACAGACACAAACATGACCATCAATCAAGGGTAACTTCACCAGTGGAAGGTCAGATTGACAATGTGTGCTACCTGAAGATACACTGAAAAGAGCACATACTTTTGTGGAATTTCTGCCAGGAAAGCATCATAAAAAAACACAGGACAGATTCAGTCTGAGGGGAAAACTATGGAATATAAGGTCCATATTCTTTAAAAGTACAGGATTATGAAGAGGAGAGACTGTTCTTGGAGTAGATTAAGTTGACATGACAACTGAATTCTACTGTATAACTGGATGAAATCTTAGAGCAGAACGGAAAAAGGGCCACCACTGGGAGAATTAGTGAAAATCTACATAGAGACTGTGGGTTGAATAGTTTTACTTTATCACTACTAATTTATTTCCTCACTTGAAGGGAGAGTGGTCTATAGTGCTTAAGCAGGGGGTATTCTTGTTGTTAGGACATACACAATGAAATGTAATATTTAGGAATAACGAGGCATCATATTTGCAGACTGCTCTCAAATATTCAGAAAAAATGATAATGGAGAACACGTAGTAAAATCTTAGCAGCTGGGTGATCTGAGTCAGGTAGCTCCCCTTACTGTTCTTGCAACTTTCAAGTTTGAAATTGTTTAAAAATAAAGTTATCGGGCCTCCCCAGTGGTGCAGAGTGGTTGAGCGCTGGGCTGCGAAGCTGCCCGCAGCCTCTGCTGCGCCGGTTTGATCCCCGGCCACCGGCGAGGGTCCCACATGACCCGCAGACCTGTCCTGCAGTGCCCGCTGCTCCCTTCACCAGTGTCCTCCGTCTGTCTGCCTGTCCTGCTCCCCACTCTGGCTCTGGTGAATTCTCTCACCCTCCCGCGCTTCTGACTGTACCCAGTGCTTGTATAAATAAATAAATAAATCTTAAAAAAAAAAAAATAGTTATCAAAAAACACTAGCCCCGGCCCTCCCTGGTGTGCAGGCAGTTGAACACAGCGCTGTGAAGCTGTCCACAGGCCTCTGCAGTGCTCTTTTAATCCCCACTGGCCTCAGAGCAACCCATATGGCGAGCAGACCTCTCCAGCCTCGCCTGCTGCTCCCCTCAGCAGTGTATTTCGTCAGTCTGCCTGTTCTGTTCCCTGCTCTGTCTCTGGTGACTCCTCTCAGCCTCCTGCACATCTGGTCTGTATCTGGCTCTTGTATAAATAAAATAAATCTTAAAAAAAAAAAAATTCCCAGGAAAAAAAAACCAAAAAACACTAGCCCTCATAAGAAGATAGCTTATAGCATTCCACCAACCAACCATATGTTCTTTTCTACATGTAAAGCTTACAATTAACAGTTTAGGAGAAGAAAAAGACATTGCTGAGGAATTGTCTGACTACTGAGGATGAAAAGATTTGATGTCAGCTTGTCTAATATATGAAATAAGTACTGCATATGAATTAAAAATAACACATTTATTGATTTTTGCAACCAAGACCAGCCTTTAAAAGAGAAAGAACCATGTGTTTATTTATACTCTCTTTCAAATATAATTCCTCTATTTTCCAGCTAGAGATCTTTAAAGTGACAGGGGGCAAAGGAGATTATGGGAGAGACAATGGGATAGGGGTGACAGGTAGTTAAAGAGAAACCAGTATGTGGAATAATACTAGGATTTTAAAGTGATAATGTTTTTTAATTTACCTCATTTAAACCTAATATTGTCCAAATTTTCAGATAAGAAAACGGAGGGTCAAGAGGTGTTAATGTCTACTTTCATGCTAGAGATCCAAAGAGCAATCTACATCTTCATCTGGGATTTCTTGTGCCATTATGGTTGATACTTGCATTTTCTATTTTGTTTCTAAAATACTGCTGTCTTTGAAGAAATTACCTCTTGTTATCAATGAATCATAATATGAGTCTGAGAAGGAAGACCGTGACCAATATCATCTAAAATATCCTACCTACAATGATATTTGACAGCAATGTTACCCATCTTTATTAAAACATGTTTAAAAAGACATTAAAAAAGACAAAAGAAACATGTTTACATTAGATTTCAAAATTAGTGATATATCTTGCACTACTCAAAAAGCACTTCAAAACCCTTTTAGCAAGATGAAAGTTTTATTGTATCAGCCATCAGAATAATCAGTAAAACACCTACCTTGATTACAATGTGTCCTTTCCTGGTTCCACTCCGATCCAGTTCACGGTGCTCATGCACCATAACAATTTCTCCCTCTTCCTCAACTTTATGAGTATTTTTCTCCACATGATTTAAAATTCTCCAATAATCTTGCTGGGCTATACAAACAAACTGTCCAAGAACAACATGGGGACAATTAATGAAGCTATAATACATAAATATATCACTACGCACCAAGGCAGAGCACATAGGTAAGAAATCAAGTGGCATCAGTTTTTTAACCCCTTAATCCTTAATAAAGTCAAAGCAAAATAAATAGTTCACAAAGAGACCAAAGAAGTTAATCCGTTTGAATTCTCATCTAAAAGGAGAAGTGAACATTTACTTCTCTCAAAACTGACACTATGCAAAGAAAACATGAAGCAGGAGTAAGTTAGAAACAAACAACGCAGAAGTTCCTATTTCTTTCCTTCATTTAAAAAGGACTAAACTGCGTAATACCAGAAGTTTAACATATCAATATTTATTGAATATATTGTCTTTTAAAAATTAAGTTTGTTCAATTCCACAAATATTTAATTCACATATAAAATGTGTTTCAGTTTCCTTTATACAAACTGTTAACTTCTGAAACCCCCAAATCAAGCCTTTTATTTTGAGGAAGGAAATGCATTCAGCCATTTTAAATCAATGAACCAGAGTACATGATCAAAGAGAACAGCTTACCTGACAATCATCTACTTTAGTCCTTACAACACCGCGCATGTACTGTTTATCCAGAGTTGGATTAATTCCAAAACTATTTCCCATAAAAAGATTTTCAACTTTTCCATCTGGATGACTGATTTCTACAGTGCCATTTAAAATAACATACCACGAGTCAAGCTATAGAAAAAAAGATTTTAAAGACCTTTTAGGAACAGTCATATTAAAAAGATGACTAATTGAAAATTACAACTTGTGTAATTTTAGAAAGAAAAAGATCTTGTTATATTACTAAATTGTTCACTTATTAAACCATTAAAAAGTATAGCTTATTCTTTCTTCATTTAGTCATATACTTTGACAGCAGGCATCTGGTTTTTCCACCACTGTAGTGCTGTGTCTAGAATAGTATTAACTGGCACAAAGCAGGAACACAAAAATTTTAAGAGAATACTGAAATTTGTGGAAGAGAAAGTTTTTTCAAAATCCTATGGTTTATAGAATTGTTAAGTTTCTGTATTATGTTTGTCTTGTTTTACATTGTTGAAATATTTAGATTAGCCTTTAAAAATATTTCAATAATATACTTGTCCGGTAAACTCTCTTCAGCATATTCCATGTGCCAGAAAACTTCTAGCATATGAAGGGGAAAGGCATATTCATAAATCTATAGGTAAGTCCCCTGCTCTCAAAGAATTTCCATCAAACAACTCTTAAATTACCCAAATACCCTATATATTATATCCTATGGTTATACAGTAAGTTACTTTATAGTAAGTAATACCATTACTTATTTTTGGGTGTATTTTGATCACATTCAATTTTTACTATTATAAATATGCTACAATAACTATGTCTTGGCATAGCATTGAGTTTTTTATAACATCCAGAGGAATGATATTCGTAAGTAATAACAGCCTAGACATCCATGTTAAATATTTCCAAATGACTTTCTTTAACTGTTGTTTATATTCCTATTAGAAGTATATGGCAATGTTCACTGATGACATCTCAGGATTATCAGTTTGATGAGAAAAATATTGCAATATTTCCTAAAAACAGTAATACTTTTCAATTCCTCAAATCCTCCCAGTTGCCATCTGACCATTTTTGAACTTGGAATGCTCACATAAATGCCTTACCTGGCATCAGTTCTCTAGGAGGCAAAGGTACCAAAAAATTTTTCTATTCTTTAAATTATAATAATAGATAAGGGCCTCCCTGTGGCAAAGGGGTTAAAGACACAGCGCAATCAAGCTTTCACCAGTGACTGCAGCATGAGTTCGATCCCCAGTGGGCCGAGGAGCTGACCCACATGGCGCAGCAGACCTCTCCTGTCTCACCCGATTCTCCCCTCAGCAGTGTATTTCAGCTAATCTGCTTTTTCTGCTCCCCACGATGTCTCGGTTGAATCCTCTCACCCTCCACAACTATGGCCCACACCCCATTTCTTGTATGCATAAATAAATCTTTTTAAAAAAAGTATAATAGATAAAAGGGATGAGGAGAGTAAATACTAGAAAAACATTTTAAACCACAATTTTAAACCATAATGACATAAACAGTACAATAATTAAGAATTAAAAAGTCCTACAACTTAGTTTGAATCAAATCTGATTGAATATTACTGATTGAACACCGATATTGTGTAATGTTCACTGTTATAAAATAGAACACAAAGGAAAAACAGGTACCTTTTCAGAAATGATAAACACCCCAATTCAGCATTCATTTAAAAATGTATACATTTCAAAAATGAGAATTTACACAAGTCTATGGAAACTAAATTAGTCTAAAAATTAGCTTCCATACTACATAATGTGCATCATTTATTTGCTAACCTACCTCTTGCCCATCTTCAAGAATAACAGCTCCAGCCTGCTCTACCACTTCAAAAATCATCACTGAACAGAGTTCTCTCCTTACGGACATGGTCATATTTGCAAAAGCAGGGAGCTGATGCATAAACTCCAGTAATTGTTCTATATTGAAAAAAAAAGGATGGAAATTCTATTATAGAGATCACCAAGGACTATATTCTGAGAGATAAAATCTAGAATTCAATACCCAATTTCCATCATCTTAAGAGTTGAACAAATCAACACAAAAACAAAATAGTAAGTAATTACACTAGGGCTAATAAATGTGAATTCTATACTTCAAGACTGTTCTTGGAAAAAAAAAAAAAAAACAGTTATTTAAGGTACGCACCCATATGGTATCCCTAACGTTGACTGTTATAAACCAACATTACCGCAATAAAAACAGAATTAACAATAGTAAATCTTTAAAAATCTCATTTCTTGTTACAGAAATTCCCCCTAACACACGTGTGCATGTGTATGTATTCAGACTCACGTGAAAATACTGGCATACTGAAAGATACCAGAGTTCCCACCTCCACAGAAAATGAAGAATTTACACATATTCAAATAAGGCTGGGAAGTTTATCTAATTTTTTTTAGTGTGAGCTGCCACTTACAGTGGTTGAATTTGGTGAGGGCCCTTAACTAAAGCAATAAAAAAAAAGTTTAGTGAAAAAAATCTATTATATTGGATTAGAGCCTTTTTTTAATGCTACCAATAAGCGTCAATATATAAATTAGGGATAACAAATGTGAATTCTAATTGAAGATTTGTCAAAGCAACTACAAGGTGGCTTTGCTTAATTTAGTCAACAGATGTTTATCAATGCCTGCATTCACATATTCCCTTGTATATATACATGAGTAATAAATTTAATATAGGGGAGAAAAAAGTGGTAAGCAAAGGGCCCAGACAGAAATAACTCTAAGCGGTATCTACCCTACAGATAAGTGAAATTACATTTCAGATTTTAAAAAGCTTTGTGAAAAATAGGATGGGATACAATTCTTTATTAAACATGCATTATCTTCATTGTGATTAAAACTGAAGTGTAAATTGCAGTTTCATAAGTGTATTATATATCATTACAGTAAAAAGGAGTGTTCAAAAGTACTGATCTTTTACTCACATAGATTCTAATAGCATCTTCAAATCTGAATGATAGTATAGATAGCATATAAAAAGGAAATCAAGAATAAAATCTTAACTGAATCAACAATGACTTCAAGTAATCTCTGACTTTAAAGAAAATATTAACATAATTACTATTACTCACCCTACCAGAGCAACCAGTTAAGAAATTACATAAAGGAAAATTCATCAAGTTTTATCCAACATATATATGCTTTTTTTTTTAAGCTAGTAAAAGTAAACATTTATGTGAAGATTGTAAATTTTTTTAAAAGTGGATACATAGATACTGGACACTGCTATACTATGTTTTAAATGTCTCATAGGCCAGAAGGGGAAAATCACTACATTAAGTCTTTCTTTTATAAATTGGGGCAGCCAATCTCAGAGATGGTCTCAAGAGATCCTTGCTTCTTGATAATCATTTTTCCCCTTCTACACTATGTCAGGGTTGTGCTGAGGCAAAATGAATTAGGAGTAAGTGATAACATGGGCCTCCTGAGGCCATATCTTAAAAGACGGTGGCATCTGCCTGACTCTCTCTGGGACTACTTGCTTTGGGAAAGTTAACTGTCATATTTTAAGGACATCAAAACAGTTTTTGATTAGGCAAGGAACTCAGGTCTTGTGACAAAAGCCACTCGAACAGACCTAGAAGTAGATCTTCTAGGTCATCCCCATGCAGTCTCAGATGACTGCAACTCCTGCCGATATTCTGAATACAACTTCTCCAAAGACCGTGAGCCAGAACCACTTAGAGCTAAACCACTACTTAATTACTGAGAAAATAAATGTGTTGTTTTAAGTGACTACATTTCGGGGTAATTTGTTATCCAGCAACAGGTAATTAAGCTATAAAATTCTTACTATGAATAGATTGATTTCTTACCAATGTCATCATCAGTTTTGTCTGCAGGTTCTTTTTCAAGACATTCTCGAACAAGATCTCTCCCCTGAAGTGGATCTGTTCTGTCAATCTCTTCATCTTCCTCCTCTTCATCTTCAGAATCAACAGGTCCTTCTGGAAGACGTGTTAAATCTACATCTCCTACCTCACTTTCTGTAGCCTACAGAAAGAAAACTTGATGACTCATCATTTTCATGTTATAAATATGCCAGTGTGAACTGATCAAAATTACCCACCCTAACAAATTTTATAAAGAATTGGGCAATATTTTATGTTGTATATAAAAACAAAATATTTATGGAAGGTTTCACTCTCCCTAAATACAGGCTATCATTCCATAATCTAATATCTATGTGACAAATCTGAGTTAGCAAGTATAAAATGGTCAGGAATCTCAAATATCAATGAATTAATACCATGTCTTCCAACAAACTCTTGTCTTTCTTAAAAATACGAATTTTTTTAAATATGAAGTACAGGATAAAGATATTTTACCAAGCATCATTTTATGAGTACAAATACAGCTTTGGAAATATACTAGTCTTACACCCTATAAAGAAACTACTATTTTTTTAATTTAAATATTTCATTTTATATAATTCTTACATCTTTTTTCATCTTTGCACAATGTATGCATTTTCATTTTGGTTGTATTCCCCATACAACTGCACCCGCCCCCCTTATTTTGACTCTAGTCTTTCCTTTTCCCGCCCCTCCTTCCTCCCCCCTCCCCCAGTGTGTCTCTGGTTTATAGTTGCTTGTTGATTTTGATTTTTACTTTGTATTAATTAGTCTTTTTCCTGGTCTCTTATTTAGGTTTTCTAAATTCCTGCTATGAGTGAAACCATTCGTTATTTTTCTTTTTCTTTCTGGCTTATTTCGCTAGCTCCATCCATGTTGCTGCAAACTGCATGTGTTTATCTTTTTGATTGCTGAGTAATATTCCATGGTGTATATGCACCACATCTTCTTGATCCAGTCATCTATTTTTGGGCATTTGGGTTGCTTCCATAGCTTAGCTATTGTAAATAGTGCTGCTATAAACACAGGGGTGCAGGTGCCCTTTGGAATTAATGTTTTTTGCTGGATCATATGGAATCTCTATGTTTAGTAGGTCAAGAAATCTTCACACAGCTCTCCATAGTGGTTAGACCAGTTTGCTCTCCCACCAGCAGTGCAGGAGAGTTCCTTTTTCTCCACAACCTCGCCAACATTTGTTGTTGCTCGTTTTTTTAATATGTGCCATTCTCACTGGTGTGAGATGGTATCTCATTGTAGTTTTGATTTGCAATTCCCTGATTACAAGTGATGTTGAACATTTTTTCATATGCCTGTTGGCCATTTGCATTTTTTCTTCAGAAAAGTTTCTTTTGAGCTCTTCTGCCCATTTTTTGACTGGATTATTTTCTTTGTTGTTGTTGAGTCTCATCAGCTCTTTATAGATTTTTGTGACCAGTCCTTTATCATTAGTGCTGTGTGCAAAAATGTTCTCCCAGTCGGTGGGGTTTCTCTGTTTTGGTTATTGTCTCTTTTGCTGTGCAGAAGCTCTTTAATTTGATGTAGTCCCAGCTGTTGATCTTTGCCTTCACTATCACTGCTTTGGGTGATGTGTCTGTAAAGATGTCTTTGAGGTGCATGTCATGTAGTGTTTCACCTATATTTTCTTCTATGTATTTTATGGTTTCAGGTCTTAAGTCTAGTTCTTTAATCCATTTTGAGTTGGTTTTTATGCATGGTGTGAGGTAGTGGTCAAGCTTTATTCTTTTGCATGTAGCGACCCAGTTTTCCCAACACCATTTATTGAACAAACTTTCTTTGTTCCAGTGCATATTCTTTGCTCTTTTGTCAAAGATTAGTTGACCATAAATTTGTAGGTTTATTTCTGGATTTTCTATTCGATTCCATTGGTCTGTGTCTGTTCTTGTTCCAATACCATGCAGTTTTGATGATTATGGCTTTGTAACTACTAGATTTTTTTAAAAAGTTAAGGTGTAATTCATAAAAAATGATGAAAATGTCTTTTAGGAGTAAAATTTTCTGGAAGTGGAGTTATCAGGTAATGTTTCTAAATACTACACTGATGCTCAAGCAGCTACAAATCAAGTAAGTTGAATATAACAGAACGTCATAAAGCACTAAAATATTAATATGAGAGAAGGTTATATAACTTTGGTCCAAACAATTAGGTCTCATCTCCTATAATGAATATTTACTATTATATCTGTCCAGAAGAGACAGCAATTCCTTTAGGGTATTGCTATTCCTTTCCAACTTTCTGGATTTTCATAAAATTGCAAAGCATCCTTTCTTTTCTAGTTGCTGAAGTGGAAATATGTGATTCAGATGAGCTTACAGCCACATGGGACTGCCTCTCTGTGGTGGAAAAAAATAGAACCAATAAAAAGAGAAAGGGGCAAGAGAATGGAGGAGGAAGACCATAAAAGAGGCAGGTGTAGAAAGCAATAGAAAAATAGAGCATGAAGGACAGAGATTAAAAAACACAGAATGTGAACAGAGAAATCAATGGAAAAGGGACACAGCAATTAAAAAAAACAGCTTGCAGGACAGAGATTAAAAACAGAACATAGCATTTGCAGCAAAGAGCACTAGTGATAGAACAATGGGGGTGGGTAGGATAAAAGTAAGTAAGGACAACTACAGACCAGTCTTAGCAAACTGAATCCAACAAAGAATCAAAAGGATTATACACCATAACCAAGTGGGATTTATTCCAGGGCTAAAAAGATGGTACAACATCTGAAATCAACACAATTCACCACATCAACAAAAAGAAAATAAAACCTATGATATTATCAATAGATGCTGAGGAAGCATTCATGAAGTTCAGCATCCATTATGATGAAGGTGCTCAATAAACTTGGAATAAAAGGAACATATTTTAACATAATAAAAACCATATATGACAAACCCACAGCTAACATCATTCTCACTGGTGAAAAACTGAAAGCCTTCCCATTAAGATCTACAACAAGACAAGGATGTCCACTCTCACCACTGCTTGCAATGAGCAGTAAGGCAAGAGAAAGACATAAGAGGAATCCAAATTAGGAAAGAAGTAAAGGTATCATTATTTGTAAATGATATAATATACATAAAGAGGACCTCCCTGGAGGTGCAAGGGGTTAAACACAACACTATGAAACAATCCGCAGCCTCTGCAGCACGAGTTTGATCCCCAGCTGGCCAGGGAGGTGACCCACATGGCACAGCAGATCTCTCCTGGCTTGCCTGCTGCTCTCCTCAGCAGTGTATTTCAGTCAGTCTACGTGTTCTGTTCCCCACTCTGTCTCTGGTGAATCCTCTCACTCACCCACCTCCGCACCTCTGGCATGTACCCCAGCTCTTGTATGCATAAATCTTTAAAATATATAAACAGAGAACCCTAAAAAAAATCCACAGAAAAACTAAAAATTGAAAGTTCAGTGAAGCAGCAGGTCACAAAATCAACACACAAAAATCAGTAGAATTTCTATATGCAAGCAATCAATCTGAAGAATTAAGAAAACCATCCCACTTACAATTGTACCAAAAACAATACCTGAGAATAAATCTAACAAAGGAGTGAAAGAATAAATCTAACAAAGGAACTGAAACCAGTTCTTCCTGGTTATGAAACTTTAGAGTTTAAGTGGAATACATTTCTATTTTTGGAACCACAAACTTGCTAGTGGATTACAATCACTTTTGTAAGATAAAGTTTAATTTAATTATGAAAGCTTTTCCAAAAACCGAGTTTATTTACATACCCTAATATTAACCTATTATAAAACACTGCTAAAAGATACAGAAAAAGACATACAGATCAGAAGAATCAACATTATCAAAGTGGCCATCCTACCAAAAGCAACTGATAGGTTCAATGCAATCCAATAAAAACCTCAATGGCATTCTTCAAAAAAAGGGGAACAAATACTGCTGAATTCATATGGAATCACAAAGAACACTGAATAACCAAAGTTCTAAAAAGGGGAAGAATGGAGATATTATATACTCCTAGACTTCAAACTATATTAAAAAGCCATAATAATAGGAACAGCATGGTACTGGAACAAAAAGAGACACAGAAAAATGGAATTGAACTGAAAGTCTAGAAATAAAATCACACATATATGATCAACTGATCTATGACAAAAGATCAAAGAACAAGACAAGGATGCAAGGAAAGTCTCTTCAAGAAATGGTCCTGGAACAAGGAAAGTCTCTTCAAAAAATGGTACTGGGAAAACTGCCACATGCAAAAGAAAGAAACTAGACTACTATCTCACACCATACACAACAATCAACTCAAAATGAATAAACTTGGATGTAAGAAACCATAAAAACTACAGAAGAAAACAGAGGCAAAATACTCCATGACTTAAGTGTGTGAAGCATCTTTCAGAACTTGTCTGCAGAATCAAGGAAAACAAAGGCAAATATAAACAGCTGGGACTAAATCAAACTAAAAAGCTCTGTACAGCAAAAGACACAGTAACCAAATGAAGAGGCATTCTACTGAATGGGAGAAAATATTTGCATACCGGCCTTCCTGGTGGTGCAGCAGTTGAGCACTGGGTTGGCGAAGCTGCCTGCAGCCTCTGCAGCGCCCAGTTTGATCCCCAGCCGCTGGCAAAGGTCCCACATGGTGCGTTGACCTCTCCTGCTGCCCGCTGCTCCCCTCAGCACTATACTTCGACTGTCTGCCTGTTCTGCTCTCTCCCCTGGCTCTGGTGAATTCTCACCCTCCCGCACTTCTGACTGTACCCAGTGCTTGTATAAATAAATAAAATCTAAAAAACAAAGAAAAGAAAATATTTGCATACCATATACTGATAAGGGACTGATATCACAGATCTACAAAACACCTATACAACTCAACAACAATAACAAGCCAATTTTAAAAATGGGCTAAAAAACTAATAAAAAAAAAAAAAAAACACTTCTCAAAATAAGAAACGCAAATAGCCAACAGGCATAAGAAAAAATGTTCAATATCATTTATTATCAGGGAAATGCTAATCAAAACCACAATGAGAAACCGCCTTATACCTGTGAGAATGGCCCATATTAAAAAAACCAAAACAACAAGTGCTGACAAGGAGGTGGAGAAAAAGGAACATTCTTACACTGCTATGGGAATGTAAACTGGTCCAGCCTTTA